TGTAAATAATTTTTTTTGGAGAACAAGTATATTAGAGAATAAGCTAAATGCCCTTTGAAACGCTGGGAGGGCTGCACAGATCCAAAGTTCTGTTGTACAATTCATGCACTTCACAAGTCTAAGAGATGGCTAAAAGAAAGCCATGTGAAACCCTGTTTGCGCTTCGACACACCACATATCTGGGACACAGCAAATATTTGGAAGAAGATACCCTAATTGTATTTTTTCCTGGCCTGCGTGATTATGCATGGAATTAACACTTGGAGCTCCCCATCCTAAAAGTGGCAGTAAAATCAAGCTGCGAGGATGTTTCTTTTTAGTGCAGACAGGGAAGCTGGTCACAGTTGATTTGGAAAAGGGTTGGAACTAAAGATAGGGCAGTCGTGGAAGGAAGCCTGCTCCAAGCTGCTGCTTGAGACTGAACCAGAGATTCACTTTCAAACAGTGGATCTCAACATACAACCAGAACTGGAATGGAGTGGTTTAAATCATAGCATCTGTTCCAGTCAATTACCACACCTAGTTCCAAATTAGGTTCAACTCTTGATAATTGCTGTCCATACAATTTGACAGAGCTTCAGCTAATTTACAGAGAAGAAATGAGCAAAAGATTGTAGCTTTGATGTGCAAAGCTCATAGAGATATACTTCAAATCAAAATTATGCCTTATGTCAGTTTGTCTAATGAAACCCCTATAAGATACTCTAAAATTTGTTGTAGTTAAATGACAAGATGGAAACAAGCTCAAGGACTGCGCCTGTGTATTTTCCCATAGGAAGACATGGAAATGAATTTGAACAAGAACGTTCTCCTCTCACTTAAACAAGTGCCCTTGAGCAAGTCGATTAATCCAAAGCTGCTCTGCAGAAATCGGAGGATCTTTGCTCTAAATCAGGAAGCTTATGTGTGGACATGTTATGTTTTCTGCTTGGCTCTTTCACCTGCCTTTCCTCCCTCAGGATGCTGTAAAGACGCTTAGCCTGTCCACTCGCATCACACAGCAAACGTCTCATTACAAACGCCTCTTGATATGAGGTGACACAGAGGTGCAGAGCAGAACATGCTGGTTGATGTTAGAGCCTCAGATGCTCTGTCAGAGGAAAGGAATGCCACGGTACGTCGAGGTAATCTCCGTGAAATCTCAATCAGGGGGCGTGGCCGGGAGGAGGCGGTTGGCATGTTACAGCTGTGCACAGCTGTCTCCATCAATCAACTCTCTGTTTTAGCTGCTGAGAGTCCTTTATCTGAATCATTGCTTGACGGTCTTCAGAGAGAGGTGAAAATACAGTTATAAAAGGCAGAAGATGATGCTGGAGATAGAGGTAAGGAACAGCAGAACACAATTCAATGCAGCACCATTTTAATACACAATTTATTCGGGATTAATTTAGGGTTTAAATTGAACCACCTCCTAGTGTGATAAAAGATCATGTTTAAATTGGTTTCTTTGCTCAGTTGCCTTTTAGGTGTTGATGCATAACTGGTCCAACAACTGAATGTTGCAGAGCTCAGAGGTAGTGGCCTAACAACAAAGGTTACTTCTAAAACGATCAGCTACTTCACTGGAATGGGAAGAAAAACCCAGTTCAGAGAAAATGGATTTAAAGATATTTAGAAAGCCTTAAACTGTGGATCAGGCTTAGTGTATTTGAGCTGGCTCTATGGATTTAACATTTACAGAAAGTAGGAACATCTTCAAATTCTGCTCAGAATTTACAGGAATTGCTTGCGTGTCTGAAACCTTTCATTGCTTTTAACCACAGAACTTTGAACTAATGCTGTTTATGAAGTTATTTTAGAAAAATTATTTACAGTGTAGATCGTGCATTTGTTTTTAAAGAAGCACAATTAACTGATCTCATCAGGCTACTGGGTTTCTCCCCTCCTGCCTGCTTTCTATTTAATAGCTTTTTGTTACAGTTGTCCTGGACGGCCTCATGGGAATGTTGCTGCATGTTAAAGTTGATGAGATAATGATTTCATCTTTTCCTCTTAAATAGTTTATTTTTCTCACCAAAAATGTTTATCAAATAATTTATGCTCTGACCATGAACACTAAAATCAAGTTTTATACATTTGTTTTTGTTCTGTTTTTCTTCAGAACCATTACTTTAAAAGGACCAGAAAAAATAATCTTTCAATGCAATGAAGGACTTTGTGAATTTCTTATTAGAATACCTTTAACTGATTGCATTGTCTTCTGAAAAGATAATGCATTTGGATAATCCACAAAATATTTAGTATTTTTGGTTCAATTAGAACTAAAAAGCTGTTTTATAAGCTGTTTTATAGTGAATAGAATTTTTTTTTCAAAAATACTTAAAAGTTCTTTTAATTTGAATTCTAAAGGCTCCTTCTTAATCTGTAGTTAATTCAACAACTTAAATTTTCACTTGAAAAATTCAAAGCATGACTTTTTGTGATTGAAGACTTAGCCGATTATAAAAGATCAGTAATAATAATTAGTTTTTACTGACGTTATTATAAGCAGGGATGTAGAACATTTGTCATGCCGCTTCTAAAAACGTGGGCTGCCCTAAAAATTGGGGAGTTTGTATTGAGTCCACACACACACACAAAAAAAAAATGCTCCAAAGGTTACGAGGTTGAAACTCGATGAGGTCAAACTATTGGACCTTTAATGAACAAACTCCAGAACAGGAAGCTCTGAAGTGAGCTCTATATTATCCTGTTTGGCACAGCCGCTCCAGGACTCTTGCTAATCACAACAGCAATGACACTGAGCCAACAATGTCACCTTGCCAGACTGATGGAAGAAAAGTTTATTACTCCACTGATTATTATCAAATAACCTCAGTTCGGTTTTTCAGCACTGAAGTAATGAGCTGGAGAAGGAAAAAATGTGAGTAGAAGAAAACCACATTTTCAGTTTTACCTTTGGATTCATTTATTTCAAATGGGTTGTCAATGCATGTTTTTTTTTTTTTGTTTGTTTGGTATTGGTAAAGCACCTAATTTTCTTAACTAAATGATGCCTGCAGGTTTATCTATTAGCAGGTTTAACTTTGCCTGCACTTGGTTATTTTAAGTGTATTTGACAAGTTTACCAAAACATAAAAAATGTCATTCAAACTGCATTTGCCTTGTTTTACTTTTTACTTATACTTTTCATTACAGTACTTGAGTACATTCATTGTTACAGTAATTTCTATACTTAAGTGCAAGATGTTTCTGATACTTCAAGACTTTAACTCAAGTAACATTTGAGTCAGTGACTTGGACTTTTACCAGAGTCATATTTTGGAGAGGTAGCTAACTTTTACTTGACTCTGAGATTTCAGTACTTTATACAACACTGGTCATAAAGATTTTTTTGTTGTTGTTGTGTTATTAAATTTATAGATGGTGTTTAAATAAGATCACTGGATCTTTCATCAAAGTTGTTAATTTGGCTCAATTACAAAAATATAAAAAAATAAAAAAATCCCAAACAAAACAAGTACCATCTATTGATTATTACTCTTTTAATTGCAGCCAAAATCACATGTTGTGACTGAAGATTCAGTGAGTTTTATGTTGGTGTACACTAACAAATTACTCTCCATAAACCTCAACGTAAAGAGAGTTGGAGCAAATCTAACAGAAAGTATGCATATAGTTGAATATAAACTGAAGAATGTAATGCCTAATTTGCAGTACTTGATTTAGCAGTTTATTTTCCCTCTCTTAAATTCTCTGGTCTCTTTACAGTTGGGTGAGTTCTGTCTCAAACCTTTTTCTGCTCCTCCTCTTCATCACAGTTCACTAAATAGAAATGTTGTGATTTTCAATTGCTGTGTTCCATTTCCTTCAGTAGCTTATGTCTTGTATGACTGAAAGCAGAAGGTGTGCATATGGCTGTCGAACCTGTTCTGAAACCTTAACTCTCCAAACATGCGAGAAGTGGGACAACAAATTCAGTCATGCTATCGGTTACTGTTGACAGATGTGTTTTTCTGATCTCTAAGTGGAACTAGTGAATCCCTAAGAGGTGTTCAGCAGTACTGTACTAGGATCTATGTTTTATGTTTTTATGGCATGATTCTTTGTATCTCTTCCATGTTTGCTTGCTGATGCGTGTCTGAACGTCATGGCTCTCCCTGCTGTAATTTCATAAAGTTCAACAACACCCACAAACCATATGTGAAAATGAATCTCAGACCTCAGCTAGACAGTCTATGAATCCAGGCTCTCTGGGAGCTCATTACTGGACTCTTTGGGCTGGAAAATGTCCGTCAGTAAGGATTCATTAAAAGCCAGCAGAAGCGTCTGGTTGTGCTATAACGAGAGGTTCTCCAATATTAGGTTCCCCCAAGGGTTCAGATTAGACAGGTGAAATATCACTGGAAATCTGGGTTACCAGTTAAGGTCATTAACTTTACATTGCTGATGTTTGCTGACTCGGGTTACTGAGCATTTTGTGGCTAATTTCCTTGGTCTGTTTGACTCCAGGCGCAGAAATTCATTTAGGTCCATTTAGTTTCTTGCTGGTAAAATATTTTATTATAACGTAACTGCTCATGTCTCTTCTGGCCTCCTTTATCTGCTCCTACTTTCTTCTTTTAATTTAAAAAACATTGTTCTAACAGTTTCTGTGGGTTTTTTCCCTCCTCATTAGGGTGGATCATTCTGAATGGACTGTTTGATTGCAGGGCTGAGTCGACCCGCTTCAGTTAACCTGACAGGCAGCACAGCTCTAGTTTTATCTCCAGGATTTGTGTCTGATTTTTGTCTTTGACATTAAATGTTTTGTGTGACTTTTTTTCTTTGAATAAATGTTTCAATATAATTGTTTGCTTGTGTTCTTCAGCATCATCTGTGATGTTTTGGTCCATTTACCGTCTTCCTCAGGTCTCAATATGTTAAATGTTCAGTCTCATGATGGGATAATTGGAAAATTATTGGGGAAAACCTTTCCCTTCTTGTAGGTTTGAAACCATGATGTGGCATCAGTATTTTTTCTTTACTCTCAGATATTTTCCTTCTCTCCTGTTTTTCAGAGCCGTACGCCCCGCGTAACCCGACTCAGCCCAACTCAGCCGGCTCTTGCAGACCAGGCCAGCAGGGTTTCTTTTGCCTCAGCTGAAAATCTGGAGACCATGTCCGAACCTGACATCCCCATCGGCTTTAACCGGATGAACCGGCTTCGCCAGAGTCTTCCACTGGCCCGCTCGTCTAGCCAGGCCAAGCTGCGGGCACCAGGTCAGGCCCCTGTGCTTCTGTTAAATCAGCATCAGAAAGTTCCATATTTTTAGTCCCCATGTTATTAAGCACGTAAGGGCTCAGTCTCAATAAGCTTGTTAAATATTGAAGTTTGTAACAGGAAGTATGGCCTGTCTGGTCATGTTAAAGAAGAAGGCATATTCTCAAGAAGATGAGAGCAGAGCTTGGTGTAGCTGCAGTGAAATGAACCGCAATTCTACTGGAATAAAGCAGAGATGTTTGGTCATAATGCAAAGTGCAATGTTAAGAGACAACTAATTGCAGAACACAACACAAATCACTTAAAGTCTGTTGTGTTGTAGCAAATGGACTTGGGCACCTTCCAGTAATTCATTAATTTTATTTCTATTCATAATTATTCTACAGTCAAGTGTGAGGCCATCTGTTTAACAGCTGATGCTTGGAAAGACCTGGAAAACGGGCTGAGAAGAGAAAACTAAACGGGCTGAGAAGAGAAAACTAAACAGTTTGAATCAGGTGTATTTGCTCATTTTATTCAGGCTGACAAGTTCCTCTTGAGATCAGCTAAAGTTAGTAAGATATGACGTGTTTAATGCCAATGATTCTGCAGCACCAGTTGCCTTGACCGATCAACAGCTTATCACACAAATTCCCCCATGGCTAAATGTGAATTACGGATTTTATTGACAGCTTAGTTCTGTTTTTGAAAACACACCAATCTGTCTTCAAATGATCCCGTCAGAACGTGTGTCATGTCTGATTAATGGGTTCGTCAGAAAGAAAATTCATCTCTTGAACAACTTCCCTCCAGCATCTGAGGAGGAGGACGGTGTAGCATTTTGTTAAACTGAAACAGTGCACTTATTGTGAATTTTGTAAGCACGTATGTCAAGACCATTTCCCAAGCAATTTCTGACTGTGACAGCTAAGATGTCTTAACTGAATAATTTCATTTCCAATGCTACAAACCAAATGTCAGTTTGTGGCAGAGCTTCTGAGGCCTAAGCTCCTCTAAATTGCACCAAAACAAACTCAACATATTTTATGCTGTGATTGCTGAAGTTGAAAAGATAAATTAATTACTCAGGATAATAATTTTCTTTCTTTGCCTTCTGGTTCTCCGTCATTGTTCCTTCTCCTCCATCTTTGCAGGAATCCTCTTTCTCCAGCTCGGGGAGGAAATTCGCAGGGTGCACCTGACCCATGAGCTGACCAGCCTGGACACCCTGAGGGCCCTCATTGTTCACATGTTCCCCCAGAGGCTCACCATGGCTATGCTCAGGTAGGCACTGATGACTCACAGATATGAACACATTATTACCACCTTGAGATGTTTATCGATCTGTTAAAGCTGACGCTTGAACCTCCACAGCGCTACATTTACACTTCGTCTTGTGCCAGTTTTATAAATCAATCTCAGATCAGGAGGCTCACAATTACAAAAACAACTCTGAGTAAAATGAAAGTTTATCAGGCTTTATATGGTTCTTTTACTTTTTTTTTTTTTTGCTCATTTTCAGTTCTCCAGAAAAGCAAACCTTGTGTTGCTTTTGAATGAGAGAATCTGATCTGTTCCGTAGTGATTGAAAGTTTGGTCAAATCTGAGTTTAAGTTGTACCGAATTTATGAAAATTATCTTTAAAAAAAAACGTGATGGAAAAATGGATAAAGGCTTTGGTCCCTTTCATCTTGACTTCATTTAAAAAAACCAAAAACTTGCTAAATAGTAATGAGAAGAAATTCTTACAGATGCTCACCTGACTTCTCTGGCTTTGTGAGTAAAAGGCATTCCCACAGCATTATGCATACACCAATGTTTTTGCCATGATGTAAAACTTTGCTAAATTTCTAGAAACCATTTTTGCATGTTGACCAAAGAGTGCAAATGGGGCTGAAAGAAACATTTGTCCTACTTTTTAGATTTCAACTTCTAAGAATAAATATTATCAAAAATATTTGACAGTTTGCTGCACTTAATAATTATGGGCTAGTGTGTATGTTTTTATCATAAAATTCTTACAAATCAAGGATAATTTAAGATCACAAGTTGTTATATTAAAGGAGTCATTATACTTTGCAAACTGTATTGCGTGAGTGCTGCAGCCTCGGCTCAAGAAGGAGAACTGAATTGTGTGGGGTTGATAACATGTTTAGTGATTGTTTTTGTTAAAGTAGAGGTTGTATTCACAGTGATATCTGCATTCGTCTCTTTCTGAAAGCCATTTTCAGCTGAAGACCAACATCCCATCTATCTCCTTCTTATCTACTGCCATGTTTGAAGTGACTGCTTAAAATCACAGTTGGTGTAAACTGTCAAAATAATGAACCAAGACTTGACACTGTCCTTCTCTGAACAATGTGGTCAAAACAACATTTCAAGATGTTAATTATAGATCATCTGTGTAATCTGCTGACATTTAACCATTACAGACTTAGTATTACATTTCTGATGCTAGGAGGCAGTTCTCGGTTAATTGTTTGATTACAGGTGCCTTAAGCAGGTAAAGATCTTTCATTTATCTGTGAGTGAATCTCCATCACTGTGCATTAGCAGCTAACTGAGGCTCAAATTGTCTTTCCAGGCACTGTTTATCATTGATTTTCATTTTTCATTTTTTTTTTATGATTATTGATCTGCAGGTCCCCCAGCACAGCTCTGCTAATCAAGGATGAGACCCGTAATGTCTTTTATGAGTTGGAGGACCCGCGGGATGTTCAGGACCGCTGTGTAATTAAAATTTACTGCAAAGAGCCCATCTACGGCACTTACCCTGGACACCACAACCCCCACATCGCTAACGGAGACTTGAGAGTAAGTGTTCAGTCGACCAAATTATTAAAATATTGACGATTTTACGCCAAAATTGTAATCAACATGAGTATTTCTCAGCTAACAGAGTACTGTGGTGGCACAGAACCATCCAGATTGAGTAACAATTAGCACCAAAAGTCAGAATTCTCCCTCCTCAAAGCCCCCATGCTCCACGCTGCGTCACTGTTTACAAACACTGCTCGGTGTTACGTAACATCTCAGAGCTGAATTGGTTTGCCCCCACTGTGAATCATGTGACCTTTTTCCTGGACCAGTTCCAGGCTGTCACATCTTCAGCGCTGACTCAGCTGGATGCCAACACACTAAAGCAGAAAACACTGTTTCACAAATGACACACAAGCAGACCAGCTTATCTCGCCTCATGAATCAAAATATTTGTGTTCCTGCTCCTGAAATGTGTTTAAATTAAATGCAATATACCTATTCTGGAACGATGGCCTGGAGAGAAGGGGACGATGGTCAGTAAATAACCAAAGACTGCGAATGCAGTTGTGACTGGAGCCTCAACATACACTGTGCCTGTTCTACCACTGAGCCATGTGGAGCCTTCAGTAATATATACTTTTTATTTCAGAATGACTAAAAATGCTGGTTATATGAAGTGCAACCGAGATGACTCGGCCTCTTCTTTATCCTCCCCATTTACTGTTGAACAGGGGCCACTAGAGTTGAGGAAATCTTAAGTATACACACAGCAAATAATAGCCTGATTAGCATAATAACTGGTCTTTAAAACCCTGGTTTATATTTATTGCTTACAAATGACAGTAGCTATTTGGTACACTGTTGGCCAATTTTTCAATGTTTTGCTCTTTTCCATATGAAGAATTAGAGACATGTGTAATTTTCTTCATAGGAACATCAGAACTGTCATACGATATATTAAAAAAATCTATTTATTTGCTATTTTTCATTCAATTATCCTTCTATTTTTTTCTGTACAGCTGTTGGTTTACTTACATATCTCATTTTAGTTCTCTGCAAACCTATACTTTAATTGCTGTCTTATGAATAACCCACAAAAGATGTTGGCTTTAAACTCATTCATCTGTTATGTGTTTAAATAAAACTGGGACAACTTCAGCCATTACTTGTAATTACAAAGTGTTGAATATTTACTGTTCTTACAGGAAGAAATCAGATCTAAACAAATAAATGACATTACAGAGAGGTAGACATATGTTGTGCTCACTCAGTGTAAAGTGTATCTGCATGTTTAACAGCTGAAATGAATTAAGAGCTGAAGGGAAACGGTGTTTGCTGAGTCCGATGCAGCCGGACAGCGCCAAGGCTTTTTGTTTACATGCCTGTGTGTCTGATTGCGTTTCTCCCTGCCGCTGAGGTGCAGCTGCCCGCTAATGTTCTGGAGGTCAGCTGTTCTCACGGGATCCACCGCCGCCTTGAGCTCTGCTCTGAAATCTTCAGAGCATTTTACAGCCTTATCGAACAGGCAGCTTTACCTCGAGTTTTATGTGTGTAAAGTACATTGGCTGCTGCTCCTGTTGTCAAGGTGAGGTCTGAGATGTGTGTGTGTGTGTGGGGGGGGGAGGGTTTATTGAACTCCTGACAGTACAGCTCAGATTATTCCCTGATTGCAGAGCACAAAAGCATGACGAAGACTGGTGAGGCCAGTCCAAGCCTTGTGCCTGGAGGGCAGGAGATGGTTGGGAAGAAGATTGATTGGTAGATTTTTCTCAGAGAGAGAACGGACAGCTTTAAAACGGCACCACAGGATAAACTTTAGGGACTGCAGACTACATGGGGGTAATAACATGTCGGTGTGTCCTCAGCATAGTTAAAGAAAAAAGCTGTTGCTAAGATACAAGATAGAATATGATGTCAGCTGTGAGACTGTCCTCAGGGTGTTGTTGCAGGAGTCTTCTGGGTTATGTGGAAATATTGGCATTTCAATTTGCATAGTCTCCTGGAGATGGCTTTGTGCGTCATGAGCAATTACAGTGTTGTCTTCTTTTGTGTTTTCTTGCCCTGCCCATTACTTTTGCCTGCTAAGCCTGTGCTGATTTCAGAGCTGCTCATCTTTTATTGCCTTCCTGTCTGAAATGTAAGACTGATGCCAAAAGATGTCCTTTGTATTCTCAGTCAGTAAAATATCAGCTGGCCGTTTGGTCTTTCCAGATGATCAGAAAGTAGCATCCATTAAAGTTATGGAGAACTCAGACTTGCTGCAAACATTTTTCACAATTACTTGGAAAATAATAGAGTACCTATTCTGAAACAGTTTTCCTCTCAGCTACTGTTGTAGATCATAAGACACTGAGCTGTATTTCTGTCCAGTTTATGAGGAGGCTTCCTAATTATCAGTATCTTTGTTTTAATTTTTTCCTCAGAGGGAGATGGTGCATGCGCCCCAGGACTCTCCATCAAACCGTCGCCTCGGTAACCCTGCCATGTCCTCCCAGCATTCGTCATCCTCTGCTTCACCTCCTCAAGGCTCACCGTCCCGTGCCCGTCTGCTCTACAGCTCCGGAAGGCCTTCGTCCTACGCGGGGCCGCCCCACCACACCCACTCCCTACCTCACCCACACTCCCAATCCCACCACTCCTCCCCCCTCCAGCAGCCCCAGCTCCACCAGCCCCACCACACCCAGCCGGCCTTCTGTACCTCCTCCAGTGCCATCCTGGAGCGCAGGGATGTGAAGCCTGATGATGAGGTGGGCGGTTCCAGGAGCATGGTGCTGCTGCGAGGAGATGGAGGTGGGATCTACGCAGACCCGTACGCTTTGGGCCCAGACACGAGTCGGCTGAGCCTTGCGGGAGGTCCTCACTCTCCTCTGCCTGCCCGAGCCGACCCCTACGCTTCCTTATACCGCCGCGGGGGAGGACCAGGTCCAGGATCAGTTCGGTCGCTCACCTCTTACTCTGCTGCGGCGTTACAGGGAGAGCTAATGGAAAGCGGAGTTCTCTACAGGCCCGGGGGGCAACTGTACAACGACGCCTACACTGCTTCCATGCTGGCTATGGGTTTGAGAGTTCCACCACCATCTTCTCCTCAGAAGATACCTGATATGAGGGATTCATATGGGGGGACTATGTCCACTCGCGGTTCTCCAGGGAGGCAGAGTTTAAGAAGGGACTCGGTTACCTCCTCTGTGTTTGGCGACAGCCCCAAAGTCCGGGGCCAGGGTCAAGGGTTGGGTCTGACAGCAGAGCAGCTCTGCCTGATTGGTGGAGGCGATGGAGGAGGCGGCACTGGAGGCTTTGGGTCACCGCTGATGGGGAATGAGACTGAGACCAGGTAGGACGGCTCATATGGAGCCGTTCAGATTCATATCATATGCAGAAGAAAAGGTAGACTGCACTCATTGCTTGCTCTAACAATACATGACATGTGTTACTTCAGTCACTGATCCTTAAATTAGGGACTAATAATTTGGTGCTCGACTCATATGTTCACTGTCAAACTGCATCAACTTTTTTATTTAGTTTCTGTGTTTGGCAGAAACATCCCGTCATGTCTAGTCACTGTGTGTTGGGAAGGATTAATATTCATCTTAGGTCATCTCTCTTCCACCATCTCGTTTCACAGCTCTTCTTAAGGGGCAATTGCCGCATAACAGCAGCTATAATCTTCTTGATGGTACTTTTATTGAAAGGATTCAACACATGTCTCGTTTGATTCCAGTGTTTGATGTTTCTGGGGTCTCTTTTAAAGTCTCTTAAATTTTGAATCCAGCTTGTTATTAGTACTTGGAGTAATCCCACTGAGTAAGTCAGGCTTTGTCTGTACTGTAAGTATGTGGAAACAAAACCTTGATAGAACGCACACTTCGATTAAAACATAGCTAATGTTACTTGGCCGGGTAAAGCTGCAGGACTAATTTGGAAAATGCCAACTGCACCTTCATGACTATTTTCACATGAAATTAATAATTGATTTATCTCTTTTTTTAAATTAATGTACTTCTTATTAGTTTCTTGCTTAATTACTTGGCATGTGGCACATTTTGTATTTGCTGCCTCCTGTTGTCAATCGTACAAATCTGTGTTTTGGTTCTGTAGGTAGGAAATTTAAAGATAACTAAAAGATACATCAGAAGCTGAACTTCTTGGAATACATGAGCATGAACATCACTGTAAAATGTATTGCACTGGTATTTAAAATTTGATTTGACAAGTCTAATGTGAAAATGGCGCTTTTGCTATATTTTACTGATACGGATCTGGTCTGCTTAATTTATTGATATACAACATTTAATAGGTGCACTTTGCTAGTGCCAAGTTGGACTTCCTGTTGCCTTCAGAACTGCCTTAAATCTCCATCACTTAAAAATGAACAAAACATTTTTGTTCATTTTCACACCACTCTTCACACCACTCCTGTTCATGTTCAACGTTCTGATGTTGTGCAATGTTGCGCATCAAATTTTCCAGGCAATTCCTTGGCTGCTTGTGTACAGTCAAGACAGATTATTATTCAGATGAAAAACATAGATTAGTGTCCTCTAATGCATTTTCTTTTGTCTACAGTGACTCTGTGATGAATTTAATGCATCGGTATCATCTTGGTGGATAATTCTGTTTCAGCACTTAAGTGCTCTTTATAAAATATGTATGAAATGTCTGTTAGTTACAGTGTCTTTTGGATTTGTGGTCTGAATCCAGAGAGCGAATGGAGGCAATGGAGAAGCAGATAGCGAGCTTGACGGGGCTGCTGCAGAGAGTACTGACCAGAGCGCCTGAGGCTGAAAGTCCGTAAGTTAAACATGCATTTGCAAAAAAAGAAAGCATTAACCTCCCATAGATATTTGTTTTGTCAGGAGTCGATCTGTACTTAACACGTGATGGAACATATAACGGATCCTTATTGGCTTTGTTTTGCCAGGAGAACTTTTTTTTTATTTTATTATTTTTTTTTTTTATCAAAACATGAAACAAGACAAAATTTTTCCACAATTCAAAAAAGAAGACTGTTTATATGATTTGTTGATATTTGGACATTCCTGTCTTGCAGAGAGAAGCTGGAGTCGGCCAGTGACTGTTCAGGAAATGACCGTAAGTAATTCCTGCTTCCATCTAGTCAAACCGCCACTCCTCACCGCTGCTACCTCCTGCTGGCCACATAAATTAGCTTTTCTTTCTTTCAGAACAGCTGCTGTTTCATTTTTATCTGCTTTTGTCATATGTGATTGTTTTTAATCGCTGTCTTCTTTATTTACGCCTTATCGTATTGCCGGCTTTTGCTCTTGCTGCTTTGTAACTGCTGCTCATTTTGTTTTAGCTGGACAAACTAAAAAAAAGAAAGGTAGCTACAGTTTGTGTTCCTGAAGTGTCTGAAACATGTTCCCCTGTCTGCCCGACCCCCGAGTCCCTCATTATTATCCTTTTCTTGGAGATCCATTCGCTTCCAAATGGTCTACATACTTTCCATGTGTTGTCTTAAAAAGACCTGCCTCTCTGACAACTGTTGTCCTTCAACTTTCCTTGTTTTTTTTTTTTTTTAGCGTGTTTAAGGTAGAGTTCATAGAGTTGCATTAAATTGACTCAAAGTTCTGTGAGCTTCTGCCTTTTTTTGTTTTGAATGTTTGGTAAATATTACAATATTTTTATGGTTAATTTGTTGCATCTCAATAAATTCTTCCATCTGTCCGTCTATCTGTCTCTTTCCTTTCATCCTTCGCCAATCAGTCTATTAACGCACCCATCCATCTTATAATTTTAATCCAACCATCCTCTAATTTTTATTTATTTCATCCATCCTGTAACTTTTATCTATTTCTTCTACCATCAGTCTATCTGTAAATCTTCCTGTCTCTCCCATTGGTTTCATTTGCCAGTTTGTTCATCCATCCATCCATCCATCCATCCATCCATCCATCCATCCATCCATCCATCCATCCATCCATCCATCCATCCATCCATCCATCCATCCATCCATCCATCCATCCATCCATCCATCCATCCATCCATCCATCCATCCATCCATCCATCCATCCATCCATCCATCCATCCATCCATCCATCCATCCATTTTGTAATTGTAACTTTTCTGACCTACACTTCCAATCCATCCATTCTAGACTGATGGACAATAAGAAAAATGATCTTAGCTCAGGCTGTAATCTGTGGACTCTTTGTTTCTACTTAATCGAAATTATTTCAGTTCTGCATCTTTGTCTGGAGCACTGAAGCCTTGGACAGAAATTTGATATTTCTCTCCTTGTGTGTCATGATTTATCAGACGTCACAGTGGCTTCAGCTCTTCTTTGTGAAGCTTTTATCATGGAAAGTTTGGTCCGTTAGACAGTGTCACCTCGCCTGCAGAGACTTTGTGATTGAAGTGTTGAAAATATGAATTTCATTTCAGAGCTTGCTTCATTTTTTAATTTTTTTTGGTTTAAGTTAATTGAAGTCAGCTTAAATGCAACTCTGTTCTGAGTTTCTTTCCGTGTTCCTGTTCTGCATGATTCATGTAACCCAACACACCAATTACTGTGGGAGCTTAGCTGTCATTGTCATTTCGGAGGATTATCAGATTTGGAAGCTCTCATGCATTTCGGTTGTCTCTGGATGTTGTTATAATGAGACACTTGAAAATGTTTTTTCATTATTGACCTATTTGTCCCTGAAGCCTTCCCATGTTTATTGTTCTGCCTCCCCTCCTGACCTTCAGCACTGATGGATGTTGTCCTGTTTAAATATTTCGAGCAGCAATGTTCTGCTTCCAGTAGATTAACCTAGCATGATTTTAACATTTAAACAACTCAAATGTTAATTTAATCTTTAAATATTTATTTTGAAAAAACTTCTTTGGGACTATATCTTATCAGCTCTGAATTTTCCCTCAATGAGCCAAAGCATAAAGGAGGACTCACTAAACTGGCATTTTTGTTTACATTGATCAGCTCTGACACCATCTGCTCCCCTGGCTCTGATGCCACCTCCATGTTTGGGGGGCAACCAGCCCGTAGCCGTGTCCCGTGTGCAGATGCAGCTCCACCTCCAAGGCCTGCAGCAGAACACCAATGCCCTGCGCAAGCAGCTGTCGCAGCTGCGCAACATGCAGGTGTGGTTGTGGACTGAAAACGGCTGCTCAGTGTTGGGACTCCTTTGTGTTGCCTGTTCTTAAAAGTACTGTGATTCCAACACAGTTACAAAACTTATGGAATAACATCATTGAGTCAATATTAAGTAAATAAATAAATGTAGAAGCATTTATTTTTCAATGAGAATTAAATAAAAAAAACATAATGTTTCATTTTGTTTAAATCAGCAAAACAAAACTACAAAAACATTTAAAATTAAATTGAGAATGTATGGTCAAAGTTATAATTACACGAGACTGTTAAATTTATTGTTTGGTGAAAATATTACTTTTGAAAATCCTTGTAAAATTGAGCAGTTTCAAATTAAAAGCTACCTTTCTAAGACTAAATATTTTTGGACCTCATATATCTTGCCCATCTACAGGTCTTGCAAAAACCAGTCAGTTCTTTCCTCAGGCTCTCACTGGTTAACACAATAAACACTTTACAGCCTGAGTGCTTCACAGTGAAACGAAACAGTCATGTGTGCACTACCATACGATGCTTTTAAAAACAATAAAGAAAAAGTACGACACTGGCACTGACGAATCAGAAACAGAGCTCATCTCAGGAGGCCTTAATGACATAAATATTTATACTTTTAAGAACTGATGTGTTTTTTCCTAATCCATGTGTAGATTTTTTATTATTATTTTAAATCCTCAGTGTCTGAAGTAAGAAAATATATATATGTTTTTCAGCTGGAGAACCAGGACTCCGTTCTGTCTCTGCTGCGTCAGACTGAGTCTGAGCTGAGCCTCATGATGCTGGACGCCATGCGACCCCAGGAGGACCCGCTCCAAAGACAGCGGCTCTTAGTTGAAGAGGAGCGGCTGAAGTATTTGAACCAGGAGGAGCTTCTCATCCAGCAGCTGCAGTGAGTTCAGAGGACAGTTAACAGATGACAGTTTGCAGTTTGATCAGAATAAAAAAATGCAATTAAAGAAATGGAAATTAAGCGTTATTTTTTACTAAGCCCATATTTCTGATTTGAAATAGTTTTTTTATTGGTCTGATTTAATATTCAAGTTTTAAATGTCATATTTTGTTAGCTGTAAAAGTGAAATTACAAGGATTAACAAGGTCATTTATATATAATACAAGTTTTCAAGCATACATTGGAGTGTAAATCTATCATGTTTCACTTGGTGATAAAAGTTTCTGAAATAACACCCCAAGACACTTGTGGTTGTAATGGCTGCTAATGGGGATTCTACAAAAATATTTACTCAGGAGAGTTTTCACTTATTATTTTTTTTTAGGTCTGAGGGGTTTAAATGGAGACACATGTCAAAGTTTTATTTTCAGAATTCCTTAGATGAAATATTAAAGACGAAAATATTTTATTTTTATATGCTGAAGAAGCATGTTGTAAACATTCAGATCTGAACATTTATGACTTTTCTTTTGTTGTATTGTGGAGAGTTTGGTTTAATTAGTTGCAGGCATGATTGTTCTTTTTTGTATGTCTCAATGATTTTGAAGGCCCTGGAGAGTCAACGGTGGCTGTTGTTTTTAATTATTTGCTTTTCTGTGTTAACCCAGATGTATACAGTAATTGCTGAACACGTAGCAACTGGTCTGTAAAAGCAGTTTTTTTTTTGTCTGTTTAGAAAATCATGTTGAATGTTGTGGCGGTGTCATCTCAAACACTGAGACACATTTATTCCTGAGGATTTTTGGTTTTGTTTTTCACAGCGACCTGGAGAAATCTGTTGAGGAGCTGCAGAGGAACTCATTTGTCAACCATGGCCTGGTGACGGAGCAAGAGGTGGAGCAGAAGAGCAAAGAGCTGAGGATGTTGGGAGAGACTCTCACTGAACTCAAAAGTAGGGGCTGCTTTGCAAATTGGTTCTTTTCTGTTCCGGATCCAGCTGAGGTTGATGAGCGAGTCACTATACTGTACTCTGTTGCAACCACTAACAGATTTTTTTTTTTAATGAACCTGTATTAACTTCCATTTATCTTCCCATCAACTCTTGTCCCACTGAAGAAAAGTATTCCCATATCATGCCTGTTTTGTGGTGTTCAGTGTTAATTTCTACCATGTCCAGTGTTTCGAATATAGGTAAAATCATTTGGTTTCATCTAATCTGACCAAAGCACCTTCTTCCACAGCTTTGCTCTGTGTCCTGCTTGACTTATGGAAAGTAGGATTTCTCATGGTTTTCAACCTCCTTTTTTTACCTCCCACCCTCTCATGAATGGCACAATATTATAACTCTGCCAACAGATTCTCTCATATGAGCTGTGGATTTCTGGCACTCCTCCAGAACCTAATGCTTATGCACCATTTTATACATTACAATGTCTATTACACAACATCTTAATTTAATCAGTGTGTTTTAATGTAAAAAAGTTTTTTCAAGAGGTTACTTTAAACTGGTGAGACTAATCTTATGCAATAACGTAGTCTAAATATTCAAAATGAAATATGAAATGGTATGTTAGTTTTAGTTGGAGGTTGTGGTTCAGGTGTGAGTGATTCAACATTAATATTTATGGCTCTTCTTACTGCTTAATTGCTGTTCATAAAGTTTCAGTTTTGGCCTCTTGCCTTGCTGCCCTGACCTGTGTACTATTCTCTGTTCACTGAATATTAATGAGTCATTCTGAAGCTCTGTGGGGTTCATTATAGCAGAGTGTCATATCTTAACACTTGTTGTTACCATGTCCAACACATCCTACAAATGTGAGAAAAAATTGTACCCTGAACAAAATCTGTTTTGGGGATTAATTTGTTTTTGAAAATTTGGAGAGATACAAAAGTGAGGTAGTCCTGACTGAATTGTGTATTTTAGTGAATATGATGCATACATTGACAAAGTAATGTGATTGGGTTGTTACAAATGTGGGGAAAAAAATACCTTTCTCATTGATTACATAATGATGGTCACCTCTCCTAATCTCATTACTGATTTATTAAACAAAAAAAAACTATTTATCAGAGTGCTCATGCTATTTAAATTTCTAATTAAAGTGGGCTAAGAATAAAAGCCTTTTTTACACTTTTCTAATAACATGACACTCAGTTTCCTCCTCCTCTTCTCTTCCTCAGACCAGTTCCCCAGCCTGCAGAGTAAGATGCGAGTGGTGCTAAGGGTGGAGGTGGAGGCTGTTAAGTTCCTAAAAGAGGAGCCTCAACGCCTGGAAGCTCTACTGAAACGCTGCAACACCATGACTGATGCTCTCAGCACACTTCGCAGGTATTCACATCAAACGCTACGCTTTTTTTATCAGATAGTTTCTTACTTTGATGTTAAACCAGTTTGGTTTGTGCGACACATTTCCGAATATGAAACTTTTGTGCGTTTAATTCGAAAGCAACAACAACAACAAAAAAACAGTGAAACCATAACAAAATTATGCCCATACATAAAAGTAGAGTATGAAAACCTTACTGTTTCCATAGTAGTTAAAAGGAAAGTGGTCTGCCATTTGCAGATGAAAAAATAAATTAATAGTCCCAAACAGAGCTGAGTACCACTTTAAAGTTTTCATGCACTTTGTGGGTAAATGTAAAATGAGGAAAGCCAAAGCGTAGATGTTTGTTCATATTGTGCATTTCTGGCCTGCTGAATGCCTGTCCAGAAACAAAATTCTGTTTGTCTAACATGGTGATGGAGGCAAAACAATAATGGCAGCTTGCACTCTCAGTGAACCATAAACAATTTCATAAGCCAAAGCTTATTGACCTTACAAATATAAATAAGATTTTTATGCACTTTTAATAAACGACTCAGGATGAACATTTTGAAATACACATCATCCCCTATATTGTTTTGAATAATATTAATCATGGTGTATGAATGTGTTAAATAGTGACTCAGCGCCTGCGCATTTTACAGTAATGCCTGAATATGGTGAGTTCAGCGGAGTCGGGCTGTAGCAGCATGGTCTCCTTCTCACCATCAGTACTGCTGATAAAACTAATGTTGAGATGTTCTGGTCAGTAATTACATCAGATGATTATTTCATCAGAGAAAGCTGTGATCAAGACTCCACAGATTCAACCTCCACATTGTGGGTTAAAGTGTTTCATGTCAGTACATGATAAAATACAAGAGCCATTCTTTGAAATATAAATAACCTTTCTAATGAACTCATCTATTACTTAGCAAACTCAATCTGTGCTGCAGAGAATGTAAATTAAATTAATTCCTCTTTACACATTTATTTTTAAACATTAAAGATGCTTTATTCCACAACTATTCTTTTGCGAGGACAGGAAATCTGGTGGATTCTGATGGGAAGCTAGATGGCTCTAACTACACAAAAACCTTGAACATAACTTTTTAGAGGCTGCAAAATAATTGAAACTGATGAAAAATTCACTTTTCAGATGGAAAATTACCCTGAATATACAGATGGAGTTTCAACTCAAATATTAACAAAACATGGGGATCTGATGTGAAAGGTGGTTCTACAGAGTATTGTGTCAATGAGGCTAAATGCAAATGAATGCCACTGTTTATTTTTTCATTTTTGAAAACAGTTATCTAAATTTTAAGTTGTTCTTGGAAATGTGTCATTTTAAAGTATTTTTGTTAGCATTCCTTTCCTCGTGCATAGTAGTATTTTGTGTTTAATGATATTGTGTTTTCTCTGTTTGCACAGACAAGTCTCAGAAGGTGTGTGGAAGACCCCTGAAGACCTTTCCAGTCAATCCCAGAAGAGATCAGACGACCTGAGTCGCAGCTCTGACCTGGACATCCTGAACAGTCCTCCTCTCAGCCTCAGTGACCTGAGCACCACTGCCGGTCTGGCCAACTGGATGCCCCTGTCCTCCTCTGCCAGTGAAGCTGACACCTCCGGTCCTGAGCAGGACGTCCACTCCTCCATGACCTTCAGAAACCGAGTCCTGGATGATCTGCCCAGTCGGCGCCCTGCAGACAAAGCCATGTCTGCAGAAGTCAGACTGGTAAACCTTATCATGTTCATTTCTCTTCATCACTCTACTGCGAACAGAAATATATTTGCCGCTCACTCTTCTGCCAGATGGCAGATATTCATTTACATTTGACATTATATCTGAAAGCTCTTAAATCTGTTACTCAGACACACGAGCAGATGGTTTATTATTCCATTTGTTGGGGCAGCATTAGAAAATCAACTCCATATATCCTGCCAGTAATTTTATGTTTTTGTTTTATTTATCTGTGTCTGTATGTCTGTTAGGCGGCTGAACGGGACTGGGAGGAGAAACGTGCCAGTTTGACCCAGTTCAGCGCCCAGGACATCAATCGCCTGCTGGAAGAAACCCAGGCTGAGCTGATGAAGGCTATTCCAGACTTGGACTTTGCTGCCAAGCACATAAACAAACCGGCAGTGCCCCCCAAACCTCAGATTACCCTCCCAATAAGCTGCACCACAGCTACTTCTTCAGCTGCCGGGAGCACTGGGACCACAGCCACCACTACGTCCAGTGGGGAGCAGCAGCCTGGCAAAGTGCAGCTTGCTGCTCAGAAGCTCAACAGCATGGAGAGTGGCGGCCCACATCGAGGGTCTGGTGAGTTGTGCAGATTTAAACATCAACTGTGCAGATAAAAAGATCATTTTTGAAATTAATCTTATGGGGTTTTCTGATTTTTACAGTGGACCTCAGTGTCACCAGATACAAAACAGAAAAACCATCCAAGTCTCCTCCACCGCCTCCCCCTCGCAGAAGCTTCCCGTCGGCTCATGGCCTCACCACGAACCGCACTGGAGAGGTGATCATCACCAACAAGAACCAGAAGGTGAGACTCAATGTTTTGATATAACTTAAAGTCATCAGCTGTGAAATTAAATGCATCCAGTCTCTGTTCATAATAAGCAACAAATATCTTCTAAAGGGTAATTGAAGGTGCATTGAGTCAACTGACTGCAGCATTCACTTCTACATACTGTATGTTTTGACAGCATATCTTTTACATGCATGTAGTGAAAGAAATGTTCACAGTTGATTGAGTGTCCTGTTGATTGAGTTCTTAAGTTTGAAGCAATCCCTCATACTAAGGTTGCATGTAGTGACAGTAGAGAGGAAAGTATCATTTGCAGTTTTCATTGAAAGATGTTGATGGTCTACAATGATGCTTAAGGAGGAATAACGTGAAATCAACATGGCTGGCACAGCATGCGGTTTCCCACTTTGTCAGAAGCACAACACTACTTTCTTCTCCTGTCCCAGGTTCCCATATCTGGGACACTTAAGAATGCAGACTAGGAAAACCCCACAAGAGATCCAGTTCTGCAAATATTCTCATGCAATCATCCACTCATCACAATGTGTTCAGCTATCTGATATATGCTCCCTATTATTGAAAAAAATATATTACAATTATCAGTCATATTGTGATGCCAGACTGGTGTGGCTGCATAGAAATCAATTGTTTCTGAATGATGTTCAACATAGCAAATGTAAAGAGACATGACCCGAATCAAACATTAGATGTCTCCTACTGCAGGGATGCATATGAACCCTGCAGGGATAGATACACACCACAAAACGTTTTACTGCCTCTGTTTTGTGTGTGTAGATTGAAGAAGATGGTGACATGCCAAAAACTTTGGTAAAGCTAAGAAGGACCCCTTCAGAGACGCCCCGGCCAGCCTCCACTCCACCTGTGATCGCCGCCTCAGCCATTCAGGATGATGATGATGAAGAGAAGATTCTCGCTGAGCTAGAGGTAGGGCAGTTATTGAAATTGCTGAGTTTTGTTTTTCTTGTCTCGTCATATTCCAAAATGTTCTCACCACATTATTTCATAAATAAAAAGATATTTCAGAGAACACCTGTAAAAGATTCACCCAGTAGTAAACAGAGCAGCAGCCAGCCAAAGGCCACCCCTCCATGTGTCTTTGGGTCGTTGGGCAGAAAGGTAAAATCTCAAGCTGCCGCTTGCTGCTGCCACACTCCGAGATCTGGTTCTTCTAACTTTACCCTCTTTTTTAACTACTGTTTATTTCCTACTTTGCCCAATCTTCCATGCAGACTAACTACAAGTCTTGAGAAAAGAAATGAAAAGAAAATGAAAAACACATTAGCTTGAACTTAATTACAAATGTGCTTTTTGCTGCCCTTTGCCTTAAAATCTGACTAGGTTTCTGGCTTCTATTCACAGAAACATTAATTTATCATCGTCAGACTGTGAAGCAGAAAAACACCGAGGGGGGAAATTGGTTATTAGTTTGTCTTTTAGACGTCAGAGTAAATCTTGTTTAAACACATGCCTTGGTTCATTTCCCCAGAATTTACTGAGCTGAATCAAATTTATTTTTGCTGCTAAATGGAGTAACAATTGTACAGAAGGTTGACTGAAGAAGTGATACAAGCGGGGGTGGAGAGACCTATTAACTTTTGTTGGACAAAAACAAAAGTGAATGATGACATTCTGATTTTCATTTATAAAGGTTGTCAATTTCTGCTTTTTATTGCCATACAAGAGGCATCCAATACAATTGCTGATAGTATCATAGTTAATAGTCTGCACAAAACTCCCAGTGCTGTTGTCAACTTTTGAAAAGTTGAAGACTCATAAAAATTGGGCTACTGATTTGTTTAAAATAAGCTTTACCATAAAATGTATTTAATTCACGTCGCAATTAAAACTTTGCAACAAAAATAAAAGACATCAATAATTTACATTAAGTTTAGTACAATGGAATTACTGCACATCTTTCAGTGTCTTAACTAAATTTACCTGAGGAATTGAAAATATCTGGACAGGTTAGTCCGTTGTCATGCTCAACTCAGCTGTTGGAGATGTTTCCAGTCACTCATTGTTGAGACTTTCATTGTGAAAGTGTGACTCTCTATGTCACATAAATTTATATTAAAGGAGAAGGACAGAGGACATGATTTCGAAAACGCTCCAAAGCTGCTGTTTTTTTATTTTTTATTTTATCCAAGTGATACAGTGGATGATTACATGAAAAAGCTATTGTCCAATAAATTCCAGTTCTTGCCCAACTTAATTTTCAAACTCCTCTTCTCTTATATGTGAGGAAGTTTTTATTTTTATTTTGGAGAAATACTAAATTAAAAGAACAAAAGAATCCTGGGTGAATATTTTTTACACAAAAATCAAAAACAGATTTTTAGCCTTATCCCAATGTGTCTGAGTTAGCGTGCAGCAGTTGTACATGGATGTGCCCAAATAAACCTGTTTGTGCAAACAAAAACAAAAAAAAAAAAAAAAAAAAAACAGGGAGGGAAACCTCCAAAAACAGCCTTCAGTTTCTCCGACATGTTCAGCTGAATAAAGAGGTTTTGTTTTTCTGCAATTATCTCCCGTCTCCACCAGGCAGGTAACTGTCAAAATAAAAGATGTTGAGGATTTTAGGCTCACAGTAGCAGCTTTTTTTTTCTTTTTTTTTTTTTTTTTTTACACACAAGTAGGTCTTTAAGATTCACACCCTGTTTTCAGAGCTGCCTCTAACTGATGATTGATGTCAGCTAAAATAGCAGCCACTAAAATTATCTTAATGTGTTTTTATTCCCATGGCACAAGCAGGTAAAACTCTCATTTCTTCCCCTTGGTTGTTAAATGAAAATGAAAACAAATTTAAAGCAAGGGAGGAAAGTTGTAGAGCAGGGCTTCTACATAGCTCAATCTCAGTGGAGAGTTGGAAATTCAAGTATATTTCTTTAGCTTTAAATAAGTAAGTGAAAAATATTTGTCCATTTCCTTAAGGGATTTATCCTTCTATTAGTTTATCAATCTGTCTGCAATCTGTCCATTACTGAAACAGCGTATTTAGCCATCTGTCCATCTACTCATCAGTTGACTTCCTCTTCCATCAATGTGTCAATCTCTTTGTGTATTTGCTCATCTGTTTGTCCATCCATTCATGTATCTATGCAACTTATTGAGATGGTGTGACAGTGTTTTGCTGCTCAAAAATGCTCCAATGTGGGTGAATTAAAACAATTTTGCAAAGTAAAGTGGGATGGAAGTCCTCCAGAATTATTTATAAGATATATAAAGCTCTTTGCCAAGTATTTAGTTTTATTACACCAAAATTAATTTATGGATGTCAATTCTTTGACTACGTTGCATGTTTGGACTTTATTGTTACAGAAATCTGATGAAAATTTAAATTGTTAATTGAGCCATTTAAAAAACATTCACTTAGAAAATCATTACTTATCTGTTGTGTGAAATTTTTACTGAGGGAAAAAACATTTTTGCAACACTCTTTCCCTATCATTCAGAAAATAGTTTCCACATTAGTGCAATTTTACTAAGAGGCTCAAATTATCACAAGAGGCTGTCACTCCATCTTGTTAAAATCAGGTTTTCCAGAATAGCTAATAAAACAATAAAACAACTTGTTCTTCTTCCACAGAATAGCAGTAACTCGCCAGGACCAACGAAAGGTCCCACCGTCGCAGCCCGACTCAAACACCTTCAACAGGGCAGCCTGGAGAGACCAAAAACCCGCAAGCAGAAAGAGGATTTCCCCAAACTCCAGGGCCAACAGCAGGTATTCCACTTCTAACCCCTCTGACGCTCCGCCTGCCTCTCCTCTCTGCTGTCACTTCAGAGGAAGCTCCGCCTCTTTGTCCCAGAAGACTATCAGGGGAGCACAAACTGATTTTCACCTCTTCTTCTTGTGTGTTTTAATGTTTGGGTGGCTGGATTTGGACGAGCTTGTTGAAGCATCAAGTTTTTGTCCAGTGTGTTAGATTTTTTTTTTCCATTGATTAACCTAAATTGAGTCAGAAAAAATTCTCATCGTTCATCTTGTTAAAACTGCTGCCTTTAAGTAGCCTGAAGGATACAGCTTATTATGCAGAATGATTCGAACGAGGTTGTATGAGTTTAATTCATGCAGGAAATAAATTCAGAAAGCACAAAGCAGATATGGAAAACAAAATGCACATGGAGGTACAAAAAATATAACATTTTAAAAATAACTTTGCATACGTAATATTAAATATTGCTTAAGAAACACAAAACATGAGCATAAATTAATGTCCTTTCATATTGTTTTTTGAGGCTGACTGTTTATTTTACTGGCTGGAAATACCTCATTCAATCATTTTCACCTAAAACCCCTTCCTGAAAAACATTTTCAATCTAGCTTTTGTCCAAGGAAAAAGGATGCAGTTGTGAACTGATTACCAGCAACAGTTAAATTGGTTGACTCTACAGAATTTACAAAGCATTTGTTGCTTGTTCAAATTAAAATTCTTTTTTTTTTCTACAAGATTCAAACCTGCTGCTCACAGACTGCAACACAAACCCAGTATCCAGGAGTCATAAAAATAATTCTGTAATGATAAAGCCTGACATGACTACATACTTACAGTCCCATAATTAGTCAGGTCATTGTATCTCCACATGGATCTCACTAAATTAGAGAAACTGAATTTATTTGAGTAAGAACAAGCAGGAATAGCTCAACATAAACATAAACAGTTTGTGTTTATGTTTATAAACATAAAATTAATAGAGGAACAAATGAAGAGGTCTGCTGCACCGACACTGGACTTGATAAAGCTCAGTGGACCAGCTGAGCAGATGAAATGGGACCCCACGTGGTCAGGGAACCGCCACACTGAACTCCACATTGGATTCAAATAAGATGAAAATGTCATTCAAAAAGAGTAGCAATCTAGTCCTTCTTGGACTTTGCTTCACAATCGCAATGCCGTTGCTTGTGCACTTTTCTACAACACTTTTTCCTTTTAATAAACCTTCTGCTAATTAACACCAAACACCAAAAATGTCAAAGGACAAAACCTGGAGCTAAGACACTGTGTTGAGGAAATTGAATCAGTTCCTTTCCTCATATTTGGATTTGTGAACTGGAGTAAAACCTCCAGAAAAAATTGAGTCCAGCCTGAGCAGAGTTAGTGATAAACATGCAGCTTTGAGGCCGCAATATTTTTTAATCCATGAATGGATGAATCATATCTGCTCCTTCAGACACAGCCAACTGCTGTCAACCTAGCTATGTTTCTGAGAGTACCAAGCACATCCAGCTGGCCGCTCAGAGCTTTTTCAGTTTTGCTCCGCAGGTTTTCAGTCTTTATACATTCAGAGGATCTCTGCATAGAAAATGTATTCCTGAAACATAAAAGCTCAGATGTTTGTAGAGTAAACAAAGCAAAGCCTCTGTACTGTTATATTACAGCCTCATATTAAGAAGGCCATGGCCAGTGGTTGGAAATCTGTCCAACCCAGCAATAAATCAAATATAATACTCCAACCACAGCTCTGGTGCTAATGCAACACTCAAAACTTTCCTCCACTGTAGTCTGTAAAATCGTAATATTATAATAATATTACAGAAGCAGTTTGGTAATGATAACGAAAGATTGAATTTCAGTCTGTATTGTTAGTCATATTCAATCATGTTCAGTTCAAATATAGAGAAACTGCAGAAAAAAGCTTTACTCTTTAATAGGAACCTAGAATAAATCAAATTTGTTTAAAAACAACATTTTGATGATGTACAAAATATTTGTCTGCCATCAGATAAAAAAGGCCCAAAAGCAACACTTAAAAGTTACAATCTTTCAAAATGTGCAGATACACACAACAAACTATGTGTCGTCACTTTGGATAAAACTGGAAACGTATGATTTATGTAAAAGAAACAAAAATATTTTATGTTAGATGAAGTGGAGTTTAACCCTGTCATACATAACATGACATATATTAAATGCATTCATTTACAGATTTTAAAATCTAATGCAAGTAATTCTTGCAAAAAAAATTAATCACAGAAAGTAAAAATAAAGTAGTGCATATTATTTTGTTCCCAAAATAAGTTTTAAATATGTGCATCAAAATCTCCTATTGGTTTTGAAGACAAAAAATCCTTTTGTGGCCTGTTAGGACTGGCTGAAGTAAGTTTTCTTGTCCAGTTTTAGTATTTTGTTGGGAAAAAAAATGCTCTTCTGTGTCAAACAGTTAGTATATTCCACATGGGGATATATTAAATCTACGCTGCTGCTGACTTTAACTCCACTTTAATTTAGTTTAATGTAGGTACAAATCAAAATGTTATGTGAAGATTTCAAAGGTTATTGAAAAACATTACTGAGCAAGCAGCTTCATGAAGATCACAGAAGACAGCAGACAGGTCAGAGTTGGATTGGAAAACAAGATCTCAAACTTTGAACATTCCACAGGGCTCTCTTCACTCCATGGAAAAATGGAACAAAAAGTATTGCACAACTTCAAACCTACCAATATTCAGCCTTCCGCCTAAACTGAGGAGGGCATTAGTCAAGTTTGACTAAAGGAAAAAGACAAAAAGAAAGTCATTTTTGGCAAAAGTAGTCTGAATTACAGTTTGCTTCAAACTCAGAAAATACATAGAAGAAGTTGCTTTGGTCACTTTCATTTAACCTGCAATCCTGAATAATCAACCAGAGCTAGAACCGAATTGCTTAGATCTAATAATATACATGTGTCAGAAAAGTGGAGTTAATTCTAAGCCCTAAATTTCAAAATATTTTATAAAGACAAAAACTAGATGTCCAAAGCTATCAAAGACGGACTCAGAGTGCTCATTTACATCCCTCTACTCACTAATGTGCAGCTTTCTGTTGATCATTTACATAAAATTCCAATAAACTACATTAAAGCTTGTTGTAACGTCACAAAATGTGAATAAATTCCTGGAAATTTGTTTGTAAGCCTCGGTACCTCGGTCAGGTTCACCTAAAGACTTTGTGCCTGGTTGTTTTCCTGCATCATTTCTGTTGCTCCAAGCCTTTCCAACATTAGTCTCCCTGAACGTAACTTGTTTTCCTGCAAAGGCTCTCGGTTCGCTGAACATTTGGACGGACAAACTCTCTGCAGACTCCCGGATGTCTGATGGGAGGGAAACTGTCTGTCCGGCTCATTTTTCAGCAGTGGCAGCAGAGTGGAGCAGGGGACGGACGGCTTTTTGCTGTTTTTATTCCACTTGGTTGATGAATTTGGCTCGGAGAGAAGCTGTGGAGTCTCCTGCTGCTGCTTCTGCTTCCGGGTGGTTTGAGGAGTCAAAAACTCAAACGTTTTTGACTCTTATTCAGAGCTGTGGGCTCCTTGCATTCCTCCTCCTACACTCCCATTGTCTCTAGCCCTTATTTCTCCTTCTATTCATCTCTTCTTTCTTAAATTCCTCAGTCTCTTATTTCATTCTTGCTCTCTCTCTTTTCCCTTCCTCTGCATTTACTCTTCATCTCCTTTATTCTTTTTTATTTTCTCTTCTTTCCTAAAGTCATCCTTTTACTCTCCGGCCCTTTCCTACACAGCCTTAATTTCCTAGCATCCTGCCTTTTGTTCCTGTCCTCCTTCCTCTTCCTCCTCTTATGCTGCGTCACTCGGAGGAGGAAGGGGAACAGAATAAGGACAGATTTTTCTGTCCTGCAGCTCTGACAGCAGCTCTGCTTCAGCTCAGCGACAGCCGCGCACACGAGGACCGTCACGCCGATGCACCAAAACCTGACGTTCCCATCGGCCAATCAGATCGAATCGCAGAGCAGCAGTAGTGCAGGGATGAAGGGTTTAAGAGATTTAACAAAAACTTGATGTGTCTGTTAGTAAATTTTGATTTTTATGTTTTCTCCCCCTTCACTGCTTCATGTCTCCATTATTTTTTTTTTGCCTTTTTTGCTCTGAAACTTTCCCTCCTCCCTCTGCTTGCTTTTTGGGGCAGTCCTGAGCTTCTGCTGCTCACTGATCCGGCCGATCATCATCATCATTTCTGCCGACGTTTTCCTTCACTGCTTTTTTCTGACATCTTTTTTTAGTCCGTCAGCCAGCCTTTTTTTTTTTTCTTCTCCTCTTCGTCACTTGCTTTGCCTTTTGTCATCCTGTTTGCTTCTCAGGTCTCTCAGGTCTCATCTGGACTAATTACGTGAGGACTGAGTACTCGGATCATTCCACTTTTGGACCTCTAAATCCTAATTCCCACCTCGAAGGTGACTGTTGGTAAAAATGTCACAGTTTGGAGGCAAACAGGAGCTCCTGTTGTCTGCTGAGAAATTAATGTGACTATGCCGATTCATGTGTAAAATTTGGAAAGTGACTGCAGCAGTTCTGGACCTGCGACATCAAGCAGTTTAACACATCTAATGTGTAAATCCATCAACCACCATAACTAACAACCTAACACCAGATATATGTCCCAGTTTTACACTTCATTGAGGACTGGCGGATTCTCTGTATGAGTAATAAAATTAGTTTTTTAGTTTTATTCAGTGAATTCTGCAACAAACACACAAGTAAAAGCTGCATGAGATGTAAACAAAGGATGCTACTTTAGTGTTTCTCTAAATATTACAGGTGGATTTCAGTAAAGAAGAATATAATTGAAAAGTACACGCATTTCAATCATTCACGTCAAGAAATCAATAGAAATAAACTTGAATAATAAAACTGATACATTTCGGTTATTTCAGATTACTGTTTTGAATTAAATTACTAAAAAATTACTTTTTCTTGATCTTCTAATTTACTGAAATTTACCTGCGTTTTGCCAAATCTTGATTTATTAAGATATGAAAGTTTTAACTGGACTTGTCAAACAAAAGTATTTAAATTTATCTATTGCTTCATCCGGCAATGTTGAATAATAACCACAATGGGTTGAACTTGCTTGAAATTTATTTTCTGGCAGCTACACATAAGCAGATGTTTATTACTTACTTTGGTCAGGCGAAATGCATTTTATTATGGCCAAATTAAAACTTCTCAGATATTTCTGAAAACATACACTACTTCTACTTTACTGCTTAGGCCTGTTAGGTCACTTCAATTCTACCCATAATTTATTCAATTCAATTTAATGCCATTGAATAGTATTAGCATTTTTGACTTTTTCTTCGCTTTTTTTCACACACAAATGTTTCAGAAAGTGAAGCTAAATTTAATATTACTGACGATCTGATTCTTTTTTTAATTTAATAAACTGTTTACTAACAATTTTTCATCGATAAGAAGAAAATGTTCAAGCCAACTTGGCCCAATGTGCTCGGATATTTGCCACCTAAACCTGATAGATGATCCAGTTACACTTGGTGGCAACAATAATAACCACCAGTGAGAATCGTGGTGCACTTTTCTTTGCACGATTGATTTAATTGCACTACGTTGGAGGGTTTTCAAGTTTTGACAACATATTTCAGTTTTTGAGAAAGCATTTTTATTGGTTATAGATTTTGCCTTAAATGTAAGATTTTTCTTACATTTCTTCCTGTTTGTTTGAGACATTGAGAAGTGGACTTGCTGGAGTCCTTTTGATCATTGACTTGCATAACTGAAGAGCTTAGAGTCAGAAGTTTGTGGATGGACATTTTTTTTCTTTTTTGCAGATCAGAATTAATGTTTTGATTGATTACTGAAGCTTGTCCAGTTCTGATACCATTATCACACACAGACCATTTGGGACTGTCTGCATAATAATCACACTTTCCATTTAGCCCCTTTTATGTGTCGTCAGTCCACAGAATCTTTACTCAGAAGTGTTGAGGATCATAAACATGAATTTTTGGAAATATGAGACAGACCATTTGTGGTATTTATTGGTTAGGATGGATTTTCTCCTTTGAAATCTCCCCTGGATGACATTTTTTTTTCTTGTTGTTCAGTCATGAACACTGACCTTACTTGAGGCAAGTAAGAGCTTCAGATGTTGTTCTGGGTTATTTTGTGATGTCCTCGATGAGTCGATGCATACCGACCACTCTTGGGAAAGTTCTCCCCATTGCTATTCTTTCTCCACTTGTGGATAATGGCTCTCTGCAATCTAAAAGAGTGGAAATATGCAGCTTTCTCCAAACTGATAGATGTCAAATTTTGTTACTCATCTTTTCAGGGCCGTTTTCTTTTTAAGATCTTTAAGCCTCCGTGCTGTCATTTGGGTTCTAAGCATTTCTGTCCTGGTCTGGTAGTAACCAGGCCTGGGTGTGACTGGTGAAACTGAATGAAAAATGTGAGCAATCCCAGTGAATTTACAGTTCAGCAAAATAAGGAATTATAATTTCACACAAGTTGGTGTTGACAGCGTTTTTTTCTTTAAGCTTCTTTGTAATTAGACTATATCTGTCTGATTAAAAAATAAATAAATTCTAGTATTAAAGTGTTAAAAACAAAGTAAAAACATAAATAAGCATCAGGTCAAAAAGCACTTCAAAGTACACGCCCTCCAGAAGATGAACGAGTCCACTTCATTTACGGAAACAAATTTGAACGCCTTTACTATAAAACTCCCGTTGCAAAATTTGAAGGGGTCTTTATGTTTGCTCAGTTATATTTCTGCAGCTCCACGGACACCTTCGTTTGAACACTTGAGACATGTGCCTTCACTTTACAATTTTATTTACAATTAGCATTTCCCTGAAATAAGAACAGGTGAAACATCCCGCCTACCTGATGCACAAAGGAGAAGACCAGATCAGTCAAGCAAACATTTAACATTCCTAAATGAAACTGTTTGTCTAAAAGTCCTCAGTTTATAGCAGCTGTTCACTCCCACATGTCATCAGAGAGCGCAACTCAAAAGTTATTCAATTAAAAAGCCTTAGGTTTAAAATTAATGAACATTCATGCTTATACATGATATTAAGGGTGAAACTGGCAACACAGGCATGTTAACATGTTAGTCTTCAATTTAAGTTTTCTTGTAATTTGGACTGAAACAGAAACATGACACATTGAGCTAAAAGGCTTTTGGATCAAAATGAAACCAAACCAGTGTTTCTGAAAGGATTGGTGCTTATACACAAGGGAAACTACAGTAAGAGTTTATAGTTGACTTGTTTATGAAATGTAGGAGCAGATTAGCTGATCCAGACTTAGAAAAGTTTAAATCTGACAGGAAACACTTCAGATGTCTGTATATTAGTATAGAACCATTTAGTTTTTGTTTTAGAGAGAACATGTAAAAAAGGGAAGAAAAAAAGTCATCTATGTTTTATATAATCAAGCTTTTTTTGTATTTTTATACTTGAAGAGGATTCATAAGCATGTAACACATTTATTCTGTAAATTCTTTATTTTTCTGCGTTAAAGATTTTATTTTTTCTGCGAACCATGAAACAAACCATAATCACACGTTGCCGTGGAGACCAGAAAACACCAATAATACGAACTGTAAGATAGTGCCACCACATTTATTTAAAAAAAGCACATGAAACAATCCTGTCACCGATGCTGAGACATCCCGTTTGTAGCCGTTTTATTCTATTCTACCCAACAGTGTGTCCGATTATACAGATTCAGCTGTTTATCGATGGTTTCTTGATGAACGTGTGATTGTTCAACCATTTGTGGATGTTCAGATCATGTATATAAACCCAAATAATATATTACAAATTGATTTTATGTGATTTTTTTATATATATATAAATATATAGAGGGGGAAAAAATACTCCAAAATGGCATGCATACTGTAAACATTCCTGGAAAATCTGCACGCCGGCTGAACTGACGTCTCATTTTAATTCTGTGTATACCTGTGAGTGTACCATAGAGTAAAGAAAACTGTACAGTGACATATAGATTTTTGTATTCTGTTAAAAGCCCTGCTGTCTGAATAAATAAGAAAAAGAAATAAACTATCACACTTGTGAAGAACGATATCTAAAAGATATTTATCAACTAAATGCTGTTCCTTCAGTTTGAAAGTGATGCTTGCTGTGTGGGGTAAGTGTTGTTTGTGAACTGTGAAGAAGAATGATAAACTACAAAGTCAGTATACTGTTAGTACAAACCAACTAATCTGTGCAGAACAAAGCACAAATCTGTGAATGGAAAAGAAAAAACAAAACAAAAAAAAAAACGTTGCTGCTTCATGTGAGAAAATTCAACAAACAGGTTGCTGCTTTTTGTACGTTCCTGTTGTGTTTTTGTGTCAATAAAGGTGACCCTCTGATACACAAGCAACTGTTCAAGACTCAATTTGTTGCCTCAGTTTAATGAAACATCACATAAGGTCTAAATGGACATCCACATGGACAAGAATGAGATTCTGTATGGAAACCTTGAGTAACATCACGATCATCTCACCTCAGTTTAGGAGAAATAAAGGCCATCTCTGCTGACGACCTTTACAGAGAGTGAATTTTTAATGAATCTACCAAACTCAAAGGAGACAAAAAGGATGTGAATAAAAAAAAAAAAAGTGGATTAACTTTTGGTGAAAGTTGAACCTTTTCCTCCAAAGTACGTCTGATTTACTGCTGTGAACAGAAACATGGAGCAGTTATCGTTGGAGCTACGCCATGATGGAGGTTATATTCTCCATCCATTTGAAGGATCACCTGTCTTCATGTGAAGGTAAGAAGGTTTAAAACAAACTTGAATTAAAAAAATCATTTTTCTACAAAATCTCACTTTCTGCTTCAGATTTTTCTTCCTCTCCTCTTGTGCAAAGCTCGGTTTCAGCATAAATGCAGCTCGAATGTTTGTTAGTCTCCTGGCGATGGGCCTTCTGATGAAGATGTAGGACTTGCTCGGCCTTTAATAAAATATGAGTGTTTGATCATTTACCAGCGGCCGAAGCAGCTTTAATCATGTTGACTCTGGAGTCCCTCACCCCCCTCCAGATAAATAAATGTCACAATCTAACGCCTGGAAACTAATCAAATATGTGCTCAGTTAGATCTGATCTGCAGCTTGACGAGCTCAGACGACGTTTGTGAGGATTAGATGAAAGTTTAATGACTCCAGAAGACCAAAGAAGAGTAGCAAGATGAAGATCAGGATCCTGAGGGGACATTTAAACATTAACGGCCCGCAATCATCAGACATTTGATAAATTTGAAGCATCCTCCTGGTCAACCTGCTTCCCTTGGCAATGTCTTTCACCCCAGATTTTCTGTCTAATGGAGTTGAGCAGTGCAACATTTCATTGTTAGTGATGCAGTTTGCTCTAACAGGGCAGTTTTTCAGTCCTTTACTGGCTGGTGGTGGAAGATTATTGTTCTGACCAAAAATACAACCAATTGCTCCTGTGTTCTTTCATTTAACGATGATTGCAGTTGAAGTTTTATCCACACTTTAAAAAAAACCAATAAAACATTAAAGTGTATTGAAGCCGGAGCTTTTGCAACATTTAAAACGATCATTTAAATTTAATCAAAGTGCATATTTCCACAATCTGTGAAATAATTTAAACTTGAAACAAAAAAGCGGGACCTGGATAGTTTTCTGTTAGGCCGTAAATGTTTGCAGTGCAAAGTGTTGAGCCCTCAGTGTTACTGTGTTGGATAAACTGGAGTAATTGGCCACATGAGAGCAGCTCTCAGGAGGAAATCGTGCGAAGGTCTATTCTCTCTCTGCAGTAAAATGTGTTTTCCTGCAGCAGATTCCCTGGAATAGGGAGCAGATATCAAGGACGGCTGAACCTCCGATGCACAGCTTTTCAGGAATTATTGGCAACATCTTAAATGTGAACGTCAAGTGTTTTAGAGAATTGTGACGATGTCTTCCTCTTTTGGTCTAAGTTGAAAATATTTTTTCAAAGTAAAATGAGAAAAGTTACATAAATGGCAGGAGTATAAAATACTTTATTTGTTCAAATACTACAGGGAAGCATAAATTCCATATTAAAATAATTTAATAAAATCCTTAGTATAATATATGAAAACTACCAAAGAGAGAAATGCAAAGAACAGCAGCGACAATTACAACTAAAACACATTCCTGAGTGGACTCTTTGTCAAGTTCTTCCTTTATGATTCTGGTTCTGATATATCTGAGTCATAGAAGACATTTTTGTGTTTGATCTCAGTTGTGCTGCTTGCCCTGTAAATTGTCCTGATGAGCTCGGACGGCATCCAGTATCAACATCAAGCTTCTGCATTTGATTATATAAGGCAGGCAACATTTCTGCTGCCACTGTCACTGTGAGGATCAGGAGAACGCTCCAGAGCTGCAGCTGCGATTTTTTTTGTTTGTTTCCACTATGACATGAGAACAGGACGAAAAGTTTCCTTCACTGTTAAACACCTTCTTCTCATAGATCCAGAATTCAGAGGGAGATGTCTGAAGATACTTGAAGCTGTTGGGCTGGCCTCCCCCTGGAACTGTGACGGGAACCATCTGTCCGTCTGTATGGCTGATTCCTTAAATCTGAGGTGAAACAGAATCCAAAACTTAAACAAGATGCTTTACAGAGGACTTTTTTTTTATTTAAATAGTTAAATAAAAGCAGTTTTCTTTACTTGTAACTGACTATTTTGATAATCAACCAATTGCTCAATTGATAAAGTATGCAGAGCAATGAATATTGCCTTTTACTAAATCACTTCGGATTCAATTAATTCATAACCATTGTTCATTCGGCTCTCTCTGATTTCACATAATAAATACTGGTGTGATGAACTGAATTAAAGGGTAAATATTCATGCAGTCCTACATGTTGTGGGAAAACTGCTTTGAATAGCCCTATATTGTGTTGCAGCAAGGCTAATACTGTGTGTCCACATAGTTTACACTCACTGTTCCTGCCAAAACTTTGGTTATTTTGTTCACTGGTGACTTATTTGGTGAAAGTGTTGGACACGATAACCAGATTTTTCTATGATTTATCATAGAGAATTATTTCTTGATTTTAAAAGTACAAATTTTAAGAACATCTCTGCCTCTTGTTATATAAAAACTGAGTCTCACTTCATGTGCTGTGTTTTGCAGGCCTTAAACTCTGCTTTGAGTTTAAAACTTTAAGTTTAAAGGAACCAACGGGGACTTGTATCCTGCAGACACTTTCAGATAATTCAAAGGAATCAACATCTCTGGAGGAAACCTTGTAAACAAACTCATTCCCCTTGAGCCAGATGCTTCTTTGGAGTTTCTGAAACTCCTGCTGAGAGGCAAGTCAACATCAGTTTGATTTAAATTGTGACAATTATCCATATCTTTGAGGCTTCCGAATGTTTCCGTTACACGACAGTTTTGTACCCAGGACATATTCTTCTGTCTATAACATAGTAGTGCTCAGAGTTTGAAGATGTCACCTCATCGCTGAAGAATGAAGTCGCACAAGAGACGAGAGGAGCGTTTGGCTGAGCGAGCCGTGAAGGGCACAGATTTAAGAGCTGAAGAGACGGGTGGGTGGAAAAAGAAGGTTGCAGAAAAGAGTCAAAACTTGCTGAAAGGAGGAAGAAAGTGATAGAAAGAGCAAAACAGCAGATTTAACAACTGTTTATTTTTTTTCTTTATGCAGAAATAGTGTTAAAGCTATGAAATCACCATTAAATCTACGGACTGCCTGTCAGGAAACCATTGTTTCCCACTTTCCTGACAAGCAGGAAACACTGATTTCACTCCGCAGTCAGACACAGTCTCAGTTGGCTTCTTACCTGTGATGATGTCCTCAATGGCGCCATCTTTCCCCTCCCTCACCGGAGGAGAGCCCTGCTTCCTCTTCAGCTCTGCGATCAGATCCATCTGAGGTTGTCTGCACCTAATAGGAATCTGGAAGAAGAAATCAAGCTCAGTATTGGTCTCACATGCACAGGTTATTAAATCATGTCTCTGGGACAATTATGATATCAAAACACCCAGGGACCCTTGTCTTTCAGTTTATTAGGTTTCTTGTTGCAATATAAGTTACTAATCAGATTTGCTTGTGCTAGAAAGCTGTCAGGGGACACTACTCCCAACCATCTAATACAAGGTATTAAAGCAACAGATACCACAGTAAATCATGACCAGATTTTTATCCAGCTGCTGATGTCGGAAAGTTGGTGTTTCACCTCAAACCAGCTTTTGTATTTTTCCAACATAATAAAGGTTCTCTAAGCTTAATCCTAAATGAAACAAATGATGAATTACATCAAATTTTGTATGCTTATTATTACATAATTTTCGGTAGCTAAAATTGATGTGCATATAACGTATTTGAATTAGATCCTAAAGCTTTGAATAACTGGACAAAAAAAAAATCTTAAAACTTAAATATTTAAGAAGTCAAGAAACTTGAACTTGGAAAAAAAATCTGCAACAACAACAAAAAAAATATTGCTTTTGAATAAATGCCACTGGTGTCAAATACAAACAATTATTTTTAAAAAGTCAAGCAATTAGGATGCCTTCTCGAGATATCGCTGCATATGAAATGTTGCGGCATGACACGTGAAAAGAGTGCACCGCATAGAAACTTCTTGTATCTCTTTGACTTTATCTCTTGTATCCCGTTTCAGTTTTGTTGTACAGGGAGTGGAAGTAGTCGAGTCTTTGAAAATTTCTTCTAATAATTTTGAAACAACAGGCTGTGAAAATTATTAGAAAACAGAAGCTGAGCTGTTACCATGTTCCTCGGAGGTTCCGGTTTGGGAGGAGCTGAGTGATCGTCACAGGTTGGACGTTGTCGTTTCTCTGTGTCCTTGCTGTCCAGCTCAGCTTGCTGTCAGAGAACAATAAAAACATTATTCTGCCTTAAACCTGTCAGATTCATTACTGATGAACATTAAAACTTGTTTTGAGAGCTTTTTAGCTATAAAATCTCTGACCTTGTATGCTTTTATGAACCGGATAAAAACAGAGAAGAACACAGAGGGCGGAGTCATTGTGGGATCTTCTCCAAAGTACTCCACGACCGACTCATATGTATCCTGAATGCCAATGTCCCCAAAACAAGAGTGAGGAGTAGAAACAACAACAAAAAACAACATAAAAGTAAATGAGTTGAGTTAACTGAGGCTAACCTGGGCAGTCTTTTCTTCGGCTGTCAGAGAGTCAAGAACCGGAGCCTTGGCGTCCAGAAATGTTTTCAGGACAGGGTTCTCTTTTTCTGCTGAAAACTCGCTCCTGGTCAGCTCCATGCCTCTTTCCAGAGCTCTCAGATTCCTGAGGATGCTGTCAAAGGAAACTGCAGCACAGAATGGTAGCTTATAATGAGAGAAGTTGTTGTTAATAAAGAAATTAAGATATCTCTTTTTGCATCCTCTTTGCAGCACCATTATTTCAGCCACATTACTGCATAACATCGTAAATATTAATTTTATTTAATTCAAATTACATCTTGAAGGAACTTTTCTTCATATGATAAATACATTTCTATGATTTTGTGAACTTGAAGTGAACATTTTTACCTATTTTCTCACCTTTCTGTAGTACAAAGCACAGATGAACCAGCAGGATTTATTTGATAATGAAGTCAAATCTTCATTTCTCAGTGTTCAAGAAAAAGTCTTTCAAAAAAGTGTGAGCTGCTAAATTGGACCCCCAATGTCATCTTCCGTGGCGTTTCCATCAACTGCACTCTCAAATCGGCCTAATTTGTAACAAAACTAGAACCACATAGGGGGTTGTTTTTATCAGGTCATTTTATTAAAAAAGCTGCAGGGAAATCAGGAAGTAATGGAAATAGGAATAGTTATGATTGACTCCTTAAAAACAATCCGAGGAAAGCAGAAGGTTTAATAGACTAAATATAACTGCCAGGAAAAACTGAAGAAGGTTGTATGCTAAAGGTATTTTATTGATCCAGACTGGATGGATTTGGGCTCTGCATGCAGCAGATGAGGTTTGAAAATAATACTGTAGAAATATTCCAGCAGAGCTGTGATGAGAAGACTGTTTACATGTATCAGAGTTACATATTGTTGCTGCATATTCGTGGATCCTCTACTGTGGCTTCGCCTGTCAAATTTCATCTGTGCTCTATGGAATAATTTACAAATTGAAGGACGAACCTTAGTTTAGCTGTTTGGAATGTTTATGTTCCAATGAACTATTTTGGTCTTTTTCCTCTCCACATAAAGTTTGTTTCAAGCTAAAAATCCTAGTTACTCTTTAAAATTAGTACTCTGAAACAATTTAAACAAATTTGCTTGAAAAATAAACAGTGATGAGCAATGAAAATTTTTCAGAAGCCTGGCAGTAAACCATTAATCTGCATGAACAGATCTATTGAGCTGTACAAGAAAAATACTCCATCAATGGAAACTTTGGTCACTTATGGAGTTTCCCTTTGATTAAACACACGTGGTGCTGTTTGTAGGTCAGAGTTGTGTGATGTTGGAGGTTACCGAGTACTGCTTTGTCTAGGAACTGCAGTTCAGTGTAGAAATCCTGGAGATCCGGGTATTTTTCCTGAATGATCCTGACAATGAAGTCCAACAGCGTTTGTCTGCGGTCTGTTGATTTAGTCTCCCGTAGCTTAAAGGAATCAGCAGAGCAGTTAAAGAAAAAAATAGATTCAGAGACGTCAACAAATTCATAGCTACTTGAGGGTGCAAACTCAAACTTTAATCCAGTTTAGAGTTTCTCACCAAGTCTAAACTCTGCAGATGGAAGCCGTATGCTGGCCCTCGCCTGCTGCTGTTCATGTAGTTTCCAAACGCCAAAATGATCTTTAAATTAGAAACAAAGTGGAGCGCTGTGTGATACACCGATCATGATTTTTTTCTGTTTTGATAAAGCTGGAAAAAATATTTAACCGTTGCTATGTGTTCTCTCATCTGCACATTTTTACAAAACATTTAAATGAAAATATTTACCTCAAAGATTTTCTTCAGCTTTAAGGATGATCTGACAAACATCGAGGCTGCAATAATGGCGTCCAGCTGCTGCAAGACGACAGTGAAAATGTGATTAAGGTTTCAGGTAATCAAGCACCCTTGCAAAATGGTTTCCCTAAAACCAAACAGTAACTTCAACACATACACCCATTTGAAATGTGTGCTTTCTCAGACAGCAGAGGCCTATCTCAGGCCATATGAACTCACAGGCTGGATGTTCTGGATGCTTTCTGTGAAGTTGCCCATGAAGGTCAGCGTGCTGATCCTCTGGGAAAGCCTTGGGATCTTGCCAAAGCGTGCCATGAAGCGATCCTCTTCACTGAGCTCGTTCAGCGACCGACCTTCGCTCTCATAGGTTTGGATGAGCTTCATTTCGTACTCTGTGGGGATGAAACGCTCCAGCAGCTCCAGGAAGTCCAGACTCAAAGCTTGCTGGTCGTACCTGTATGAATAACAGTTCTCTGACTCTACTGGTTGATGTATTCATGTGACAGTTTTAAAGTTCAGCACGTACGTCTCAATGGCGCTGCAGATGTCTGAAGTAGCCACACATTTCTTGCGCAGAGTGATGGCCAGGTTTTTGGCCCTGTTGGGCTCCATTAGAGACACTCTACTGGGAGTCTTCTGAGCCTTTTTCTTCTTCAGGGTACCCAGATCTACTGGAGGAGCCTGAGCTTTGGTCTTAAACTGTTCCTCGAAAGCTTCCATGTCCAGCTCCTGGCACAGAGTTAAAAGCACAGAAGCAGAAACATTGAAGTTTAAACAAAAGGATGAAGGTTTTTTCTTTTTGAGTGAATTTACAATTAATATTCTGTAATTAGAGTTAGAGTAAAAGTTTTTATGACCTAAATCCAGAAATTTTCATCCATTTTTGCTTTTAAAAGATTCTAACTTAAATATTCAATATTTTTTTTTGAGAAATTTCTACTTAAAATTTCAGTACGTTCATTTAAAGTGCAAACACTTTTAGTCCAAAAGCAGAAACAGAACATGTGTGTTGCTATTATCCACCAATTTAATCAAGTTAGAGATATGATGTGTGAGAATATCAGGTATTAAACCCTGAATAAAAATAATTTTTGGTTTTAGGTGAACTATAAAATAATGCATAACATGAACTAAATGCTTTTTTTTTTTAAACCATGCAGAATGCAGATAAAAGTATCTGCATTCTGCATGAGTAGTAAACGTTCAGCTGGCTGCTTATCAGAAATGCTGCTCTTATTATTCAAAGATTTATATGTGAATCTCATGACTGTTTTTCACAACTAAAATATTTCAAGCCAAATTTGTAGTTTTTTATGAGTTAACCAAGGGTGTATGATGATGAAACACTTTTAAAACTTAGAAACATCATGCTAGATTCAGGCCCATGCCTCGCTAAGTTTCAGAAGTGTTCATCAATTTTAGAAAAAAAGTCAACCTCAAAAGAGTTAAATGAAGAAGAAAACAAAATGCCTTATGTTCAGATTATATTCAAATTCAAATATGTTTTTAGACAAAAAAAAAAAAACTAAAAAAGATCTATCTTGCTTTCACTGAGAAAATATTCAATTAAATGTTAAATGAATCATAAACAGATCAAACCTGCAATACATGTTGATCGTCCAGCTCGCTGAAGATGGTTCCCTCCACCTGGTCTAATTTCATTGCGTCCCAGTTGAATAGCGGCATGCGATATTTGGTTTGAATGGGCTTCTTCTGTTTGTCTGTAGAAGAAATAAAGAAAATGTTTAGATGTTGTTTGTTGTTTTCCTTAGTGAAGTTTTTAACAACAAGGAAAAAACTTATCAAACTTGAGCAACGTGTCCATTGGGACTCCATGGCTTCTCAGTGGTGCAGAGGCTTTGTGCTGCATACTTTCCACTTTCTCGGGACATTTTAAAATGACTAAGACTTCAAAAGTATCCAGAGTAAAATGTAATGTGAACCTGATGTAAAGGATAATTTCAAAGATTTTTTTCAGTTGCTCCACAACCTAAACACACTTCTCCATCGGAAATCAGCCAAAAGGCAAAACATGAAGCAAAACTGATTAGATTTTGTTTACTTTGCAGTATGATGAAGGTGGCTGATGATGCTCTGATGTAGACCTTTGAAATATACTGAGACCATTCAGGTTTTTTACAGACTTTTCAAAATTCTGTATTTTTCCATAATCTCAAGTTCAGAATTATATGTCTTTTTTAAAATAAAAAAAAACCCTCTAACCTTCAATCTTTATTTTTATTACTTTTGCAAAGGCACAGAAGCCCAGACCACAAAACCAAAACAGTTTGAAGTTGTGATGGTGAACTCACCTGAGCCCCCTACTGCCTGCTGTGCCACAGCGCCTCCAGGAGGTGGTGGTGGGGGAGGAGGAGGAGGAGGAGGTTGAAACTTCGGTGGTGCTGTGATTGGAGATTGTGGGGAGGTGGAAGTACCATCTATTTGATCACTGACAGTGTCTGCAAGGATCAGTCACATGATGTATAAACCTCCAAAGTCTGCACATTAATGAGCCTTTAGATAAAATCTTGACATGCTGCATAAACCGTAACAAGTTCAGGAAGGAGACTTCTCAAATTATTAAAGAACAAATGCAGCTGATTAGTTAGAACTATGCTTCTGTGCTGACCTCTTTGTGACTCCTGCTGGACCACCTGAAGGACCAGCTCACCAGAGGCGGCACGGTCCATTTGAAGGAGGCCCTGCTCCACCAGAGCCTGAACCCTCAGCTGCAGCTCCTTCAGCTCTTCAGAGGATTTATATCTGTCTCCTGCTTGATCTGGGTGCTGATCCAAAATGAGTAGCATTAAATGAGTTGAAACTTTCTGAGTCTGCACACATAAACATCCCAAATAAATGCATTGATTCATAATAATTCATCTGCAGGTGTCCCATAGCTGCCTACTTGGATTCCTTTGTTGAATGTCTCCCCTGCAACTTTGGGCTAATACAGAAGACCTTATTAAACTGCAGGTAAATCTTTCTGTTAAATGAGAAAAAATAATTTATTTTCTGGTGAGGGATAACTTGGGACACCCTCACATTTCTAAAATTACTATGATCACACACACACCCACACGTACACAAACTGTAGACAAGAACATGAAGGGGAAGAAAAACAGATCTGTTGGCATCAGTAGATGGAGTAGGTAAAAATTTGGGGGTTTTAGTACACAATATTCTTTGAAATGACTTTATATGTGAATGTCTAAGAAAAGCATCTCTGCAGCAGTTAATTAAAACTTCCCACCACATCAAAATACCTGTTGAGGTGAGAAAACCTCTGGCAGATTTTAAGGTTTTCTTGCCTTTTTAACAAGAAGAAATGGACAAAATATATAATACTTATAATTTCAATTCAGTAAATATCACAAAATACAGTGAAACGTTTCAGTCCATGTCGTCCATTCCTACTGCTAACTTCTGAAAACACTCTAAAAGAGACACAAACAAAGCAATGTCTGTCTCATCTAATAAAGCCAAAGCAATCTTCCTCCACTTTTAATCTCTAATCCAGCTTAGATTCAGAAATACACAAAAAAACAAGCCTTGAACATACTTGAAGGTGTAAATGATCACTTTTGTAAACCTCAGAACATTAGTTACAAAAGGTACTATGTAGTGAACTGACCCACAGTCACAATTGTAGGAACAATCAGTAACACATTGTTCTGTGCTCCAGCCCGCACCTGGCAAACAGCTGTGTCATCCAATTTATTGCTTACAATCACTCTATTCAGCTACATATTGAGGACTGTAAGTATTCACATCCCACTTATGTTAGAGTTATAACCAACAAAATGAAAGTGCCACCTAATGCAATTAAAATAAGCAGGTAAATATGATTAATGAGAGAATAGTCTATCAAGACATAACAGAAAATGTATTCATTTTGTTCAACAGCTTGAAAAAGTTTATGTCATCCTCCAAATTAACCAAAATAAATACAAATGACTCACATTACAACGGTCTTAGTAGCTCGGACTATGTGATTGTTTTTGCGGCACAGCAGGCGTGTTATATTCCCCTTGTTGTAGCTAATGTGTGTGACTGCAACCCCTCATTTTTCCTGTATTAACAGTTTTAACATTTCCTCACCACTCCTGATCTAATGGCTGTTCATATTGCTGCTGCTATAATGTTCTTCTTTTTCATCTTGATTGTGGGAATTTACTATGCTAACTTGTTTATCGCTCTGCCTTTGCGCTTGCTTTGCTGCCACCTCTCAGCAATCCTAGGAGTTTGTTTGCCTATTTGTGTTTCCATTTGTAAGAATCTCAGCTCTTATGGTTTTAAGACTCTGAACTACTATTTTCTGTTCAGGCAGGATTTAAAACAATTCATCAAGTTGTTTCATACTGGTTTCTCCTGCTTCGAACACTATTACTGTATAAAATGTTCTAAATGCCAAAGGATGATGGCATCTTTCAAATGTTTTCTGTTACAGCACACTGGGTGTTTCTGAGCATGCATCAGCTGTACTGTACCTTTAAGGGGTCCACCTCTTTGCAGGTCTGAATGAGCTTCTTCTCCAGCTCGGAGACTTTCTGCATTGCCCCCATCTCAGTTTCCTGAAACTTGGAGCTCAGCTGAAACATAAAAAGGTAAAGATTTAATGGTTAAGATGAAGTCTGATATTTTTGCTTCCAAAGCAAAAATCTGCAACAATTAACTGTAGCTGAATGTAAACTGATTGCAAGGTTTAATTACCAGAGAAATTCTCCTTAAGATTTTTTTTTGTTATAGCTTTACACAAATTTTAATGTTAATTCTGCTATAAAGTCATTTTAGTGTAGCTAAAATACTTAAAAAAAACATTTTCCAAAACTGACATTGTCCCTGAAAAGTCACAGAATCTTAACAGCTGTATCAATCGTATAAAACGTGATGGAATACACCTGAATGTTCCCTATAGTGTGTGTGAAGTGTCCGTAATGGAGTTGATGTGTGCTGTTCATTCACCTGTGTGTTGAGCTCCTGCAGCTGGTCTATGTGATCCAGCAGGGTGGTCTTGGTCTCTGCATCCTCCAACAAAGCTGCCACATCAAACACGTTATCCAGATAGGCCTGGATCTGGACCAGCAGCCTGTCGCTCTCTGTAAACTTCAACTGCTGCAACGGAAGATTTTAAGCAATACTTTCAAGTTTAATTTGATCTAATGAGACATAGATGTAAGGTGTTCGGTGTGTCTACTCCAATATTTAAAAGTCGTATTTATCATGTTCAGAGGGTGGAAGACCAAACTTGCCTCCAAGTAGTGATCCAGGCCATGTTGGGTAAATTCGAACTGAAGGTAGACCCTGAAGTTCAGGTTTTCCACTGAATGAACCACAATGTTGATGAACTGCATGCAGGCCACCTGGTGGACAGATTAAGTAGAGATTGCTCCAACATTTACTTCTCCAGACTCAGATTTGGAATATTTTCACATTTTTAGGTTATTTTGCTAAGCAAGTTTCAGTGTTGTGGATAAATGAATGTGTTGTAGAACTTTGAATCTAACCTTGATGTTTTTACACATTTCAATCTACAACAAAGTGCACCTCTCCTGTCACTAACTAGTGTTTTAATCAAAAGGAAATAAAAGTTTTTAAAAAAAAGTGCAGATCTAACCTAATTAGTAGTGAAAGAAGGCTGGAAAACCATGGATATTTTGGAGTAATTTTGGCTTTATACATGAAGGATTTCTTATGTGTTTAGAAGAGCTTGGTAACTGATATACAGTATGTTACTACACATGGTGGTAGAGTTTGGGCAGCTGCACTTGCTTGTTTAATTAATCAATATAACTATCAATTTAAATGCTTCAGATCTGAAATTTATTTTCCCGCCAAAAAGTTTCAAATTGTTGAAGCTTAAATTTCTTCCAGGTACTTATTTGTTGCACATGCAACAAATAAGTACATACTTTGAAAAAATTCTGTTTTATTTGAGGTTTACCATAAAGTCAATGTTGCTTTCTTCTTTCTGAAAATATTCCATTAGCTTCTCAAAGCGCCTTTTCTCTCCACACACCTGAGAGAGAGAGAGAGAGAGAGAGAGAAAAAGGAAATATTAACAAACACGTTCTTATTTTATATGCTGCTCATGGTAATGTTTTCAGCAGCAGTGAACACATGGGGGCAGTATGCTTTCATTCAAAGTGGACTTTTTCCTCTGAATGCAGATAGTGCTTTGACGCTGTCATGCGTTTCTTAGCAAACACACAATCTACCTGAGAACACTGCTAAGAGAGGAAGATTACAGATTTCCCAGTTGTGTAGAATCAACAACCATTTTCAGCTTCAGAAAAAAATCAAACAAAAGAACAGTTAAGACTGAAAAAAACATGCTTGAGTATGTAGTTACATTTAAATGTTTTCTTTTTTTGTCAACACCTCATCAGTCCCCCACTTCTGCTATGCAACTGACTAAACTTCCACCAGCTCCTTTTTTGCAAACTCATGTCCACTAAATAATGCAGGAGCCCAAACAAAGCTGTATCTCTGCTCCCGAGCGACACATAAACCGCCTCCTGGCCCGCCGCCCACCTGCCTCTATGACAGAAGCACAGGATCTCTCATCATCTCCCTTATGACTCCCTCCCATATTGGTGCTCCTGTGTCATTAAAATTAAGAAAAACTCTATTGTCTTCCTCCTCTCTTCCTGAAAGCAAACAACATTGTCGATCACCGCGAACAAACATGGTTTGCAGAAAGGAAAGCAGCTTTTGCAATGAGTTCAGAACATTTAAGTGTGATTCCTTGCTTCCTTGTTTTGTCTACCTTAAGTGTTACGTTTAGTTCGAGAGTTAGGATCTCAGACTGAAAGCAGTCAACTGCATTCCTTTCTCATGGCTCAGAGAACATGCTGCAAAGCAGGTTTGCAACATCCTGTAGTAAAAATAAATGTTGCTAGTTCAGGTTTACCCTCCTGTCTGTCTGTCAGAATGGTTGCAGTGGCTCTAAGTGACTCCTGTTGCTACTGAGATGAAAAGCAAAGGTCAGAGGTTCTGTGAGAGTTTGGCATATTTACACTCCTTCAGACAGTTTTGTTGGATGGAGCAACACTTGGACTGAGGTGCTGGTGTGAGCACCGATGATAAATAGATCAGAATTTTTTAAATGGTGTATGACTTAGGGCAGGTAAGTAGAAGTGAAAAAAACATGAATTTTGTGTTTGAGCTGTTCCAAAATGTGAAAACATTTGCTTTCTTTTTTTTCTGACTTCAGAAAATAGTCCAGAAAAGTTAGAGATGATATTTCTGGACTTTGTCTAATACAAAGGGGTTATGGTCTTCTTGTTACTTCACTATTTGAAAATGGTGCTTCATAATAAATTGTCTTGTTATGGTCAACACAATCAAGATCACTGTTTTAATATTTTGTCAACCATTGACACTCCATAATCAGGGTAAGATTTGAAAGATCAGCACCAGATTTTCAACGTGTCTAAAGGAAAACTTGGTGGAAGGAAAAAACTCAAAAGAAAAAAGATCATAAGCAACAGGTATAAGTAGAGCTTTGAGAGGATTAAGGAAAGTTTACTCAAGGGTTTGGGGAAGATTTACGTGTAAACTGCAGCTAAAATTAGAGCTTCAAGAGCAAAGATGGAGAACGATGAAAGGCAGCAGAACCAACCAAGCAGAAAAGATTAGAAAAATGGGCTTTCTTGGCACCTCAGCAGAGCAATAGATTCTACGTTGCTGTGATGCAGTGTTTTATGCAGTCTATAGACAAAAATTCAAGCTGGGACACTCTCTTCAGCCTGCCGACATAATCAATTACCACGCCTGCGCCTCAGCCAACCAGCACCATGCAAGAGCTCCTTCAAAAGGCCAAACCACCATGGATTCACTTGCGTCAGCCGCGCTTCGGCCCACCTCCTCCCCACCTCCACCCTCATCCTCCCGGGCATCTTCCAGACTCCCTCCAGGCTCCTTCCTCTCCAGGCTCCCCTCCACCACCAGTATCCGGACCCGGGGGATGACTACCCTCAGCTTCGCCCCGAACCGATCGTCCAAGCTCACAGCGAGTCTCTGGCGCTCTGCCGGTGTCCGAACTTTGGGTGAATAAAATATTCTAACTGCTGTTTTTTCTCTGTGTGAGTCTCTCCAGATGGAATTACAGTACATTACGTGAGCCTGTTTGACAGAAGGTTTATATTAATGTATTAAAAAATATTTTATATTGGATATATTCAGATTGTTTGAGAAAACATAATTTTTATTAGTTCTATGCTATAACCAAAGTTAAAATAAGTGAAATATGTCAAACTTTTCGTTCTAAACTTAGATAATAGAACACTTTCACTTTTGCAACTGAATTCTTACCATTTTGTCTTTTTTGTATTTTTTTATACCAAGTTTAATATGAACACACTGTTGATCTTCTTCAACAATACTAAAACAATAAGCTCTTTTTCTAAAAAATGTTGAACATTCCCAATTTTGCTTTTGTCGTGCTGATGCAGACCTTAAATATATCTTATTGAGTTCATATTTATTTCTAAATGACTTACTTTTTCTTTTGCTGAACAAAGTGGGAAGGACGAAGGAACTTTAGATTGGGAGTAAAAACTGAAATCTAAACTTTGGAAAATTTCCATCAAGTCAAACATTTCCACAGGATAAGAGCCTGCTCTGTACAGACTCTGAATGTTGATTACATGGTGCCTGTTATCTGACCTCTTTGAAGTTGTCAAAGGCGGACAGGATGATGTCATGGCCTCCTCTCACCAAACATACAGCTGCCAGCAGCTCCAGCACCAGGGCTTTGGTCCTGAGAAGAGTAAAAAATTCTTTACCAAAATGAATACAGCATTTTTTAGATAAAAGTTTCAATTTAACATTAAGGCTAATTTCAGTTTAAGATGAGAATTTGCTATTTTATAAGCATTTTCAATTATATTTGCTGAAAAGCCATGATAAAAAAAAAAAAAAGTAAGATGAAGATACTACCTAAAGCAGTCCATGCTGAATCAGTGGAATCACTGATAGTTTTATACAGAAATTTGAATTCATACCTACTGAATTTTATTCAGGTTCAGAAGCAATTATGAGGTAATGATGGAACTGGAAATATGGGTCGTGATTAAGTCTAATATTTAGCTCGTTAGAGAAAATATTGAACTGCTCTTTTAAAGAGAATTTAATTGCTGATATTTACTAAAAACACCATAAATAAAAATGTATTAATTGTTAAAGAGTGACTGTAAATGCTAGGTTTTGTGAAGGCATAATGCTGGTTTCACCTGGGGTTCCTGTTGTTGAGGCTGAGAGTGATCTCGTTGACACAGCTTGGGTGCTCCATCACCTGGTTGAACCCTGACTAAAAACATAAACAATTATTGTAATATTGCAAATTTTAGAAATGGAGGTCACCAAAACTTACTGAAAATCACTTTTTACATTGTATCAATAGTGATCAGGATTTCAAGTAGACTGCCAATAAAATTCAGAATAAAGCATCAGAACAATTACATTTTTTTTTTACTTTAAATATCTTATCCTACACATCTATCCAAGAACAATCCTAAATTTGAACTCAGCATCTCAAGAAGTCTGAAGGAACATGAAATGTCCCATTTCAGGAAAGAGGAACTATAATAAGCCTAGAGCTTTCTTATCTACATAAATCTGGATACTTCTACATATTTTCTGTACTATTTTGGTTTCAAATGATTCATATTTCTACATGCACTTGAAACATTTTTCTGAGATCTGTCAAATTTTCACGTTTGTTTAAAAAAAAGAGTCTTAGCAAAGTTTTCTCTCACTTTACCAAAATGGCCCAATAATTTACCTAAACTAAGCCAATAGTCTGTTAAACTGCAAAAAACAATAAAAGAAGATCCGACAGTAACAACATTTTTTAAAGGTCATGTTTGTATTGAAAGTTTGTTTTCAATACAAATGCAATCTAAACATAGTAGTTACAACTTTTAACAAAACACAAAGGCCTGAAAGTCACCACCTTCATTTCAATTCATAGAATTATTATTTCAAAATACATATTCATTAAGGCATCCTAAAGTATTTTTCTTCCAATGATGCATTAACAGTGATATTTATTCACACAAGGAAAAAAGTTATTTCCTTGTGTGAGTGGAAGTATTTATATACCTGGTAGTTCATGATGGCACGTAGACACATGATGCAGAGATGAATGTCGTCCTTCTGAGTTATGATCCGTGAAGGCCTCTGAGCTCTCCTGTTGGAAAATAATTAAAACATCAGGCAGAAGTAAAGCATGTTGCACCAACATACCTTCACACACACAAACACATACATAGATTTTAAAAATAATATGTTTCAAATACATTTTATGCATGAGGTAACAAAAATAATGCCAGGAATTTATGAAAACCTTTTTTTTTCACTTGCTTCAAACAACACAAGACAAATCTCAGTTATTATTGCATAGCTTCTAGCAGATTTCATGCAACTGTCCTTAGAAAAATCACTGATTTACAACTAAACTCTGAAACAGTCCATTTATTATACTTCCAATATAAGTTTGAACTTTTTTCTAATCTTTTATAGAACAATGGGAAGTTCATTTGAGTCCACACTTTCCTTATGGGACTTTCCCATTGAGACATTTTTTTTTTACATTTCAACACCTTCTGAACAACAGCAGGCCAGACAACACCTTCATACATGCAATGAAAAGAATGCAGTGCCTCAAATCACTTAAAGATAAGACAGTTCAGGAAATGTGTGACTCTAGAGTTGAGTTTATCCATGTACCCGAGGTCAAGTCAGCTTGGAAACAGCAGCAAGTCTCAGCAACTTCACAGAAACTGGTTCTTAATTTATCACAAAATTTTACATTATTGCATCTTGGCAAAAAAATATTAAAATTATCAACAGAAAATTCAACTGAGACTATAAATTTGTAGTCCACACTTAACTTCTGGCAGTTAGAATCCACAACTCAGTTTTTTTCTAGTGTTTCTCTAGTGCTTTAAAAAAATGCTAAATCAGAATTGGTCGAGACGAAAATAACCAAAGAAAACTAGAAATTGGAATCAGCTCGGAAAACCTTTACTTCAATGCAGCCAGGCAGCCATGGAAACCTTCCTCTATATACTTCACTAACCACAGTTCTTGATGTAATCTGGAGGACACAACATTTTGAAGGGCTGCAGCTACTGCCTTACAGAATGCTGGTGACCTTTGGGCACAATGCACTGCTCTATTAATTTACAAAAACTACTACCTCATGGCTCAGTTGCCTCTGCTTTATGGCACAGCTATCATCTGTTTCTTGTGGAAAACGGTTAAAAAAGTTATTGACTGAACGTCTTGAACAGGTGGCATTTTAATACGATAGAACAATGCACAAGAGCTGGATTTCATACAACTGTAGTCATGGAAGCAATTGAAACACCTGAACTCGATGATTTGTAGAAATGAGCTTGTGAGTGTATGAGCAGCCAAGTGAATCTGTGATAAGCTGTTCTTGTTCTGGGTTGAAGCTGATCCTGGTGTTGCTATTGACTTTGTGTTCTCTTTATCTAGAACCCAGTCATTTATTCAATGAGACTGCAATCCAATCTAAATCGCAATATAAGCATCATATTGTCTTGTAATAAATTAGACTCATCTTTATCTTGCAAAATTCCTTGAAGTTACATTTATTGACAATTAGAACCAAAATAAACTTAATTTACATGTTTACATGGCACTTTTAAAATTCTCTTGAATTTGATGATCTTTTTCTGTCTGATTTCTCTCTAATTTAATGTAACACTCATCACATGTAATTTCTTTCACGTCCTGAATAAACGTTATCAACAATACTCAGAAATGCGTCATACTTGATCGTGAACCCTTTAGTGAGCTTCGTGCCGTGGTTGGTTGGGGATTCATTCGGGTTTCTGCCCAGGTCTTCCATTGACTTGTCTGCAGCCTTCCCTTTATCTGAGGGCAGTGCCCCGTTTTCAGACGTCTCTGTGTCTGACCTGTAAATCACAGCCATGAAAGAAAAACCATGTTTGCACTCATTTAGATGAATATTTACAATATTCTTGGTTTAAGCCATTCCAACAAAAGAGACTGTAAAAACAAAACTACCATATTTTTGTATGATGTCTGTTTCTGGGATTTAAAAAAATATATACATTTATGCTATTTCTAATCAATGCTTACATAACAGCACTTTGAGCTGCGGAGAGATACTTCACCAACACGTTCAAACCCTGATTCTCCTCATTTAGAAATTCCTGAGCCCAACTGTAGGAACAAAACACAGAAAAGTTTTATAATGTTAATTAATCCATGCATAAATTTTTCATTTTCTTCCTCGACACCCAGCGTCAGGAAATTGTTTTCAAATTAAAGAAAAACGGCTTCTCAAATTGGTGAGAAAATGTTTAAACTGTAAAACAAACAGATTTAAAGCAGAATATTTGTGGCTTTTCTACCCCATCCCCATTCTGTAAAGCTATCCCAATGTCTTTTCTCTACCCAGCGATGTTAAACTATGTAACACTTCAGTGAGACTTACCCTATGTGATTGGTCCTCAGGGAAATCTCCAGCTCTCTGAGGACCTGAGTCAGTTCTTGAACACGTCTCTTAAACTGACAAAACACATTTATAGTACATAAGAGACCAATGACACATTTAGTCAGAAAATATCACATTCGAATAAAAGGACTGAGTATCCCTCGCAGAAGGTTAACTGTTTGTTATTCCTCAGAGAAAAACAAAATGTTTTAGAAGTTAAATGTGAGCATTTTATTTATCTTTCTTTTTTTTATTATTAAAATCACTTTCAGGTACTACCTGTCTGTTTTATATAAACTTAAAATTAGTAAATGCTGCCCTCCAAAAAAAAAGTAAAAAGAAAAATGTATACATTTCAGAAAACCTATGTAATTAGTGGTTTATAGACAAGTGAGGATATATATATATATATTTTTTTTTACTAATTATGGATTTAGCAGGTACTCTGCATCAAGATTATTCTCAAAGGGAAAAACTTTAAACCAAGAATAAAAATTTGTTGTAAGCCTGGCTTTAATTGTACAGCTTCCTTAAATGAGTCTCAATCATGCATTAGGAACCAGAATGTTGAACTGGGATGTTGAAAGTAGGTTGTACCTTCCAACCGACTCCTCCATGATCCAAACAACTTTTCAGCTTCTCCAAATAAGCAGATGGAGGATTCTTGACTTGAAACCGCTCCTGAAGATGCACAGAAACACATAGAGGGCTGTAATTACGTTTAACTGAGGTCAGAGTCCAGTGATATTGAGTGCAAACAGAGAGGCACACACTAGCAGTTTGATTGCACATCTCTGGTGCAAATACAAGAAATAATTAGACTGTGGTGAAGCGGTTATCTTCATAGTTCAGTGACATCTGCAACACTCATGGTTGCTAATTACACGAAGCACAGTCATGTTCAACAAATTTGAATATGTCCCAATGTGGATCATTTGTCAGATTAAAAGTACCTTTTGAAAATAACATCCTATGATATGATGTAATATTCTAATTTGAAATGTCATTCCATAACTTTAGGCTGAGAATCATCATAACAGAAATAAACTTCCAAATGTCAATCTTTTTGTAGTTAATCTATAAGAAGTCTTTCATTATGTGATGAAGTTCTGGAAATAAATGGACTTTTCAATAATATTCTGAATGTATTGAATGGATCTTCACTCTGAAATGTGTCAAAGCCACAAAGATCCACCTAAACAGAAGCTGCTTCATGATTAATCTAAACATACCTGATCACAAATCAAGTCCCACTTCTTCTCATTGTCGTATTGGGAGAGGATCTGCACTTTGTCTGGAGGAAGATTCATCGTGTCCTGGAAGCAAAAAAACACAAGCACATTGGTTAAACTGTCCAATTTGTCTCCAGGAATACAACTGATGGCAGCACTTAGATTAAAAATAGCTGTAAATTTACAGACGTGCTGAAATTAATATTTTTCCACATCAAATTACAAAATTGTATGCTTTGTATTTTTAGGTGGCTATTTGTTGTGTTTTGCTTCATTTTTTAAGTTAGGATAATTTCTTAACTTTGAATGCAAGAAAAAACGTTGTTGAGGCTTCAAAGGTAATAAAATTAATCAGGTTTAAGAAAATGTCTAAAAAATTAGACTAAACAATTATATGTAAGCTTAAAATAAACTGAATAGCCACACCTCACAAATTTGGGCATTTAAATATGGGATAAACAATTTCTACTATTTTCATAAAAAATCATAATTTTTTATGATTATTTATACCATGCATTACAGTTTCAACACATTTTTCAAGTCAGTTACTTGATACATCAAATGGAAACTTAAATTTTGTGAAGTGAATTCAGTTTAAAAGGTTTGGATTTGTTTTGGAATTCCATAAATTTGCCTAATATTGCTTGTAGCTTCACCGTTTCTTTTTGTTTGTTTTCTTTTTTAAGTATTTTTATACAAAATGAAAATAATGTATTAATCAACCCTTCAACAAAACCTGACAAACTCTAGACTTTCAAAAAAAAAGTTATCAGACAGAACCGCACCTGACATTCTGGAGGAAGAAGAGTGTTTGAATATAATGTTTTTAAACACAGACAAAATTAAGTTTACTAATGCAAAAGTATTATCTGATTAGTTGCATTATAATCTTGCATGAACATATTTACAAGATTATGTCCTTGCAGGTATGTTCAAAAGCACCTCTTTTGTCTAGTTCTGTAGTCAGATGTCTTTGTTGTTATGTGATGACCTCATTTGTTATCAGCTGTGTGTTGCCACAACAGGACGATGACGACGGTGTTGGTCATCGTAGACACAGTATCAAGCATCAGATTACAAACTTTTGGCCCAGTTTTTAGAGGATCTAGAAATAAGTTTAATTGGAAACATACAAATTCATCACTTTGGCCAGAATCAAAGCAAAAAGGAACTGCTGCTTATTTAGCTGAGGGGAAATATTTATGTAAATGACAGAAAGTACAAGACTTTTCTTTTTAAATAGATTCCAGATTAGGCCACCCTATACTAATATCAGCCCAGCACACAAATGTGTCACCTGCTCCAACTGAACCCAAGGCTTGTTAACTGAGGTCAATTGGGGAATTAGTTTTGCTTAACTTAAACGCTCCTTATGACAGTGACAGCACTAGGAGCATTACTGAAGGCCTGCAGGATTAACTTTTAACATCCAGCAGCTCAGAAGTGAACTCACAGTTTAACCAAATCATTTAAATCTGGTTAAACACGAGCAGAGCTATCAGAATCACGTGACGAGCAAATGCAAACACGTGTTTCTGTGAAAAACAAGGACGAGATCAATGATGAAAGGGATCAGACAAATGAAGCCTCATGAATGAAGCTGAAGGATCAATAAATGATGGTTACAAGCAGATGTTCCTGAGAAGCTGCTTAAAATAGGAAATCTGGAGTGGACCACACTGCTGTTTCAGTAGCTCGCATGTTCTCCTTGTGCATGTGAGGATTCTCTGGTCACTCCGACTTCCTCCCGCAGTCTAAAAGATTAATGTTAGATACACTTGTCTCTTTACATTGTCCTTAGGTGTGAGTGTGTCTATGCAAGGTTGTTTGCTATTCTGTACTCTCTGGCAAATTGACTCCACCGTGAATGGAGATCAGATTCACTGAGAAGAAAAGATGCTCATCTCTGAAGCCTCTGAATTCACTCTGTCTCCATCTTTGTTGTGTACAGTTTATTTTCTACTGGCAGCAGAACCAGACAAAACCTCACAACTAGAAAAACAAACAACTACTGCACACAAAGACATTGACTGCTTCATTTGGTTGGCAAAACATGCAAATGAACATATGTGGATATTATCCGTGACATGGAAGCAGGATCAAAAATACAAAATTAAATTTAAGACTAAGGACAGAAATCTAAACCTATCTAGGAGTTTTGAAGACCTAAAATTGAGATGGTAAGAATTTTAAATCTCCTATAAAAACAGTTTTTCATTAAGAACAGTCAGAAATCGAACACATTTTCAATGTGGAAATATTAAAATTTTTGTAAGGTAAGGAGGAAAAGAGGAGAGAAGGGCTAATGTCCAGGGTGTACCCCGCCTATCGCCCGATGACTGACTGGTGGAGTTAAGCACCAGCCCCCTCACACTCTTCAAGCAGGTATGGACAATGGATGGACAGACAAAAAGATTTCAAATAAATCCTAGATGTATAAAAGAGAGGTTTCCTACTCTTCTTATATCTTCTTAGGGTCATTAGAAAACACTGAAATCAAAATCACAATATTTTTTGCCCAGTTTTCCAGACTGTGTCAAAACCTAGTCAGACAAAAGTCTTTACCTTTTAGTCTCAGTAGATACACAATAATGGACACCAAAAATAGAAACCAGGTTTTACCTTCAGTTTTATTTTGAGCAGTTACTGCATGTGGAACTTGAAGGAAGATGTCAAACCCATAAACGTGATTTGATTTTTAGTCCATCTGATCTTTTGCTGCTTTTCTGTTTCTACCCATCATCATTCTTTCTGTAGGAATAAAACCATTTTTGTTTTTTTTTTGTTTGGACTAAGAAAATGGGTCACTTGAAAAGTTTCTCATGCATTTTGAACATAAACACACTTGGAGATCTCCAAACTTTCAGTGACACACACAGAAAAAAAATAGAACGTCTGCAGAGGATATATTGCTTATAGTCCTGTCATACAGAAAGCAAGTTTAGCTAACATTCACTGATTCATCTTTTTTGGAGAAAGAAGTCAATATTAATGTGCTGGTTGGCAGCTGACAGGATGTAAGCTTAAAGAATATATATGTCATGTCAACAGCAGCACCAACTTCTGAGATCAGAATGACAAGGAGAAAAGGAATGTGGATAATAACCGAGTGAGTCATCTGGCTGCATTCTGAACCTATCATCTGCGTGTTCCTTTTGTATTGTTTTTTTTTATTTTTTATTACAATAGTACGTATATGTAGGCATGAGTCCAGCCTGTTTACTGCTCCAAGACTTGGTAATGATGAACAGCAGTTCAGTAATAGAGAACACTGTGAATCATTGTTTGCCATCGAAGAATGAGACATTATAACCTTTGACAAAACTGTGTTAGAATAATGTGAGCCTTGCATTTCCGGATCAACAAGCAAAAGCCAAACAATTCTGGAAAAGTGGGTCAACAAATGGACTTCATTGGCTGTGAAAAGCTTTTCCAGTTATGGCTGTGGGGAATAAAATTCCCTGTAGAGAAGGGGTCTGCAACTCCAGTCCTTGTCATCTGGTGTTCTACAATTGAAATGGACCCAGCGATCTGTCCAGGGCATACCTCGCCTCTTGCCCAATAACTGCTGGAGATACGCACCAGCTCCCCGTGTGACCCCACGAGGATAAACATGTTCAGACAATGGATGGATGGAAAACCTGACTGCATACTGAGGAGGTAATTCAGACATTCAGTGTGTTGGACAAGGGACACATATGAAAGTTGTGGGTCACTGGCCCTTGAGGCCAGAATCTTTATAGTATACCAACACCAATGCTGAGCTCGCAGGTTGATGAAACAAATGCTGCTAGGTGCATGGAGATCCAGGCAAATTAAAAAGTTCTAAATTGTCATTGTAAATTAATAAGTAAATTAATTGGGGTGGTTAGGAAAAGCACAGGAACCACCAATGCTCAAAGTTGACTGGAAAATGCTGGAAGCCCAGAGTTACTGTCTACAGGGAAGGGAGTTCTTGGTCACCATGGATTAATGGGGTAATCAGACACTTTCCAATTGTTGTGCATGTTGGTGGTTGAATCCTGATGAGGGGATTGGTAACTGATTTATAAATATTTCCTTCACATTTCAACAATCTATTTTGGATTTAATCCTTATAAATTAAATATTTAGAATTGTTTGAAAGTTGTGGAAGGAAAGTAACCTGTTTCATTAGGTATCAAACCTAATAAAACTTATTGCCTGTAAGTGTACTCATATTTATGAACCAACAACACAGACCACTAGTGAGATTAAAGTTGCAACCATTCCAGAACACGTGCTCTTCTGTATCTTTCCTTAGCTGTGCATTGTAGCTCGTACAATGATAAGATTGTTCTGATATCCACATTGCAAACATAGTTCACATATTTTGTTTCCTTCCACTGTTGACATGTTACACAAAGCAATGTTCCTCAGGACTCACCAGTGCAGCGTTGAAGCGTTCCTCTAACTCGTTCTCAGGTGGCATCGGAAGCTTCAGCCCTGCCGTTTGCTTCTGGGGCCCAGCGCACTCCGGGCTGGTTATTGTGGTCTCCTTAAGATCCCTTCCTTGAGAAATATCAGCACTTCCAGCTGCATTTCCCATGATTGTGATCAATACATTCAAACATAAAACCCTAACAACAAAAGTTGCACAACTCACAGCGAAGGCTAAGTTTATTTCCAAGTTCTGTATGACTGAGCTCCCATTCTCTCCACAAACATGTACTACTAACTCATCCTGACACTGCTTTCATTGCCCTTTATTCTTTAAACAGAGGGATGAAATTCAGCCTAGCTTCTGAATGAGAGCGAGACCTCGCAGAGATCCCAAGGCATTATGAAACCTTAGAAAGAGGGAATGAGATATCATGACAGTGACAGAGTGACAGCTGAGCAAGTGAAAGAAAAACTGGATTAGAAGGAGGAGTCCATACTTCCCGTAGCTTCTAAGATGAGCCTGAAGTTAGAAAATTTCAGTCCAAGAAATTTGAAGAGTAAACTTGGAGAAATGCATTTAAAGCTGCTGCAGTGGTTTCAGGTAAACATCATTAGCTGTTCCAGCAGGTAATGTACATGTCTCATCCATCTGTCCCTGAATGCTAGAAATCTTAATATTTTTGAGAGCTATATCCACAGTAAAAAAGTGAAAAACAGAGAGCTTGGGAAAGATCCAGCAGCCAGTTGCTCATTCTATCCCATGCAGGGACAGACAGACAGAAACTGAAGGTAGCAGTGACTTTAACTAAGAGGACAAAGCATCCTGGGTCCTAAAGCCTTCAAGTTAAGGCCACACCTGATGTTTAAAACATGCCAAGTGACAACAGGAGGAGCAGGAACAAGGGAACTAATATTTATTATGGTTTACAACATTTAAAATAGAGATTTTAATGATATTTTGCTCAATGTGCCACTCAGTGTTATTAAAAAGAATATGTGAAGAAAAAAAGCAATGATGTGAACTAGGGTTCCTCAAATATAGGCATCGGGAATCGGTGTCCTTCAACTTTTAGGTGTTTCACTGGTCCAACTCACCTGAATCAAATGGCTGATTCACCTCCACAGTATGCATTCAAGTTTTCTAGAGTCATGTTAATGAGTTAATTGTTTAACTCAGGTGTGTTGAAGCAGAGACGCATCTAAAACTTGCTGGACACCAGGCCTCAAAGGCCTGGATTTAAGGACCCCAGATCTAGACCGATAATTATTTAATGTTATGCTTCATAGAGCCAGTTATCAAAACATATAGTAAATAAGTGCCAGCTAAAGTTTTGAATTCAAACTAAGACAAAACAAGACAAAAGACTTCATCAAAGCTTATGAGGAATTTACAGCTTCTTTAACACACAGAGGCTACAGAGCAACAGGAACAGGAAAAGAAATTGGTCATTAAAATGTTTTTGTTTATAATTGAATGATGCAAAACTGCTCATTTCTGTGAAGCCCCTCAGAAAATATATTGAAGTTGAAAGATTGTATGAGCATAATTCGTTAGTTGTAAACTAAACTTGGCAGCCCAACCCTTCTGCTTTGGGTTTTAAAAGCTCCACCCTTCAAATTATCAATGCCTAACTCCAGTCAAAGTGTTTATTTTTGTTTTCCTTCTCTACAATCAAGGTGGAATTTTAAAAATCCAATTAGATCTAAAAAGATGAACTAGAAAAATAATATTTTTATCTGCTTACTTTATTAATTTCAGTGTACAGTGAAATAAGAAATTGCCATTGCTAACAATGTCATTTGTACCAATGTTAGTTGAAAAACAAACAATTGACTTCAAATACAAACTACTGTTCTTCTATACTTGACTGCTATAGCGAACCCATAAAAACAATCCTAATCCAAACAGAGTAAGAGGCTCTTTTCTGTTGTGCTGCTGGGTTGGCTGCTTAACAATCAGTGGTTGAAAACTCACACAACCACATCTCTTTGTGATCAAAGCCTCCATAAAAGTTTTGTCATAAGAGGAGTAGAGAACGGCCTGCATTCCATCTATTCACAGACCTCATGTGGTAAAAAGGACACACTTTCACACATTCAGATCGTCTCCTAGTGTTTTTGATTGCACAAGCCAAGAAAGAGCGATGACGTTTTTCAGTTGCAGAAAGCAAGAGACTTACGGGAAGGTGGAGGATGCTTTAAGTAATTTACGAGTGCCACATAGATACGTGACAGTTTGACCACACTTGGTCAGCGACATGCGGCCAGCAGTGATACTGCAACAAAACATTTTATAATGTCTGTATTTTTAATCCATGCACTAAAGAACAAATACACTGTAAATAAATGAGCAAGGTGAGTTAGCTTAAGTTCTCGAACAAAGTCCCTGTTTGCATTCAGCTATGGCAGATATCACGAATAACAGCTTAGACTCCTTAATATTCTGAGTAAGGCTAAGGGATCAGAAAGAGCAACCTTGCCATTCACAAACCTAAACACTTTATTAGTTCATCAATAAAGTGTGGAATGTCTCTTTGTGCTAGATGAGCTGCACTAAGTGTTTTAGAGGTGGTTGACCTACTTTAATTTCCAAACACAACTATGAATAAAACCTAGTGGCATCGTTTAACAACTTGTTACAAACAATATATGTGGGATATCATGTCAGAACTCACATATTGACCCTTCAGGTGTACGGGCTCCAGCTGTAAAAGACAACATTCCTGTCACCTAAGAACAGCAACTTATCAACACTTAGTCTGTGTTGATAAGTCTGAATTTCACCTGCAATATTCAGAGTTTAGGGGGCCAAAGTGGCCCTAGTCACATGAATGCATGGATCGATCTGCCCTTGTGTCACCAGGTCAGGCTGATCATCTCAAAATGGGCTACGAAATAGTTTCAGTTCTGACGTAGTACTGAAGGCAAAAGTCATTTAGTCATTGAGGAATCATAGTCATGTACATAGAAGGCAGTAAGAAATTACTGACTATCCATAAGCGTATTGTAATCCTCACTAAAGCCTTTTGAAAATCAAGCATTCAGTGAGCTACAGTCGACATAAATTCTTTTAAAACAAGTTTGTATAAAGTAGAGAATGCTTTTCATTTTTACTTTTCTGATGCAAATATTTTGAGCTTCACTCAATCCTGTGAAAGCGTCAAAGCATTAGCAAAGGAACTGAGAAAGAAAGGCCTTCTGAGCTAAGAATACACTGGAGCAGCCCAGAATTAAAATCCACATGTACAACTACTAAGCATAACCCGTAGCACATCATGCTGCAGGTTTTAAAACCTGAACGAAGAGAAGCCTCTTCTCTTCGTTCAATTACTCATAACATAAACAACTACTAAATAATAGCATCTCATGAGTGTTTCTGCAGAAAGACTGTTCATCAGAAATAAACAGCTTTTCTGAAACATGTATATTTAAAGTAATACTTTTATTGTTTTAAATACAGGTATTTAAAACATATAAGTTTGTTTTAAAGACAGATCCCAGCATTAAATCTGAAAGATCAGCATAAAGCTTCAGTATTTTAACAAGCTGCTAACCTGCACTGTACAAAAAAAGCTAAGTTCCAAGTGCAGAAAATGATTGACAAGAAGTTCACAGTCATCTTGCAAAGTCAAAGAAACACTTGACATGAAGTTGTTATACTGACCTGATGTTTCCTGGACAAAATATAAATTATTCCATTACTTATCATTAGTGAAGTGAGGTAATTATTTTGTGAACCAACCGTGTTTCAAGGTTCTGCCAGATTATGTAGTGAAAAAGTAGAAAGTACTCAGGACCACATTGACATCTAGTGGTCATGCTTCAAAATTGCTAAAGAATTGTGGCTTTGACATGCATGAAAAAAACAGGTAATGGAAATGCTGCCTGCTCTCTTACAAACACGAGTTGAAGCTGACATCAAGAGCCACACTCACAGTTTACTGGATCGTTTCTTTCTCTCAACACAGTCACAATGACAAGAGGCAGAAACTGCTCATTTTAATAACAATCCATAGGTTCACAGTACGGCCACATAAAAATGCATTTTTCAGGATCCTAACAACTAAAAGAAGAATGTGTGTGCATGTAAATAAGGTTTTAAAACAAGGAACCTTCCTGACTGCGAACAAGTATCATTTGTTGAAGACTCTTGTCAGGTCAGGTCCTCGCAGTTAAGTCCAAAATGATTCAATGATTAAAGGTAATAAACACCTTTGCTTCTTACAGAAAATTAGGTCAACACATCACAAAGAATAAAACAATGTACAAGGACTATCAACTTTGAAAAGAATCTATATATTTTTGTATCTTGTAATTTCTTTACTTTTCTCAATCTGTGGAACAATTGTATTAACCTTGTAGCACTTAAACAGGACTTTCATCATTAATGTTTTTACTGCTTTTCTGTTTTCTAAAAGAAAAATACCTATACAGCTATCCTTCCCCCTCAAATGACAAGTTACATCGTTTTTCTGATGTATATTGCTTGCAGAAGGTTTTTAAAAGCTGATAAGGTACTGTTTTTAACTACTATGTATTGCATTTGGTGACAATGTAGCTGCACTCTGTAAAAAAGAGAAGTAAAAAATGAGTCATAGTAATGTGCTGAACATATGTCCACAGATGCAATCAGAAAATCTTAGCAGTGATCACAGGAACCAAGATACACGAGACACGAACATGTCTGAAGAAAGATGCCACAGTCGTAAAACCACCCGCTCCTCATATCAAAGCGTGTCTGAAAACTGAAAATAAGCTATTGTCACCTCAAAAACTTTACCAGTCAACAAACAGGTATGCCATCAAGTGTAACTGGTGGCTCTGCAGCAGTAACTTAAAGCTGAATGTGTCAAAAGCTGGCGTGGTTTCATAGATGACCAGGAAGATTTAACAAGTTGTGATGACAGGAGAAGCAGTATGTGGGTTTGTCAGTCTTACTGTTCATGCAGTCACATTTTGACACCTTTTAGAATTATGGGTCTGTTACGGGCAAGCAAATGTTTTACACAAGAATTTGGTTTGAGGTTTTAAAAAGTTAATGTGGACACTATTCAGGAACTTTATCTAGGTCATGCCAGTTTACCTTTCTGTAACAAACACAATGCATGTGAGTGACAGGAAGTAAGAGACGCATTTTATGTACTTTTAAAAATTAAAACATTTATTTAGTTTGATGTTTCACACAGTTTTAACACTAATATGAGTGAAAGAATAAAACTATATTTTTGGCTTAATCTTAATTTAGATTAATCTGCTACAAAGATAAAAGCACTTTAAAGACAAACACTTGAAATTGACCTTGCAAAATCATTGTTTATGATATTCTCTTCAAAACTGACATTCAAGAAAAGCAGACAGGAATGTGAAATATGAAAAGAAGCAACTATATTCTTCTGTCCACATTGGACAAAAGGATAAGTTTAGGAAGATTTATCACTATTTTGTAAATTTCAACAAACTGTAAATTTCAACAAACTGTAAATTTGTCTTTTAAAGTTAATCAAGCTACTCCTGTATTATTTGTCAAGGCAAATCATTAATACATAGAAATTACTTACAATAAGACAAAAATATGCTTTGAAAAGTGAATAAATATGTAACAAATAAAAAAAAGTATAGTGCTAATTGGTACATGACATCCAGATCAAACCAATCAAAAACCATAAGCTGTATGTTAATTAATATTTTCTTTAGAAAAGAAAAAATGTACAGAACACCAGATGGCCTCAAATAGTGAAAAAACAGAAAACTGCATAAAAAAAATGTAAGATTCAGAAACTACTCAAATTTTAGTCTGCTGCACAGATGAAGGGTTAGTCAAAACAGCTTTAAGAAAACAAATCAAAATGTTTTACTGTATTGATATTTGCATTTCTTTAGTTGCAATTTCAACAAAAAGCTTGGAAAATACTGCATGTTGCATTTTAAATAGAAACACGAATAATTCTGCAAACTTCAACCATGTTTAAAGTCTGCCATGTAAGATCTCAAGAAACAATGTGAAAGCAGAAATTCAGTTCCTTGAATTAAACACATAAAAACCTACTGGTACTTTTCATGATTTCAAAATTGCTTGTGGTCATAGTTGCAACATTTTAACTTGATATTTTGTCTTGTCATCTCGTGGCTGCTGGTACGGCTCGTGGCTGGTGAACTACCATGACCAAACTTAACTGTTGTGTCTGTTTTTGTGTCGTGTGACTCATTGTAGTCTAAAACCACACAGCTTTGAGGTAAAAATGTTTCAAAAGTGACAAGTTTTTAAACTCCAGCAAAGTAGCTGCTGCTTCAGTGGCTCTCATAAACAGTTTAAATTTTTTCACAATTTAATACACAGAATTAATGAGGAGAGTATAATTATGATTCATTTTAATTGTAGTTAATATTTTCAGTGATGTGTTTTAATGCAAATCATAAATTGAACTTTGCAGCAAAAATCAAAGTGTTTTAGATGTGGCAAACTTTTTAAGGAGTGCAGAAACTAGTCACATATTATTTCAATGTGGGAAAAGGACAGGGTCAATGTGGTGGAGAACTGCAGATGTTTAAGCTTTTACCAACAACAGCACCGCTACACTATTACGGTGTCTTTGCAGGCTAATTTCAGGTTCAGTTTTCAGTATCACAAATCTGTTTCACTTCTTATATGTGTCTATTATTGTGGTAACTTACATTGGAAAGATGACAAAGATCAATAGTGCCACTTGGACAAACAACACCCCTATGAAGAGGAGGCTCCAATATATTCTGAAATATTTTTTTTAATTTAGGAATTGCCCATGCACCTGCAGAATGTACCTTTGTTATTTAAAAATACACAGCATCAACAAAATGTATTATTGTAACCATGATTATGATATGATTTCAATGCTGAAATGTTATAGCTGTACCTTTAACTCGCACTAAAAATAAAAAAAGGTAGAACTTAAAACAAAAAGAGGTTTTGAAGTTCTCTTTTCAACACAATATTATATATTGGTTATGGTATAATAATCAATATATATTTGGTTATTATACCATATTTTTTGTATTCTACAAAAGAAATGTAACTTAAGATTTTATAATAATTTCTTACTTTTTAAAAGTCAGTCAGTATTGTCTATTTTTAATTACTAAGCCCTGAGGTATAAAGATGCCTGAGGCCTATTTCAGTTTGCCCCCTCTTCAAAATGGAAAATATATAATTTAAATAAGGTATTGTGGTTTGGACTTAGTCTGATATGCAATGTTTATCGCAATATTTAGAATTTGTGCTTTGGTTCTACGACAATGTTAAAACTTTCAAAGCAGCTGTAAACGGTGAACTATGATCTCAACACTTTCTCCAAAACAGGACAAAAACTAATTTTGCAGCCTTTTCTTCCCCCACATAATCGAACAAGTTACTTTTAAGCCCTTTGTGAAACACATTTGAGGTTTGGCAGCTCATTTTGAAAAAAAAAAAAAAGTACTTACACCATATCTTGCAAATGTATCAGCAAAAACTTGCTAAAACAAACTCCCCCGATCAATAACCAGACCATGCAGAGAATCAACAATGAGAAGACAGTCAAATGTACACAAAAACAAACAAAACTGTTGACACAGTAGAAGTGCACCTAAATGAGCAAATGGCAACGTTCAATTACCATAAATTTAAAGAAGCCCTTTAAATCTATGCCCAGTTTTGTTTATAAGTCTACAATAAATGCATTAGAAGCGCTCTTCAATGTGTGTGGGCGTGGGTGCGTGAGCGTGTAAATAAATGCTTTAAATTGCACTGAGACAACATTTGCTATGTTACTGAATTTGTTCACACTGCATTAATAAAACAGAGTCGCAGATGGTTTCCATTTAAGCATTTAGCATGGCCAGTAATACTCAACATCAAAAGAATCTTTGCACGACATACAGATGAAACAAAAGCATCTTCAGTCAGACGTTTTCAGCTCAACCACAGTCAGAAACTGTAGAAGAGGTCAATCTTACCAACTCGTTCCACAATTACTCTCTATGCCACAAAAGGTGACTCATCTAGAAGTATGCAGAACTTGTCTTTTTTATTTGCATTAACATTGAACATTGTTTCACTTATTTCCTGGTTAAAAGATACAAGACAAATTGTATAATTTATTCTGCTATGAAAAGCCATTTGGATCATTTCTGTCTATCAAATTTTTCATCTGAAATTTTTCAGAATGCATTTCAATTTAGGTTTTCAAATAAAACTTTTTGACTTTCCCATTTTGTATTTCGAGATTACTAGATCTCAACCCAATTCATTTGTGCCTTTTATAGTTTTGGTTGATTTGTTCTTCAGCTTTTTCGAAAAGGATAAAAAAGGTACCCTCCTCCGTGGGACATTTCATAACAAAGGATTTTTTATTTGAGCCATAAAAATACTATATAACAAACTGATTTGCAATAGTTGAAGTACATGACGACAAAATTATTTGCTGATGCTAAATAGAAGTAGCAGGGGACAAAATGGCAAAACGCTTTAATGAAATGGAGATACAAATTAACAAGGGAATGAACAAACGGTGGCTGTGGCTTAGTGCGTTGTCAATTTGCTTCCAAATTGCTTACTGAATTGTGCATCATCATTGTGCACATACTGGTGAGGGTGAATGAGTGATTGTGGGTATAGAATAAAACAATTTGGGTGGTTGGAATGACTTGAACAGAGCTTTATATTCATCACTATCCTGGGTCTTGTTGGACAGATTCCATCTTGTTGTTGTTTTTACATCTTGTTGTAGATTTTAGAAAGGTCTCTATGAATGTGGCTTGTCAGAATAAACACTTAGAATGGACAACAAAACTAGTTGCATCCTACATCATAGTAATCCATTTACTATTGAAATCTGTTGAAAAATGCAAGGCAATAGTAATTTAATGGTAATTCAGAAAAATAGCAACCTTTTATGTAAAAGCTGCTTTACGTATAAAATCAGAACGTTAACAAAAAGATGACTGTAACCATTCCACAATTTAAAATGTAATCAAACTATAAGGAAGCTTATGAGCTTGCATATTAAGACAAATGCTGTAAATTAAGATAGAGTCTGACTTTGAACTACAATACAACTTTTACTGCACCAAGTCAAAGTGGCCAAGATTACAATGAATTTGCTGAAAAGTCAGAATTTTTCTTTCCAGGTGAATATTTATTACACTCGAGAGAGAATGATCAAAAAAAATATAAAAAATAAAATTAAAAAAATTAAAAAACAGGCAACAAAGAAAAGGCAATATATCACTGGTTTATTTGAATTTTAATAATAAGGCATTTAATGGTTCTTCATAGAAAACAGAGCAATATTTGTACAGCAATAATAAATGATATATAATGTAAAAAGTTACAAAAGTTGAAAGCAAAACCAAAAAAATAAATAAAAAAATATTTACATGTTTAACAAATCACAAGGTGCAGTGAATTTCTTTACAATAAAGCGAAAAGTTATTTTCTAATAGTTGGGTATTAATATGTAAGCTGTATAAAACTTGTGTATAAAAAATATATGCTTCTCCTCCTTTTTTTTAGCTTTGACCAACAACAATTAACATTTGTTTATGCTGAGTGGAAAAATCTGTACGATGTATTGCTTCAGTAATATTCAGCATTTTAAAGAACAGCAGTTTTCATAAGAAGCTTTAAACTTGAGTTTAAAGATCAAAAAGCGACTGATAAGGTCTGCTTTGTTGTGAAGCATCAGCTTTCTGAATCAGCTACAGATGTTTAAAGTCGTGCTGCTGGAAACCTGAACAGAAATTGAGGAGAGTGTCTTATGACTTTTATACTGATTTCTAATGTCTGTTCATTAAACTAAATTACATATTTAAACTGAAGACACGTATGTTTTACTTTCAAGATTATTCGCTTGTTGGAAACTGAAATTTGACAGAGGTTAATCCATCACTACTGGAGCAATTGCGATCAGGTGATGTTGGGGAGACAACTGAGAGCACAGTGAGAGCAGGAGAAGAGGCAGAGATGGATGTGGAGTGGATACTGTGCAGCTGCAGCTGCAAGCCACATGGACAGCCAGAGTCATGCATGAGCTGCTTTACGTCTTTGCGAAAACGTACACCAACCAGTGCATACAGGATGGGGTTGAGGCAGCAGCGTGTGTATGCCAGAGTGCAGGTGATGTACTCCCCCATCAGATTGCATAACCCCCCCGCTATTTTCTGAGATAAAACCACTGTGTACGGAAGCTGGAAGATCAGGAAAACCAGCACCAGGGCAACCATGAGCTTTAGTGTGCGCTGCCGGTGCCACTGCTTCCCACGACGATGCACGTGGCCTTCCCACAGAGCCACACCTATGGAAGTGTAACATATCACCATGGTGAAAAAAGACACACAGAAGACAGCAATGATGGCTCCATTGGTAGCCATCTTGACATGCCCACTCTGTTGCATGACACAATATGTGTCGTTACCAAACGAAGAAACCCCAGAGTAACGGATTTCAGGGAAGCTCAAGAGTATGGCAATGATCCAGACAACCACAGCAGCAACTTTCCCTGCCATTAGTATCTGCCTGCGCAGTCGTAGCATCTGTTGGGCTCGTGCCACAGCCATGTAACGGTCAACGCTGATGCAGCCGAGCAGCAGCAGTCCGCTGTACGTATTGATGGCATAGCATGCACGCATCACTTTGCAGAGGGCAACAGGGAAAATCCAACCCCAGTGAGTGTAGGAGGCCTGCAAAGGGAGCGTGAGGAGCAGGAGGAGATCAGCCAGCGCCAGGTGGAAGAGAAACACATCAGTCATGGAACGAAGCCGGAGGCGCCGGTAGCGAGCAAAGGTGGCGATCACCAGAGAATTTCCCAAAACTCCAACAAAAAAAATCAGGCAAAAAGCGCATGTCTGGAACATTTTGATGACGTATTTCTCATTTTTATCGGGATCACAATAGTTGTTGTCGTCATAGTCAGATTCGTTATCGCTGGAGTTTAAGTTTTCCAAAAAGTTCAACATATCATCGTAGGTGAAATTGTCATAATTGGAGAAGTCCATCGTCGCTGTGGGGAAACAGAAAGAAAACGTGTAAATTCATCATGCATTGAAGTTTAGTGACTAAAACACAATCACATCCTTAACTGAAAACTCAAAGTAAAAGAAACATATCATCTAAACAGAGTACATTTAATTGTTTATCCTATAATGGTTCTTTCATATATTTAATTAGTGGAACTTCCATTATCCAATTAACTGGAATTATTTCAAAATTTTGTCTGAAACTGGTAAAGGTAAGCCGAACCCCAGAACCTCCTGCACACTAAACTATTAGCTTTTTGATCAGCCAGTGGTGAATATTGTGAGTCATTTCAGATTTATGCAAAATGCCAAGCCACAGCTAGTTTGCGTGAGGACGTATTATTGTTCTGTCGCACGACAAGTTTCAATTTACATAAAGCCTGGATTCATTTTGAGAAGAGTTCTGCCCACTTTGTCAAGAGATCAGGAAATTCAAACTGGTACAAGCAGACTAAAAGTCAAGGTGCTGCAGCTCTGCTCTTCAGTTTGAGTAAGCAGCAGAGCCATTTTAGTCATACTGAAGCACATTGCGTGACACTGGCATCAGGTCGTTGGCACAGGGGAAATCGTGGGTAGCGAGATGGTCGACGGATCAGTCAGTGTCGCGTGCTAAGAGCCTTTATAGGCAGTTTTCACAATCACTTTTTTTTCATTTCATGTTTCACTACGGCACTCTGCTAGCAATGAGGCAGTTAACAGTGTTAAATTGTCCTCTTTACTTTTAAGAATAAATTGCATTGCTAAGAGATCAAGTCTGTGTTGTGGAGGTTTTCTGAAAAGGTAAGCGGAACATTTAATTCTAGATTGATTTGTGTCTGGTAATTGGAATGTATTATCTGCTGGAAATAATTTCTAAGGTTTCTTGTGTTATCAGATATAAGTTAAATGTTACATTGAAATTAATTCTGCACAAGTTCTGCTTTTACAAATCGGAAATGAGTGGAAAACAGTAGTGTGTTGTAAATTAAAAAAGGGAATGAAATAAAATTTATGTACAGGTTAGAAGACTAATAAAAATGGTTGAAAGGAGAAAATGAATCTGAATTGTATGTTTTCCAAAACCATCAAATGCAAAGGTAACGTTTTTTTGTCACATCCGCAATTCAAAATGGTAACTTTATGTAATTAAAAACAATTCTGAAATGAATTTGGCAAATTTCACAAGTCATTCTCAAATATACAGTCTGAATACTCAAGTAAAATAGAAATATAGCAGGTCAGGGGTTTTTCATCCAATCTAAACTCCAACTTTTAATGCACCGACAACATACATAAAAGTATGTATCTTCCACTCTGAGTCATCAGCTTCTTCACTTTGCTTTTGATGTTTTCCAGATTTAAGTGCATTCTCAGTTGGTACTAAATCTACTCCAAAGACAAGTCAAGTGGCATTTCTTTTTTACATGTGCACACGAAATACTAGCAACATTTTAGAACTGAAATATTTAAATCTACATTGAAAATGTTGCTGCTTTAACGGAATAAGATAGCTAGTTGAACCAGGTCTGTATTCAATAGACCACATGATTGACGGAAGAAATATTGTTCATCTCTTCCAGCTTCCCAAAATAATCAGAAAATCTAATTTAACTTCTTAACTTTTATCTTAATTAAATTTAACAAATCTAGAATTGTGTACAATCTTATGTTAATTAAAATCAATAAAATAGTTTTCTTTAATTTTTGAAAATACAAAGTTAAAGAAAAAAAATGACATTAATGCTATTTTAAAAACTGTGGCTTTAGAAATTTATAATCTGGATTTGGAATCGTTTTCAATTTTTAACAAATGATTGTTGGTGTGTTCTTTATTTAGCGGCCTGATGTCACACACTTCACTATAAAATATCCAACGAAGCATAGTAATATCAGGAAAACCTGCACATTTTAAATAAGGCTGAAAGTGAGATTGTCCCCCACTGACAAAGTGATGCTACCGAGTTTGAGTGGGCAGCAGTTATTATTTCAGTCATTTATTTACGGCTGTGTGTAACGAGTGTGTCATGTTTCTGATCGGGAATGCCACCGCAACTTCTTTGATTTGTGGGTTTTTTGCTTTTTAAAAAAAATACCAACATCTCAGATTTCCTTCTGAATTGCATGCACAGAGCATTTTTAATGTGAAAAGAAATGGGAACATAAAAAACCCCAAAACAGATCACATGAAAGAGTCATGTGTGAGTTAAGATTGTGATGAACCATAATCAGACATCTTGAAAGTTTAAGTTTAGTGGATGTACAGTTGTAGTAAACCTAGTAAATGTTTAATTCAACTGCTTTCCAATATCTAGGTTGAACGATATTACTTTACTAAATCCAACATTTTGCTTTGGTCGCTATAAATATTTCCGCATTTAAAAGCAATCATTTCAATCTACATTGAAACTTTAAAACACTTTCCAAAACCGAACATACCTGTGATGTTTGAGGTGTTGAGCATGTCCCAGGTTGTTTTCCTGTTCCTGCACCAAGAGCTCTGAGGAGCTTGCACTCTTAAAAACAAGGCTGTGGGCTTAACCTCAGCTACCACGAGCCAATAAAACTAGCTCTGTGTCTGTTGACCTTCGTATACCCCTGCATCGATGATGCCAACATGCAGAAGTCCTGCCTTCTTTTTTCACGGCAGTTCACATCTCAGACAGATTGTGTGTTGCAATTTCTCAGTTTTATACTGAAAGAATAACTGTTTCACAAGGATCTTGTGCAAAATAATGTTGGAAGTTGTCATATTTGTAATATCATGTCAAACTTTCTTGTAAATGTATCTTTAGCCAGCAATACCAGAATAAAAGTGAAAACTCAGTCGGCTTTGTAAAGCCGACCAGTCTTTGATGACCTCGGCTTTGCTTCTGTTGTGGTTCTTCAGTTATCCCTTTCTTTTAACTTTTCAACTCAGTGATATTCTGTTTTTTAAAACTGCAAAAATTTTGTGTTTTAACAAAATAAAAATTTTTATCTTGGTCATTTGATTGTTGTCTATTTTGCATTTGCCAGAGCTAACCCATTTTATTATATTAAAATAGGACATTTTGCAAGTGTTTTCTGTCCATAATCTTATGTGAACTTGCAGGTTGCTTCCTAATGCATCCACTAATGTCTAATGGCAAATCATCATTGGTTTCTGAGTGGGAAAACAGCATAAAGTAACTGCAGTCCACTCGGTGGGGAGTGCCCACTGACATCGAGCTTGAGAAAACTCAGCATAAAGATGATTTACTAAAGTTCATGCAATAAGTTCAGCTGGAGGACAAAAGGTGCCACCATACTGGGTGTAACTGCCAACTTGGACATGACCTGGTTCATAACCTCTCTCTCACTTCAGTTATGATGGTTAGGGAGTCGACCCTCTTTCACCTTTAAAGGCTTCTCATGCCTTTGTGTGTCCTTTGTACACAAACTGCTTGGACCTCAAGTTCACAGTCCTCTTCATAGCATTATGCTGATAACTGCCTTCCGTAACTAGATGAGAAGTCAACCTCTTATGGTGAATTTATAAACAGTTTTGCACAGTTTAACAAAAAAGGAAAAATGAACAGAAGAACCAGAAAAGGATGAAGTGATTTCTCACAAAAATGTGAGTGAATTTTTGGTCTCCTTGCTGTCCTCAAGAGATGAATTATCTACTCTGGGAAAACAGTGGCACCATCACCTGACTGGACGTATCGTCACAGAGCTCACACAAACACAAATCTGGACTGTATGTGCACATCTTTAGTCAGGCATTCAAAAGTCACAAGGTGGACACAAGACCATCAAGAACTGAAAGTTAAAAACAACTCTCAGTATGTGGCACTTTGTACATTAAGATGTATTTGTAAGAGTTTAGTGTTAGACTAACACAAAGCAACACTTATTCCAAAGTGTGAGTATAAAAAGTTAAGTTTTTTCTGATAAAATCCCTCTTGCATTTTGCTTCAACTCATATTATCGTTGAGAAATGAATCCCAGTTGGAAAGCGTTGTATTGGAAGCATCATGCCTATTTACTTCCATTCAGCCTGCTGGACTCTACAGCATGCTAGTTTCTAAATCATTTGATGTTTCTTTTTGGTAAAATAGCACTTAATTATCTGGTCTAATAAATGCAACGGCAGCCTAAAATATTGGCTGCCATTATTTCGGTCGTCTTGATTCTAAGAGGACCCAAAGTCGTCTTAGCATCAAGACCTAGGCACACATTTTTAAAGCACTGCAAGAACAGAGTAAGAAGTCATATTTTGCTTGTTCTTGTCGGATGAAAAGCTTTTACGACGCAGACATTTTCTGCGCTGTGTCTGTTGACCTTCGTATACCCCTGCATCGATGATGCCAACATGCAGAAGTCCTGCCTTCTTTTTTGACGGCAGTTCACATCTCAGAGATTGTGTGTTGCAATTTCTCAGTTTTATACTGAAAGAATAACTGTTTCACAACAGAATTATTGAAATTTATGTCTATGTTGTAAAATCAAAATCAGAACATTTTAAACATGTCATCAAATGTTAAACAAGCGAGACAGAAAATGACAAAAGTGATTAAAATTTTGCCAAAATCAATAATTCAGAGACCGAAAGTCTTCTTAGCATTGTTGGGTTGTTGTCAGGTTTTTGCATCAGATCAAAAAGCTACAGTACATTTACAGCCAGTGTTTTGGTGCAAGTCAGATGTCTCGGTGCTGCAGAGATGATCGCAAGCAAACACCAGACCACACTGGCTTGTTTCCAGACCATGAGAAAAATGCACAATGCGCCGGTTTGCTGTGCTTTTGCTCATGGGAACCTTGGCACGTTGACAGCTGAGCTCAGATGTTGACGATCCTTGATCCACATTGTGGTTGACATCTGATTTTATACTTGTTTGTGTGTGTGGTTAATGCAAACTGGTGTGAAACTGTTGACCTACACTTCAACCTGTGAGCTCAACTGTCATCAACACCCAATAAAAATGCATATCAAGTATTTTATATGAGATATTGATATAATACTTTAAGATTTCAACAGTGTGAACTGGTCTTCCATATTGCTGACAAATGCCTGTTGTGTTTTGCTGAATTTCAGCCCTGGGTTCATTTAGCTGTTATAAGAACACAAGTGTCCTGATGGCAGCATTGACTAACATATAAGTAGTTTGAGGATGAGAACTAAAACCAAAAAAGCATTTATCCACAATGTATTTTCCTACTAACATCTGTTTTTGAAATTGCAAAGAAAGCACGTTTTACTATTGAAATTGAAAACTAAGCATGGTCTGCAGGCGATACTATTTGTAAGAAAATGTTTTTCTTGTGTCATAATACTCACAATTTTTTATGGCAAAAATCTTTAGTAATTTGTAAGACTTTTAATGGCTTGAATTTGAGTGAACAATGATCACAGCTGAACTAAAATATAGAAAAAAAAATATTACCTCTGTTATTGTTAGCAAAAAGCTATTGTTAGCAACATTCTCATTAAATTTGCATTTTATTGAGGTGATTAATAAGTGATGTTTTAGTCAATATTTTAAACTAGTTGAAAGTCAAAAAATGAAATGTTTATCAGTGGGCTTACTACCTCGATCAAGAAATATGCTGCATGTTTTGGTTTTTCTTTCATATAATCAATGTTTATTTTATTTGCACATTGAACTTGTTGAACTAAAAATAGTGCAAAAAACGAGGTTGGATACTTTACGGTCAAGAGGAAGTGTAAACCGAGTCAGCATGTTACACTTCAAAGAAATCTGGAAATCTGTATCTGCCAGTAAAAAATCTCCTTGGTGCATCTGCAGCAATTGCTGATGAATACCAGATGACATCAGACTCATAGCCCTGGCCTCAAGTTACCTCATATTAAAATATTACCAAGAAATAAAACATTTTAAAAGAAATTGTTGATATTATTATTATCTTGTTTTTGTCATGATGCTCAAATGTTTCATTTACCTGGTTCTGGCTCTTGATTTCTATTTTGTTTTTCGTCATTTCAAATTAGAACTCAAGTCACAAGCAAATAGTGCTTGAATTGTGCAAGATGCAAAATCTCTTCTTACATCTTGCTTAAGTCAGTAATTTCCTCGATTGTCTTGTTTGTGTGCAGACATCACTCTCAGCTGGCTTGAAACATTCGGATCGGAACACAAGTGGAACGCAAAAGCAAAAGTCTTCGTAAAGTAAAACTATTTTCTTTTCAGTATTCAGTATTCAGTAAGAACACTTTTGTTGATGCAGCATTTTAGCAATAAGAAGAAATGGTATTTCACACTGCCATTTAGTAAATAACATCTGTCTTCTTTTATTGTGCTTCTTAATGCATGACTGAAACTGACTAAAACTGAAAGTCTGTTATATTTTCACAAAGAGGCAGTTCTTCAAATGTTCTGATTGAGAATTTTTTGAATTATAGTTTTACTTTGCAGACTTATATATATAATATAATTTCAGGTTGTCCCTGAAATTTTATTGCACGTCTTTTCGACTTCCCAAATATTTTGTAAGCTGATTTAAATATCATTTTATTTCCACAAAATAAAACCGTAATAAAGACTACATCATGATCCAAAAAGGCCACAGATCTTATGAATTATTTAAATTTCTGTTTACAATTGAATTCTGTATTTAAATAATAAAGAAAAATAATTCCTGATTTTATAAACAAAGATACTTTATCTCTACACTAATTGGTCTTTTTAATGAAGTGACATTCTTCTCTTTTTAAGACTGTCAAAACCAAATGTTCTTGGAAGCTTTATTGTCATGCTGCACCCTTTAGTCAAAAGCAACTGTAAGCAAACTCTACCTACGGGCATTAGTCAGTGCAGTTGTGAAACAGGAAAAGCAGGAGTTGTGAAACTGTGAGGGGAGAAGGCCTCTTGTCATTAACAGAGGAAACTAAAAGAGTTTCATACAAATGGGCGAATTTCATCACTAGAGGGTTGTTTTATAAACATTTGGTTTCTCTTCAGTGTGACAGTCTGCAGCAGATACTTGTTTTGAGCAAGGAAAAAAGCATTCAAAAGCATTCTTCCATTGTAAGAATACAAACTATAACTTAACTTATTTTGCCAAGCTAAAAAAAAGACCTGTCTAAAATTTAAAGAAAATGTCAATGTCATTTTCTCTTTCAAATAATAAATAAATGTTATTTGTTGTATTTAATGCATTCAGTTTTTATATTCCAGCTCTTCGCAGACCTTTTGCCCAGTAAGAACAGCTCTGCGTTCACCACGTAACTTTTTTCTTTTTTTTTTACACTTGTTTCAAACGATAACAACTCAGTCACGCCAGGTTTATGTGTCAGTGTGTCTATACATTTGCAGAGAAGTGGTGGTTTATTTGATGTGTGGCAGATTGCAGACAGTTGTTTCTTCACTTCGAATTGGGTGTTATGAGTCAATCTGACTATTTCATACAATGTGGTAGTTTTTTTTGTTTTCAGGGTGGTTTTCAAGCTGCTGTATTGCTGAAAAAAATCACCTTCTGAATTAATCTCAGTGTGTGATAAGATTATGAAACTTGTACGCAAAAAGCAAACTTCACTATTTGGGGTATTGGGAAATTAATCAAAGTTAAAGCTGTGAACAACTCGAAGCTCAGCAACTTCCAATTTCTTCCACATTTCTTTAAAATGTATATTAGAAAAAACGAACGACTGTGTGCAACAGGAGATACTGTCTAGGAAACCCTGTTAACCTGAAAGACAGACAGATGAAATATTCAACTTCAATATGAGAGATAGGTTTAATCTTAATTCAGTTCTGTTCTGCTTAGTTCTTCAATGATTGCTTACATTCATTAAGTAATTTCTGAATGTCATTAAGTGTCATTATTGCACTTAATGACACAAATCTAATTTATACAGATAAAAATAGTCAATGCAATTAGATTCAAATTCAGTTACACACACAAAAATAAATCATCATAATTTTTTACTAAACCTTCCACTGTCTGCCAACAGAACCCAAAAAGTAAAGAGGAAACTACCCACTACCATCACAGGACACTGGAGTTACAAGAGACACCCTGAACATATTTGTCTTGGCTGACACCCATTTCTAGTTTTCCCTGGAGGGCTAGCTCAAAGGTTGGTTGATAAAAATAAAGGAAATATTTGCTGCAGCTACTTTGCTAAAGGTAGTTGTTCTGAAACAGAAAACAAGGAGACAATAAGTTTGCCAACTTACATACCAAAAGCACGTCTAACTATAAACTTCTCTTCCCTAAACAAATAAAAAGTACAAAGTGAGTTGTGTCGGTTGTTGCATTTTTAGCCTGAAAACAGTGGGAATTAAGAGTTTTGCTGCATTTAATTAAGAAAACAAAAGCTTCCTCAGCAAGTTATTTTACCTGCTACTCCCTGATTAGCGCTGACCTAGTTAAAATTGGCCGATTCCAATCTGTGGCAAATATGTTTGTTGACGCATCTGTGGCAAATATGTTTGTTGACGCATCTGGAATTTCCAGTAACACTTCAGCATTTATGATTTTCAGCCATAGCATGCACTCTTACAGCTCAAATGAATCACAAGAAAAAAGAGCATCTTTTGACTTGAGAACTGTACTCTCAGGTCGGCAGGTCTTCAAGCTATGTAATACATATAAGACATATAGACACGAAGAGGGTACCTGCCTACAAGTACCACACATGATCACAAGAATGTCGTTAAGAACTGTATTACCATAATTCATTAAAAGTCTTTTGCTGCCATTTAAGAGAAAGGAAAAATCCCCTGACGTTTCTTAATGTTTAAGTGCCATTGATCAAATGGTCACTCAGGTTTTCAGAGTTACAGGTAAAGCTTATAAATGGGACTAAGTGCCCATAATGCACACTTAACCAAAACTAAAGGACGATCAGCTAAAAGTTGTCAGAGCATGACAACTAGCAATGCTGCTTTTCAAAAACCAAAACAAAGCATTTAATATTCTGAGGGAACAATATATCCAGCTAATTTCAATTCCAGCAGTTTACAATTTTCTTAGTGACTGACAATTAAAAGTACAAAGTCCTGCAAGTTCGCTGATAGAGGTTTAATCATCAATCTGGTAGAAAAAGACCACGAGATGAGGGTTGTTGTGTTTGAGGACCCAAAAAAGGGGAAGTTTCAGAATTAGACTCAGGCGATAAATAATTAAAATGGATATAATGGTTATATCTTTTCCATTATGATGCAGTCTTTACATTTTCTGCAAAGAGAATTTTGATTTCATTTGTCATTTCAGTTTTTAGGACATTTATATTCTCTATCAAAACGTCAAAACAAATTATTATAAATACATTTTAAAAGATATTTTTTTGAGCAAAAAGGCAATGGTTGCAATGAAATCAGCATCATTCTTTGCATTATACAAGCTTACATTTTTATGCATTCAAAAGCAAGCTGTTTGATGCACAAAAACTAAGGAAACATGCTTCATAATTTGTTTCATGCAGGCATTAATTTGGTAGAGGTTCACAAACCACCTTACTGTGAACGAATTCTCATCCTTTGTGCATCATCACCCCGTTTTGTGAGAACAAACACAGCTAATAGTAAACAATGGATTGTAACTAGGATACTGGTGTCAACACTCTTTGTGTCCGTAAACATATGTCAGCAAGCTGTGAACCATTGAGTGGCAGAGAGCAGCTTCCTGTCTCACAGGCAGACATGAAAACAGAGGCCTTTACAATACAAAACGTGCTGTGCATTAAAAACCACAAAACACAAGAAGTTGTCGTACTCCTGGCACAGAGAAGTGGCAGTTTGAGGAAAATGTATGACTTACAAAATTGTAACTTTCAACAAGATTGTCATTTTTTTGCAAATCCACAAAATGAGTGTGCACTGATAAAACTCCCTCATGCATGTTCCGCTGCAGATGTCCACACAAAAAACTGTTTTGTGCTAGATTGTTATGCTAAACTAGCTGCAGGTTTGAGTTTTATCTTCTTCACTCTGCAGTGAAATAAAGAAGGAAACTCCTTAGGAGAACCTTCAGCAAGAATTTTAAAAGCGACAGGAAATTGCAGTCTTAGCTAATTTACGGAAACATCAAGATAGCAGCAACAACACTTGTGTATATCAGAATTCTTTGATGTACTGGTGTATAAACAAAGCAGCACTCTGTCTTGTTTGCTAAACACAACTATAAAGGTTGTGTTATAAATCACCCAGAAAATGCAATTTATTATTAATTGCATTTATTAATTTCAATTTTCTGATATAGCAAAGAGAAAGTGATTTTTCACCTCCTAAATATTAAACGTTTCTGTCATAAGTAGAGGTTTGAATTTTAGGAGGGGGAGACCAGACTTACACTTCTCAGACCACAGGAAGATTTCAACAGCTGATAAAAATTGAATATTTCAGTGTTAGTTTGTGTACATATTTAGGTTGAGGTTAAGCAAGCATTTATTTGGTTTATGAGTTGGGAACACAAAAAGAAACTACAAGTTTAAGAAATTAGTAAGTGTTGTCATAGCTTTGTGGTTACCTAACTATATTAGTTGCCATATTTGCAGCATTAATTCAGAGAAACCATTCAGATTTTTGCGTAACTCATCATGTTGTTTTGGTTCTGTTTGCTACCAGTGTCAACATCTTTTATTTATCCTTTAATTTTGTCTGTTTATTGGTATTTTTCCCAAAACATGGCTATGGCATGCTTGTGTACATCAGCAGCGAGCAGAGTCAAGATAAAGGGGGCTGGGCTGTTTTCTCAAACATACCAAAGGACTGAGGCATTTAGCTTCAGAGTCTCCTTAGGTCACAGATCGACCTCACAGAGTCCTGCTGCTCTGATCATCTCTGGCCACCATGATCTCCTACCTTCTCTTACCTGCCGTCATTCTCTGTAAGCGTCTGATTTAACAATTCCAGTTAGAATTGAATAACCTGACTTTTTGCTCGTTTGTTTAGCTTCTTATAACAGGAGTTAGATGTTTTTTTGTTTCCCCCCCCCGCCCCTTTTGGGGTAGGCACTGATAAAAGGTAAAAATATTAATATGAATGGTATTGAGTACTTAACTTGTGTGTTTGCAGGTGTTGCCGTGTCACAACAAGTTACCATTACGGATGAGCTGCATAACCAAACGTTCAGTGTTTTCACACATGGAAACAGTAAGGCTCCTTCTACACTTTGGTTTGAATTCCTCAAAACTAATTCAGTATGCTATTAATTATATTGATTAACTGTTGTTTTCATCTGAGAACAGCAGATGAAGTTTCTATATTTTTTATTTTGAAAACAATAGATATATTGGGTCATTAGCTGCTTTATACAATGAAAGCAGCTAATGACTCTAATAATTATAAATCAATTCAGTTGATCCTATATAAAATAAAGTATGTGCTGTTTAATGTGCTGTTAGAACATTAAGATGTTCTGTTTTTAATAAACTGTGGAAAATGTATTCAATTTTGACTCAAAGATTTCAACAGCACGGATTGGAATATTACCTAAAAATGAATATTGGAGTTCAGCCTGAGTTATCAGATTTTTCATTATTGTTGATAATTAACTTTTTAAAAGATTTTTTGAAAAATGGCAGCCATTTTTTAATGTAAATAGTTCAACCTGGATAAGAATTATTTCTTAGAATTCATTTAAAATATTATATTTTGTCAGATTTTTATTGGACAGAGCTTAAAAATGATTTAACAACCAAAAAAAAATACATATAATAATTACAAAAAATGCATCAGGAAATTCAGTTTGTTCAGACACTGCTACTGAAACTGTCTGGTTTTTGTATTACTCAGAGCTTATGAGCATTTTGCTTTATCAAGTAAGTTGACAAAATGTGCTGATTATTATAAAAATGAAACTTCTCCATCTCCAGTTTGTGGGTTTAATTCACAAAAGGTCACAGTAAAAAGAGTATTTCTCTGAACGTTTACCTTCAGTAGAGTTAGATTTTAAAAAAAATCTCCTTGCAATAGCAAGGAAAATAACTACGATCAGCCTAAAGGAGATACATTTTACAGACAAGCCAAAGAAAGCCCAGAAAAATAATCTGTACAACAAAGCAAATTATTAACAAGACAAATTATTACTGCTCAGTAAAGCAAAATTATTTTTTTCAGGTACGACAAACCCAAACAATAAGGCAACGGATTTGTACAAAGATCACCTGAAAGACATTGAGGATGAACTGGAAAAGAACACATCTTTAATTATCACAGAGGATGATGGTGAGTGGAGAATTGTTAAGGACAATCTCACTTTAATAAATAAAAATACAAGCAATTGAAGGTCACCAAGCTTGACCTTTTAAAGAAATGGAGGATATCTTCCAATTTATCCAGCAAAATGTTCATCCTTTGGTGAAGTTTGACTCTGATTAGCACTTTAAATTAATCTGTGGCTATTTGATTGGCAAGAGTTCGTCTGTAATACTTTTGTCTTTTCCTGCAGAACATTTCCAGGACCCACAGAATGAAATCCCACACAAGCATTGCCACCGGGGTGAGCTAATACAGTTCAGTCACCAGTACTGTGGACAGATTTTTCATGCAGAAATGCATGATATCCACAAAGATGACTGGTGTGTCCTGAAACACATTATCAGGTATGTCAAAAGAGTTTTGAGTCCTTTTATACATATTTATTTCCATCTAAACAATGACACCTATTTCGGTCCATGCCATGGCGACAAAAACAAAAGCAATGCCTGAACACTTTTTACTTTTTATTTTTTAACAACAAATTTGTAACGTTTTGCTGTTAAAATTGGCTTTAATACTCAGTTTATTTTATGTAATTTTTCTAGGTGAATACACAATTGACAATTACATTAGAAAGAGAAATAAAACAGGGATTATGCACGCACACTCTGTAAACACCCCTGTAACGTTTGTCGTCAACAGACTTCTCACAAATGCACAATTTCCTGTTTTTGTTCAAGACTTTAAACTTTAGAAGAATAACACTTCATTAAAGCAAATATAGACTATAGCGTTTTCAGTGTCAGTTTCAAAATCAAAGAAATTGTACTTAATACATGTAGCCTGCATTAGTTCATTTTTATCAGACTTATATTGAACTGTGAACACATTACAGACAATAAAATAATTTACAAGCAGCATTTTAACAGGAAGTGAAAAAGTAGAACAGATGTAAAATCATGTTCAAGAATAATTTTAGCTACTATTGAAATGATTTATACATTAAAAATTATTTTTTTTAAATAATAAAAAAATAAAGTTCAGACCAGCCCAGATTGGTGAAATTGTGGATGGGAATGTAAGTTGTTTGATTTGCAGATAGAGGGCATGACACAGGACTGGATTTAGAAGGATGTGGGGCCAAAGCCAGTCTTGGTGCCCGAAACCCACACAATTTTTCTTTATACATGCAAATTAAAGATGGCTCAGTGTGCATTAGCTTTAAACTGTTTAAGCCTTGATTGCATAAAAGTGATTTTGTTGTTTGTATGTTTGAATTTACCCCTTCCTGATATACACAACAGAAATTCTTGAAATTTCTGCCCATGCAACAGGAAGAAGACATGCTATAGTGACGATGCCAAATTTGTGTATATCTGTGTATCAGCAGTTTCTGAATCTGGCACAGTCAATTTGACTATGTCAAATCTGTGAATACTACATGGTTTTTGATCATATTTCACAACCACAACAAACACACCTACTACATCCTATGAGTTGTTCCACTGAGATAAATACCTGATCTCAGTGGAACAACTCGCGTGCTTTCAGGTCTGCACCTAATTCTGCTGATCGACTTATTTCTCAGCTCAGACGTACAGCATAGGAGAATAATATTTCTTCACCTGGCATGCACAAGCAGGCTTGCTGCAGCAGCTGCTGTTTGTTGTGCTTTGTAATACGTCACAGTTAGTCTGAAGTCTCTTGTTACCCCTAGCAAGTAACAATTTTATTAGTCCGAGGAGGATCAAGATTGCAAAATTGGTAAATTGGCTTCAATCCACCCTTATTTTGTGTCTGGACCTTTCAATTGATTGCATAAAAATATATATGCAAATCACAGAATTTAAAAATGATCCCAAAGGGACTACTACAAAATAACAAAGCTACATTTCACAAATATATTCAAATTTATTGAAACTGCAAAACGTAGACACTCAAACATTAGACATTATGCATTGTAAAAATCCTTCTCAATTAATTCACAGTTGTTTTGTGGAAAGAGCTAACAACTATGCAATTCAACTGTAACTAAAATTTGTTGGACTTTTTACCCAGACATTGTGGAAGGGCTGGGCACTCATAAAGTGGATTGATAGTATTGCTGTGGGTGTTCATGGAGCTTTGGTATGTTGGTTCAGTTCTACTGGGAAATATCCGTCATTAGAATGAGTCTGAGGAAGTTCCTCCTCTTCCTGCTTAACAAATAGTTTCCTCCTTCACTCACCCAACCCCCAATGTCAATCTTCTGCTCTATTTATGTCCCGTCAGTAAATAGTTTAACCACAGCAGTTTTAGTTATGTTTGCTGTGGCCCATTATTACAGAGCTTCAGGGTTTAGCTGTAAAGTTTCAGTTGTTGAGATACAAAATAAGTGTCTCAACAGAAAGCTAAATTAGTCCAAATAGTCAGAAAAACATCTATGAGGGTTAATATTAAAAGCACTTTTGATTAAGTGCTGTCCCAAAACAGACACAGTATCCATCCATTGTTCATGCCTGCATAGACCATTCATACACTCAGGCCTAAGGAGTAATTTAGATGAGCCAGTTCTCTTAACAGTCCCATTTTTAATCTCTGCAAGGAAGGTGCTGTACCCAAAGAGTAAATAACTTACTACATGCTGCCAGCCTTTCCGGTTTATAGAACTAATTTGGAAAACAAATTCACATGTTTTCTACGGCAAAAACATTTTTGTCTTTTGGGGTGCTTTGCCATTTCTATTTGTGCCATGTCTTTTCTTTAAATTTTGGTTTGCCTTTTTGAATATTTTGGTGTATAACCATCATGTGTTCTTCTGTTCTACTTTTTTGTATCTAAACATGCAACAACTGTGGGAAAGCAACAAACCTATTTTGTTTATTTCCTATCACACCACGGACACAGAGAATTTCTTTTTGCTCTCCTTATTGTTAATGAAATACCTCTCTAACATAATTTATTTTTATCTGTTGCAGAATCTACAACAATTTGACACTATGTGTGGAGCTTGTGACTGTGTTAACTGACTGCTTTTTTCCAAATCCTGACGTCCAAGACTTCTTCCTCTACATCCACTCCACCTACTTCCAGAACTGCACGAAGAAAGAAGAGCTGCTTCAAGATGCCCCTACCAGCCTGGTGGTGGCACTCACCATCATCGAAGTGAGCTTTATCCCTGTCCTGGTTTGTCTGGTACTTTGGAAAAGTTAGGAACTGACTGGCCCATACAAAAAAATAAAAAGAAAAAATTACATAGCTTTGAACATTTTGGCCACCAAAGCTTTTAGTAGAAGATTCTTTGATTCATACATGGATTCATTTCTGCAAACAAGTGAGCTGTGTAAAATGTCAAACAGGTTTTATCTAAAACCGGATTTTTTTCTGTTTTTTTTTTTTTTTTTTAATGAAGCAACATCTCAGAATCCGCTTTGCTTTTCAGGCACAATGATTAACACGACACATAACTATTATTTTTAAAACGTAGTTTTATTGAAGTATCAAGACCAAACACTAAGCAATAAAATCAACATTAAAAAACTAATTCTCATAAACAAATGCTTCCTGAAAATAATGATGAAAGATGTTACATTTTTGATTGATAAATAAAAGTAAACCTTTGTCAAACTTTACTTAGAGAAGACTGATATTTGCTATATGTAACCCGTAGAGGAAGCTCACTTACTCATTTGAGTCCGAGCTCCACCGTTTTAAAGCTACACATACAAGTCAATTTAAGCATTACTGACATGTCAGAATTTATGTTGACAAAAACAATACAAAAGTTGTAAAAATAAATTCCAGAAATGGAGAAAATATCCCTAACTTACCATGTCTAAGTCATTCAACAGTGGATATGTAAAAGTTCTCCAAGTGATTTTCAGTTTCTCATTTTATTTTACTTCTTTTTTTTTTTATGAGTAGCTTTTAAAATTGGAACCTGATGTTCCTGTGCATTTTATTCTAAATAAAATGAAAGATTTCTGCATCAACTTTATCAGTTTATAAAGTTAATAGAGGAGTGCCTCAAAAGCTGCAATTGTTGCAAAGGATGTTTCTACAAAGTTTTGACTTGGAAGTTGAAATGCAAATGCATGCCACACTTTTTTGTAGATATTGTCATAATCAATTGGAAAGTTCAAAGTTGTAATTTAGATTGTAAATAAATAAACAAATTAGCATGGCAAAATAGCATTTTGAAAATAAAACATACAAACTTATTTTATTTTGCTTTTTGTTGATGTGCAATGTGAAAATTTTGTCAAATTCCTGCTGGTAACAAAAGATGAAACTGATCAAACAAGCACACTCTAAATCTGATAAATAAAAACCTTTCATTATATTAAAGCAGATCAGGTTCAACCAACCACAGGTTCCGTTTTCACACCTATGCTTCTCTGAGCTTCACAGCCCATCAAAGGCTAAGGGTGCTAAAAGTTTACTGAGTCATCAGGGATACATAGCTGACCAACCTAAGAATCTTGTGTCAATTGTTTTTTTTTTTTTGTTGTTGTTGTTGTTTTTGTTGTTTATGTAGACGATATGAAACAAAAGCTGTTGTTGCTTAAACAGCACCTAGCCTTCTTTCACCACTCCCAAAAGAACCTAATTTGGTCTACCTACAGCCTATCTTGAAAATACGGTTTGATGGGTTTTCAAAATATATAATAATATGTTGAGGACGTAATTCAGTCAGGTAAATGAGGTGTGATGGAGCAGGAGCACATCTAAAGAACTCAGTTTTGATGACACCGCATGTGAAATGGGACACTGCCACCTTCTGGATATAGTTTAACAAACTTATTTCAAAATTAAAGGCAGAGAAACAGATGCTCTTATTAATACTATATATGTTACAGTTTACTTTAACATTAACATGATTTAACTTTATGATACCTGAAGTTACACTGAGTCTAAAAACATTAGTAATAAAATAGATATATAAATAAAGACACAGACAGCAAATCTGATTTGTTTTTGTTTTATGTCAATGCTTACATGTCAGCTACATATTGTTGACGGTGAGTATGCTGTAAAATAGTTACACAATTACACTATAAAGAATTGCACACTTTTTATTTAAAGAATGTATTAAATATTGCCAGCTTGCTAACAATTTGATGATTAGAGTAAATCACTTAAAGCTTCAAGGCAGCTGTGACTGAACAATAATACTGTCATTGATTGTAAAGCAAATGTTTCAAACACAGAATTAAATAGCATTTGTTAGTGGATTATTATGGATCTTCATCAGCAGGACAGTACATGACATCGTTTAACAGTAAAGTTCACGCAGAGACACTGGTGAACTTGTGTCAATCGCTGCTCCTCGCGCTTGCAGTCTCAGAATAAATGAAAACATTAATAATCCAGCCAACACGGGACTAATAGAGGACTAGTGTCATTGATCCTGCAGTGACACGCTGTCAGTTTCCTGACCTGAATGACCAGGTCAGGAGATAACTCACCTAGTCATTCAAGTTCATTCAAGTTCAGTGTACAAAAAAGAAAAGAACACAACAAATTAAATGCTGCTAGAGTTTGTCAAACACTGATCCAGAAGTTTTGCAGTTCAAATAGGTGCAACTTGTTTGACGATGTTCTCTTCTTAGAGGAAAGACTTTCTCTTTCAACTAATTCAAACAAGCCATAGTTCTTCAACATTTTTCTTATGTCCTCTCATTAAATCTAGCATTTAATATGCTAAACAAAGCCTTCAAGAGGTTTTGAGGGCTTTCCAAACTTCCTGAATATTTCACAGTCTGAATGTTAGACAAATTCGCTGAGATCTGATAGTATTTATTCTGAAACAACAATACAACAACAGAGCAGTGGGGAACACTCACTAAGAGTAGACAAAATTAGAGAGGGATGACAGGAAGTGAAAAAGAGTTAAATGAATAAACAAATGGAGGAGAACCTGTTCACATATTTGCCAGTTTTTTTTTGTGTGTGTGTGGGGCTTAGGAGATGTCTCATTAATTGCTGCCAGATCAAACCCCACTGGAGATTTGTGTGAGTTATGCCAACTTTTGAATAATTATTCTCTCTAGTAATCTGAGTAATCTAGTAAATTTCCCTACAGCTTTTCATTATTGGGCATAAACAATTGCTTCTACAATTGCCAATGTTAGCACTCACCTGGATGCTCTAGGGCAGCAAAATGCCATGTTTATAGGCTGTCAATAAGATGACAACTGACTACAGAAGTGCATTTCATTTCCATGATATTGCCACTGCTTCTCCTCTTACAATAAAAACAATGAATAATGACATTATTGGATCTATTATGAACTTTTGCATATTTGAGAATTGATTCAATCATTTTAAAATTTGCCTAAGACTAGAAAACTGTTTTATGTAAAACCTGCAAATGCAAATGTGTATTCTTACAAGACAAGTTAAATAAACAGCCTTCTGGTTCAGAGCTCTGACTTAGTCTTGCTTAGATTTTTTCTTCCTGCTCAGCTGAAAGCAGAGGAATCGTATGAAACCTACCACAGCAGCTGTCAGCATCAGCAAAATTGCCAACAAGAAGACAAAAACATCCACAGAATAATAAGAATACCAAGGCATCTTATAAGACTCTGTTCGTAAATGTGCGGCCCCTTTATGCCTCATGACAAACTCTATCCAGTACACTGCAGTATCCAAAGGATGCATTGGCTTATCCCGATGGAGAGTGGACAGGCGCTTCATGTTCTTTCTGTAGGAGGGATTGTTAATGACATCTTGCACTGCTTCCAGGAAGTTCTTTCGTGTGATCTGTGTTGCATCCACAGCCCTCGCTGCTCCTCGCGCTTGCAGTCTCAGGATGTTTTCAAACTGGTCAAACAGAAGGGGGATGCCGATGATGGGCACTCCATGGTAGATGGACTCGTACACACCGTTAGTGCCGCCGTGGGCCACAAAGGCTTTAGTCTTTGAATGACCCAACAGGTCGTTCTGTGGCATCCACTTAACCAAAAGGGTATTGTTGCCCAAGTTGCTGGGTCGCTCACCAACATGCCTCCATATGACTTTCTGAGGAAGCTGGGCAAAAGCAGCAGCTATTTCTGAGGTGATGTCTGTTGGTAGACCTTTAACCAGTGTACCCAGAGACATCAGGAGGACACCATGCTCTCCTGAACTTTGAACAAAGTCTTCCAGCTCTTTGGATAAAGGCTTGGAGGGCTTGCACTGAAATCCACCAATGTAGGCAATGTTTGGCATGGTAGGCCTGGGGAATTCAAAGACAAAGTCTACCCTCATGAGCCAGATGTCTGCACCTTGAAGAAGGTGATAGAACTTCATGTCTGGACCAAAGTACTTGTACACCAGTCTATCATAGTGAGGGCACACAACAAACTTGTCAATGCATGTGTTTAGAAAATAGAACAATGTATTTTTGACTCTTTCGATAAATGTCATCTTGTCGGTCACAGGGTGTGCAGAAGTTGGAACATATGAAGTTGGAGAAGGAGCCACAACAAAATGGCCTTCTCCACTGGTGATCCATCTCACATTATAAACTGTTGGCAGCTTTAGTTCATGAGCCACCAGAACTCCGACAGGTAAACCTGGATCAACCAGGACCACATCAAACTGAGTGTCCCGAATACTCTGCATAAGAGTCTTGTTCTCAAACATTTCCACTCCCAATAAGCTGGCCTGTTTGTGAATGTCCGACAGTGCATTCAGCATCTCCCAGTAAAACTTAACAAAACCGGATAATGAACCTTCCTTCTTAATTTCCAGCATTTTCATGAGAAAATTCACAAAGAAGTCCTCCTTTTCAATGACTATGGCTTCTGGCAGTGTGACAGTAATGGTGCGAAAATGTTGCGCAGATTCTTTGACATACCAACTAGTGGCTGTTCGAACAACAGTGACCTCATGGCCCTTAGCATGAAGGTTTTGGATCAGCAGGTTCATGTTGACCCAGTGGCTGCCATCCACTGGGAACACCAAAATCTTCCCTGCTTGGACACTGGTACCAGTGAGGAGGAGCACACTCAGCACCACAAAGAGAGAAACTCCTTGAAGACTCCCCATTGAAATGCCCTGAAGAAGATAGTCACATATGAGAATTTAGGGATAGCATACCACAGTGAATGTACAGTTTTAAACATTAATCATTTAGCAAAGAAGACAAAAGAAGACATTCATTCTGTTTATGTTACTTGAAAGTGTTAAGGTAAAAAGAGAAAGACATTTAAGGGTGTTTGACTGTCCAGCCTCAAACTGTTACAGCAAAGATGTGTTTGTGTTTATCAATTATTCTGTAGTCACAAATGTATTTATATTTGTATAAAATGTGACAAATCAACACAAAGTATTGCATAACTGAAGTTGAACAAAAAGAATTAATCATTTTTCATTTTTTCCCAAAACGAGGAAAATGTGGCAAGTATGTGTCTCTAGTCCTATTGACTCTAATACCTCTAAATACAATTGCATGCAATTACATCTGTGTGTAATTTAATAATAATTCAGCCGTTCAATGTGTGTAGAGAACATTGGTGAACAAACAGCATCGTGTGGCCCTTTTCCACGAGCGCCCTAGTCAGTGCAGCTCAACTCGGCTCTCCATGGGTTAGAAGGGTTTTCCATTAGTATTGTCTACATGTTACCGACCTTTTTTTGGGATTCAATTCATGCAAAGTCAGGCTGAAAAGGTGGTATTAGAAGACTGTTGGTCACTGATTGTCCAGGAACCCAAAGGTAATAGAAACATTCCCCCAAAAACCATCAGACAAAAAAAACTATCAGTTTAGGCGGCTGAATACAAATGGAAACCAACTTTTTAGACCGTAATCCCACTGAAATACATTAAAGCTTTTCGTGTTTAGTATGATAAAAATATGGAAAATTTCAAGTGGTATGAATACTTTTTAAAAGCATTGCACTAACAGTGAATATTATATTAAATGACAACTGAAGGTTATCATTTAACCTTCAGTTATCATCAATTATTCTGTACTCACAGTTCTTTCTCACTGTAGAACTGAGAAAGATCAATGGACATCTGGAAATTATTAGAATGCTTTTCTTCCTGTACACGAGACATTTTAGTAGTGGAGGAATGCATGATTTTCCTTAACCTTGAATCGTACTTGCATAGCTCTGCTGCAGTTTTTCAAAGCCTTCTGACATACTTGTACCAAGAAAGTTGCAGTTCTGATTTTGTTTCAGTGTGACTTTCAAAATCAGATTTTTGCACAAAACAGACATAGCTTTGAGGTTTTATATGGCACAAACACACAGTAATTGCTCAATAAATCAAAGTCCAATGGAACACATGTTCTCACTAATGCTTGGAGTTAGTTTAGTCTCTAATCTCAAAATCTGTCTTTAAGAAACTTGTTATGAAACTATTACATTTAAAACAATTATTCCCCGAGATTATAATTTTTCTGTTTGCAGGTCTGATCTTCAGGAAGTTAAAAAGAGGAAACTCTACCCTAAATCTCATCTGTGTATGAATTATGTTAACATGTTGCAAAGAAAGTGTTGGAACCTACCTCGCAGCTCAAATACAGCAGAGGAAATGTAAGTTTTGTTCTCCCAGGACAAAAAGGTCTCAGTGCCTGTGCTGTGCAGAATTTAAGTCCTGATTATTGTGTTACATAAGAAATGTGGGAGGGGTACGTGAGAACTGGACTTCAAGTTCATCTGTGTGAGTTTGAATTCGAGGAAAAGAAAACATTCTGCCAAGAGCTCCCACCCTCCAGGTATCAAAGGGTCACAAAAAATGCAGATTCCATACAAATGCTATGGTTTTCCTTATTGAAAAATTTCCTTTTTCAAAAAAGGGAATTATTCTTCAGTTGGGAACAAAATGTTCCCAGAATATGTCTGGAAGTTGCTAATGTTATGGAACTCTAATTATTAACAGATGCTAACATAGTTCCATACCATATGAGAAAGAAATGTCATTCATTTTTCCGTTTAGGAAACAACTATTTATTTAGAAAATACAGGAAATAATAGCCACCACATTAATTTCGTTACAGTAAAACCAATAATTATATATATTTTTTCCAACAACTGATTACAGAATATTTCAAAACCTGCTTTATTTATCTTACTTTTTCATACTAGGAAAATCATATTGACAAAAAAAAAATAAAATAAAATATAAATAAATAAATAAATAAAAACAGTGATCAGTTCATTTCAGGACGCCAGAGGGCACTGTGAACCCATTCGGGATGAGTGTTTTCATCTGAATAGATGGAAAAAGGCTTCGTGGTGTGTTAGTTGAACACATTTGACTCTTGGAGTTGCAGAGGAATCGTAATGGTGAGTAAAGGTAGAAAACTCCCGACACTCAGCACCTGTACGGCGTAATAATGTCAGGTGCTCACTGTGCTCTTCTCACAAATCATTTCATTTTATAGCACAATCAGCTAGCTGTGCATGGAAGACCAAAACTTAGGCTATATATTTTACTTCGTAATCTAATGTCTTAAAATTGGGCTTCTGTCTCTTTAAAAATTCCTGCTTCTTCTGAAACTCCGCCTCAGGAAGTCATCATAAAGTTGCTTCTCTATTGACCTTTTAACCACGTTTTTAAGAGCGTTGTGCTGAGAAGTAGCTCATATGAGCTCAGCAGGTGTGCGGTTGCGTCAGGTGCTGTTGAATAAGTGCTGTTGAATAGTTTGAGCTGGCTCAGTGGAGGAGTTGCGTGGAGTCGCGAGGGAGCATGCTCTGTGAGGCGGAAACTGCAGCTCAGAGGACGAGCTGCACCTCAAAGTGGCCCTCGGACCAGATTAGAGGATTGTGATTTAAATCTCCCAAAAAGTTGATGTTGCCCCTTTAAGGCACCTTCTTGCAGTCTCTCTATATATTTTTTTTGTTTGTTTTAGAGTTGTACAGGCATCCTAACATTTTATCATAGTGGAAAGTGATATTTACGCAAATTCCACAGCTGTTCAAATAAAAAAAGCATTTGGAGAAAGTCATTTTGAAACTTGCTACTGCTTTCATTCAGAGGTCATGTGTTTGTAAAACAGGAACACAGAGAAACAGGAACATGCTCTTAGTTGATTCTTAACTATGTGTGAAAGCAGATGAAAATGACAGGTATGTGCACATCGCTGCTTCTTCTGGCCTTCATCTCTGCCTCTGCAGCTGATGTTGGGGACTTCACCCCCTGCTTGCAATTTTTCTACAAATCCTGGCCCCCCAAAGGCCTGGCTGGGACCCCGATCTGCCAACGTTACAACAACATGTACCAGTTTGCCACGTTATACAGTCGACCTCGCCGTTCACCGTGGTTTTCAGCTTATTTGTACTCCGTTCCAACCGCCCAAAGCTTCCTGGAAATATGAGCCACAGGTAAGTTCGAATTCATGTTTTCAGTTCTCTGATTTTGATAGGATGAGAAGTTGTATACTTGGGTGTCCCTAAGTGTCAAAGATTTTACAGGAGAAGCAGATGCCTCCTGGTATACTAGTTTAAAACTTGTGTCTGAAAAATTTTTAAAAAATCTCTTTTTAGTTTCTAAAGGTCCAATTTTAGTTAACATTTTAGCTAATAATTGTCAGTGTTTTTCAGAATTTAAAGAAATATAGAACAGACATCTGAAAAAGAAGAAGTGATATCTGTGTTTTCACAGTTAGCCGGTTTATGCAAATAAGCCTGTACTATTTTTTTTCTGTTAAACTGCATGGGGCTGCAGAAAGTGTGACAAAGTCATATGATACAAAGCAAAGACAAGCAAAAGAAGAAGCACGTTCATCAGACCATAGAAATGGATCATCAGAGAGTAAAGCATATAAAGAAATCCAGCTTCACTTACATTTGAATTACGTATTCAAATATGTCTTATTCATGTAATTTTTCTGAAACATTTTTTCCCCTTTTGGTTCATGAACAGTTAGCCTACCCTTCAGCAGATGGCAACATGGTCCCCTTCTTGCCTGGACCAGTTGACATGAACATCGTAGAGAGCCAAGCAGTGGACCTGGACTACATCAACTCCACCTACTCTCGTGGCCACCTAAACCCTAGTCTTCATCACCAGACCTCCCAGTGCCGGTCTGCCACGTTTACCCTCACCAATGTGGTTCCTCAGAAGAGATGGTCTAATGATGGACCCTGGGAAATCCTTGAGCTTACAGTCAACATGACCTTGGCAACCTACTGCCTTGGAGAAGCCTACATAGTGACAGGCATCATGCCCTACCAGAAAGAAGAGCACTGGGTGAAGAATCGGGTGGCAGTGCCAGAATACCTCTGGTCTGCATACTGCTGCCCAAATTACAACCAGAGTATTCCTGACAGACTGAAAGACGCCTTTCCGACCTTCGCTGCTATTGGACGCAATGACCCAAACAGCACAGAGGAGATTGTTCCGATAGACAAGACGGCTAAGAAAGAGTACAGGGGATATGATGTGAAACAGATGTCTCTAGACTTGCTTGAGATGTACCTGAAGGACAGATTCAATACAGTCATCAGTGTTTTTAATGGACAGTGTGGTTAATCAGATTAGATGCTTGCAAAAATTATTGTTCTGATCTGAATTTTAATCAACTGAAGACCTAAAACTGTGTTAATAGCTAGTGTTAAAATGAACATTTTATGTCTTGTAACTTAAACTCACTGTTAACTGAGTGTCAGAAACTCCATCAACTGCTTGTGACACTGTGATTCCACCTGTAATGACACCACAAAGTCCTTCAGCATCTCTTCCAACCATCCCAGCTCCTTCTCAGATGTTTAATTTGCTGCATTTTGTTTCCTTATGGGAAATTGCTACGACGTCTGCAAACTTACCACTAGATGGAGTTGCGGAGCTGTATGTGTGATGGCATTCTCACTGAGATTTTTTTAATATTATTTTGTAGTTTACCTTACTGATAAAATGAATAGTTCAATGAATAAACTTTCTGTTTCACGAAAAAATGTCCACTTCATTATCTGTGAGCCTTTTTTCTACATTTAATTGGAAGAGAGGCACAAATGCTGCACTCAAAATAAGCATGCAAAACTCAAAAGTTCAGTATGGTAGTACTGAGGTGTTATTTGCAGGAAATTATAAAGCAGAAGTATTCTGTTTGGAGAAATGTACTTTTTTTTATTGTTCTTGAAATAAGAGGTCATTTAGTCACAGATAAGAAGCAAACTTATGAAGATGTAATGGATGATATTTTTTGTTTTTAAGCATTTGGTGTAAAAGTGACTAATTCTGACCTTGTACAGTCATCCGATTTTAAACTGTATACTCCAAACCAAAACCAAAGTTTTTTTTTTTTGTTTTAGCCCCAAAATTTTACACTTTATTTTTTTTTTTTTTTATTATCACGCAACCGTTTGTCAGCATGTCTGGTTGCAGCTACAACAGCTTAATATTCAGATTGATGGCAGATTATTATTTGCCTTCTAGTAGACTGTTCAAACTGTCTTATTAAAAGGGCTTTATTTTTTCAATAAAAGAACACAACTGGAGGAAATGTACTTCCACACTGAAAGTATTTTATTTGATTGTTTATATATTTTTAAATATGCTGGAGAGAACTTTGTTGACAGAAATAAACTTGTTAAACTTGTTTGTTTTTCTTTTTGTTTGCTTTTTCCTCCCTTTTGCATCAAGAAATACAACTGATGCTTTGAGTAATTATGCTTTTATTGTATGAACATGTACAATATTAGCACAGGTTTACACAGAGCTGACTATGTCTAACATGAACGTTTTTTTTAATACAATCATTGAGGACGCTGTGCCATTTGGGTGAAAAGCTTGTCCCAGATCTCCACCTTCAGTATGGCCCTGCCCGTGGGGGACATGGTGGCCTTGATGTCCACGCTGCTTCCCTCAAAGTTGAGCCCACTGCCATTGGACTCCTGCCGGACAAAGCCTGTCTGCTCCTTGTAGTACATCTCTTTGAAGAGGCTCTCATTGCATTCTTTGCCCACATTGTAAATTCCCACAGCCACCCAGTTTTTGTACATGTTGTAGTCGTATGGCACAGAGAACATTATTGCTATAATCTCTTTGGCACTGTTGGCTGATCGGCCAAACAGCTCATAGGTCAGCACGCCTACAGCACCTGTCGCTTTTCCACTGTCTTTGGAGAAGTTGCAGACTTCTGTCTTCTGTGAGCGGACAGTAGGCTGTGGAGGGCTGTGGACGCTGCCATTGTCTAAGAAAACCCTTTGCAGAAACAAAAGTCATTAAAAACATTATTTATTTATTTATTTATTTACATTAGGGGTAGGAAGCTAACTGTACTTATTTTGCACTTACTTGGGGTTAATGAGGCAGTAATGGTTGCTAAGGTTGGTGATCTCAATGGTGACATTTCTTCTGCTTTTGAGGTTGGCAGCCAAAGCCTCTGCTGATTCACTCATTGTTTTGTTTTCAAGTGTTTAACTACAGATGAAACAGACATGCAGCTACTAATAATCAATGCATTGACCAGAAAAACAACTTTTCTGTAAGTACAAGGAAAAAGGGCTTACCTGTCTGTGCCACTGATGTGTTGCTCGGTTGTGTGATGTCGTATTTGAATCCCAGACTCTAGTGTTCAGGTAAATCTTACTGGGGAATGTGAGACAACCCACAGTGTCTCCACCCACAGCAGATTCCCAACTGTGTTCCGCCCTGTCTCAGACTTCATCAATCGGGCATTTCTAACAACACACACACACAAAGTAGGTGCAGCTGAAAGTGGTTTTTCTTGTTTTAACTGTATTTTCTTGGCAAGGTGTGAGACTGTTGAGTTTGCCTCACAGTGACTCCCTCTCAGATTAGAAAACCACACCCTTTTCTTTTGTGTCTTACTTTATTTTGTTTTGTTTTCATGGTGATCATCTTATAATACATTGCAGTCATCCTGTCAAACGACTGTGTTGCACACTGCGTCTGATTTTAACATATTAGTTTGCGTTGGTTTAACAATTTTTTTGTCAAAAAAGAAGCAAAGCAGACAAGAAGTGGATTAGATTATTTTTTTATTTTTTTAAGCACTCATAATGACAGAAGTCAACAATCAGAAATGTCATCTATAATGCTTTCGAATGATGTAAGCTGTTCATTGTGACAGCATTACAAACAGTTCATCTGCCCATCTTGTCATACAGCTCTACTTTGATGATCGCCTTTCCATTATCAGACATGCAGGCCCTCACGTCCAGATCCTTGCCCTGGAAAACCACTCCGGAGCCATTAGCCTCTTGGCGCAAAAAATTGGTGAAATCCTTGCCTTTGTACATCGTGTCAAACAGCTTGTCATCGCAGGCGCGCGTGTGCTCGAAGATGCCCACGCCAAGCCAGTTCTTGTAGATGTTGTAGTCGAATGGCACAGAGAACATGATGGCCATCAGCTCGCTGCAGCGATGGTCACGCATGTTAAACAGCTCGTAGGTCAGGACGCCCACGGCTCCGGTCGCTGTGTTGTCATCCTTGATGAAGGAGCACACCTCTGTCTTGGTGGTGCGCACAGTGGGCTGCGGGGGGTTGAATGGGAAGCCACTCTTCATGTAAACCCTGAAAGGAATAGAAAAGAAGTCATGAGCCATTTTATCAAGAGTAATAAAAAATCTATTGTAGCTCTTTAAATTGGAAATGTGGCCCTTCACACCTCTCAGAGAAATTGGAGTTAAACTTGGTGAGATTATAACAATGAAGGCAAAATCTGGAAATGAAATCCAGCAAAGGATGTAAATGAAAAATGAAAGGTAAATCCTCATAATATATAAAAAAACAAAAAACAATCACAAATTCACTTACTAATCAAAAATAGATAAAAGAATAAATAAACATGCATAAATATACAAAAAATTGAGAAAATGCCCCAGATTTGTAAATCAACTGACAGTTGAACCAAAAAAGATACGCTAAATAACTTACAGAAAGAAAAAAAAAACAGCTGACAAACCCAAGAAATGAGTCCTCCAGATTAATTAATGAGCCATGAACAAATGTTTGACATGGAAGAAACTACTGGCCGTCTTTCAGAGGTTCTTACTTTGGATTGACGAGACAGTAAACAGTACTCATGTTGGTGATCTCCATCGTGCAGTTACGGTTGGTGGTGAGGGTCACGGAGTGGGACTCTGCAGTCTCAGGCATGGTGGTGGCTGCTCAGGAACGACTACAAGGAAAAAATTCAGATGAGAAGCTGGCATGGAGAGCAACCAGGACACCATACATTATAGAAAGTTATTCACAAAGAGCAACATAAACTCCACCAGATATTACCACAAGAGCACATTTAATGTTTGATAAATATGATTTTTTTTAAAAATAGGACAAGTATTTCAAAATAAAAGCACTTACTTGAGGTAATATGGCACTCCTGGGATGGCAGAGAGTCCTCTGAAAAGAAATTCAAGTTTGGTTTAGAGACGAGCTTGAAGTCACACCCACTTAGACACACCTCATCTGCAGCAAGGTGTGATTCTGTAGTCTTGCACTGCAGCATCAAGAATGTCACTCCCAATGTTACTTCTGTGAGAGTTAAGGAAAAGGATGCATTTTAATCATTGGGGTCTTGTAAGACGTCTTGCAACAAAACATTAGAGATAAAGCAATAAAAGTTAGGTTAATAAATCGGACAAAATGCTGTTTTATTATTTTGAATGCAGATGGAGTAAAATTTTAAAAAAGGGGAGAGTATTTGTCATAAAAACAATAACTCTGACAGAAAAACATTATTAGAAACAACAATTCTACCATTTTAAGGAAAAAAAGGTAAAAATATTTGTCCCACAGGATGGAAGCAACTGAACAAAATAGACTGAGCCCCACCCAAAATATCCAGTGACAAAGTTAGACTGTAGTCATTCAGATGAGTTTGTCTAGTTAACCGTCAAACAACCTGTGATGAATATTGGTTTTCAGTGTGTTCTTTCTTCCTCGGATTAACTTTGTTTAGCCAGAAATGAATCATAATGAGTCATGAAAACTGCTACAGTTTTTTAAAATGTTGAATGTATGAACTGATTCTGTTGGGTGGGTGCAGCAGCCTGTCCCTGCTTACAAAATCTAGAATCAGCAAGGAGTCATGAGTTAATCTGTCCAGCAAACCTGTTCTGAAACTTGTTCTGAACTCATGGAAACTTCTAGCCTTCTCTGCAAGCATGACAGCTATAGAGTCTTGAATATGAACAAGAATAGCAAAACAGGAGAAGAAACAAGCATCACAACTGATGCAAAATAAACATGAAAAAATACAAAACCAGAAAATTTCCATAAAAATGTTCAAAAATACATAACAGAAAAAAACACAATAAGAGACAAAAATATGAGATACTTTTAAAAGGGAAAAGACACAAAGGGATGCAAAAAAAAATCACGCAGATAAAAGCAAGACGCAAAATTTGTATATCAGATAAAATACTTTATTTAGAAATGAGGACAAGAGATTTAAAATGGTTAAAAAGACATAAAAATATAGGGATAAATAAACTACAAGTAGATATTCACAGCTACAGACACACAGAACTTTAAAAACAAACGATAAAACCTCAGTCTGATGGAAATGAAACCCAAATATATGACAGTGTGTGAACACATTAAATATCTTTATGTGAAATGTATTCTGCACACACAAGTGTCAACAGCTAAACCTGGTGACAGACATAAAGTGTAGCAACCAAACTTGTGAATAATTTGCATATAACAGACATAAAATACAATTCTGACAAAATTATACTTCTGATGTAGCTTAAATATTTGCCATGAAGTTTTTAATTTGACACAAAACTATATTAGTGCAATATTAGTATATATTTTTTGTCCAACAACTGGATTCAAGTTGTTTCCTATTGTGGGCTTCTGCTCAAACTTTTATTACATCCTGGCATTTTGTATGTATTTTGTCACAACTTTAGCACCATCTTGTGGCGCTATTTATCTTCTTGTCAATTCAAAGAAGGAGCAAAGTTTCATCCCACTGCTTCTCCATATTTTCCATGTTATGATGGATGCTCATGCTGATCCTGGTTCTGGTTCTGTTCAAAGGGAGTTGTGACCTTTGACTGTTACCATCCTCTTGCACTAGAATGCATTAAGCTGACGAATCACACAACACAGTTTACTCCAGATAACTTGCTGTGTCCGGTGGTTGAGGTGCTAGGGCTGTCATCCAACAGCCTATTGTGTTTTTGAGTTCTACATTTTTTAAAATGACAGAAAATTTAAGAATATGACAAAGTAAATATATGCTATTGGAAGACATTATTAGCAATACCTAAAAATCACCTGTAAAGTCAAAGAAAAAATAAATAAATACACATTAACCCTGCACAATGTGTTGGCTTTCTGAGACAGAAAGCTTTCTATCAATCGAATTAATTTGATTTCCTGAGCATTCTGCAGGAGATGTCCTTGAAAAATCTCTGTTTATTTAACTGCTGTCAGCTATATGTAACCTCTTTGCCCAGGGATCTGGACTTTATCGCACAGATGACACAGTTCATTGTGAGTGAGAAAGAAAACCAGAGAAGTTTGTTTATTTAGGTTTGAGGATGTCTAAGGTGATAAATTTATCATAGATGGATATCATCTAGTTGTAGAAAAATCTGAAGAATGATTTGATGTATTTTTCTTTTTTTCTCATATTTTGTTGAATAGTCTACCCCTGCATTAGCAGATTTTATTTATTTAGTTATTAGTGTTTTGAACTAAGCATTGTACAAATTGGAAATAACACATTAATAAAAGGCTCAGAAAAAAGGAATCATTAATCCAATGGGGTCTTCTTTTGTTTAATTTAAAAATGTTTTTTTGTACTAGATTCAGTTTTTAAGTTCCCCTCTCTTGCCTCTCATCATTCAGCTGTCCCTCTACCCTAACGACTGTTTTAATGTGAAGCCACTGTCACTCTTTGATGACTTGCTATGCTTTGTTTTGACCACAGGGTGGCAAAGTTGTGTAACGAATCATCACAATAACAAACACTGTTTTGCTTTCGTTCTGTTTTTAAGAAGACAAAAGCAGTAACTCAATTAATTTCAATTGAACTTCAATTAATTTCAATTCAAATGAATCAGTACACTGGTTCATTTACAGACATAAACAATGGCAAATTATCAGTGTAAAACCTGTATTTGCTTAAAAAAGATCATGCCATGAAGCAAAATTACATGCACAAATAAGAAAAAATACACAACTTGGTTTAGAAGTTAACACCAACACGTTTTATCACAGGTTTGTTTGTAGCTTTTCATATATCTGGAGCTAGTTTGCTCTTGCTTTGTTTCTGTTTTATATGAACTATATAAAAAAAAACAGAGAAAATCAGAACTCAACACTCGGTGAACTGAGTCATACAAGTGTTGATTAGAGGGAATAATAAAAACTGATTAATATGAACAGAAATGTAAAGGTATTTGCTATATCTTTCACTCAAGCTTACAAAGTAGTTCAGCTTTAGTTGTTTTACAGCTCAGAAATACCAAACAGTTGTCATTTTTGCCTATCAATAACAACTTCCTTGTTATTCTCCAAACAACTTGTGGCCTGAACTTTAAATCATTTCTGAGGGAACATGGTTCCAGCAGTGATGGTAGACAGATTTGTCTTTCCTTCTATCCATTTGTTATAATTGGTAACCCTGGTGTAAACACCAGGTTTGTTTTCCTTTGCACATCCGTCTCCCCAGCTAATAATTCCAAAGAGGAAAAGCGTGTTGCTGACTTCGCAGACCAGTGGTCCTCCTGAGTCACCCTGTCAAACAGAGGCAGAGAGCTTTAATGGGAGCAAACATCATGTGTGGGAGAAATTCTCAAGCCAGGTACGGACATGCTCAAATACCTCACATGAGTCCTGGCCCCAGTCGGGACCTGCAGCACAAAACATGTTGTTGTTGACCATATTTCCATAATAATCCTCCTGTCGACACACATTATCAGCTAGGAGGTTCACCTGAGCCTCCCTGAGGTACTGAGAATTATACCATAACCCTGCAAAGAAAAGGAACAGATAAGACATTTCACAATAAAAACTGTGTAGGTTTACAACAGTACATCAATCTTGTCTTTGTTTTAACATGCAGCCATGCAAAACATAGCATTTCCATGACTATCAACACAATCTGAAGAAATATTAATTTCATTCACGGGTGAGAACCCCGTTCCTTAGATAACCCCTAAACAACAATACTACTGATGTATTTTTTCAAATATTAACTTTGTATTTGGGGAAAATTACAATTAATCACCTAAAAAAATAAAATAAGAAAAAAAAAAAAAAAAAAAAAAAAATATATATATATATATATATATATATATATATAATATATATATATATATTTTTTTTTTTTTTTTTTTTTTCCTTACCGTTTTTTATGCCTTAAGAAAATTAAAAAACAAAAAAATCCTGACACGAAGGATGATAATTCATGCATGTAAGGTCTAAAATCTTTTCTCAAATTGATGAACAACAAAAATGTCTCATTTAGATGGTTTTTTTTCTTTGCATCATGCACCAAATAAGTAAAGCTGATGAGAATGACAAAATGCCTGTTGTTATAGAGGTGATTGAGCTCATGATGACCAACCAATCAAGTGCTGATTGACTTTTCAGGTAGAAAATGTTCCTTAGTTGTAAAACTGTCTATCTGTTTAGGTTAATGTGCTCCCCATTCGTAGGCTCATTAGTTGTAAAACTGTCTCTGGGTTCTTCTTGTTTGTTATCAAGCCCCAGCCCACTTCTGTCACTTAGAAGGGGGATTGGGGCTCCCCTTCTACACTCTTCCTTTGTGTAATAAAAGACAAACTTTTCTGCAGTTTCTGAAACATTTTGCACTGTTCGGAGGAGCAGATATCTGTGTTTCACCTTTTGCAAAATAGACTTTGATTGAAAACTAATTAACATTGTCTGTGGTTCTTTTTATGAAGGTAAGCAAAATTAGTCTAACCTATCAGAAGACTTTTTTCATGGCTATTCTGACAGTCTCGCAGTAGTTAGTCTTTACACGTACAAGAACAAAATATATCAAACTTTCTTCACCATATTTTTCCTTCCCATATCCAGCAATCTCGCAGGTGATTCCTGTTGGGAGGTTCTGCAGAGGCGGTGGGAGGCAGACAGTCTTTACTGAGTCAGTCTCTTCAGCACACTTTCCATGTATGGCCACCAACTTCAGCAAAGCTGAGAGAAATCAGTACAAAAAAGGCAGTTTGTTTTATTTAAGATGGTAAGCTTTCTTTAGGTAAGTCAGAATTTGTGTTGTTGGCTGTTTTTCTTTAGGGGGTTTTGGTAGCAAATAGATCCATTCATACCAATGTCATTGTTATAGTTTTGTTCACTGTGGTTGAATTGTTCATGGACGAAGATTTGCTCCACACTGAAGGTTTGCTCCACTGTTGAGTCACTCTCGTTGATAGCATTTTTTCCCAGCGTGACAGAAAAGCGTTGATGCCTCATTTGAGAGCTACAACACAAAAACTCCGTCATTTCTTGGCACCGACTCTGTTTATAGTAACTGATGCAATTTCCTACCCTTCAGGGAAGCAGTGGGCAGCTGTGATGACCCAACAGGCAGATATCAGACTGCCCCCACAGCGGAAAACATTCTGGTCCAATTTGTTACGCCAGAATATAGCAGCGATCCATGGGTGAGATTCCACAGTAGAAACTTTTCCACCCACAATCTTTGTCTGCTTTTGTTTAGTCCGCTGGCCACATGTCAGCTCTGCAGCTGGAAAGGAAGAGATACTTAAAACTGTTGGAAAACACATACATGACCAGAAAAAACAAAAAAACATTTGTGTTAGAATCTTACATGGTTGTGGCATGGTGGGTGAAGTTGAAGGTGCAGGTGTGACTGTAAGATTGAAAAGATTTTTTTTCAAACCTTTAGGCCATGCACCTTGTATACCTGAAATATTCCTAATTTATTAAGATATTTTCCAAATCTTTCTTAGAAAAAAAAAAACAGATCTGAACTTGTCTAAGACAGTCAAGACCTACATCAAATCTGATGCATGTGAATGAAAAGTATTCTCATTTCAGGAAGAACATACTTACAGGATTCAGTGTCACATTGTGGGATATCACAATATTCCCAGAACAGCCGGTGGTTTTTTTTAACGTAACACCATGGGCGTAGTCTGTACCGAATATTTCTGAAAGGAAAAACACTGTCAAGAACCAACAAACAATAAATATATTTGGCTTAAGATTGACAATTTGACTGAAAAGGCTATGTGGAAAAAGTATGGATTCTCAGTGAGTATTTGGATGCTAAGATCTTCTGAGGAAGTTCCTAAGTTCTTATTGAATATGTCAAGTAAAATGGAAAGTAATTAGCACTTCAATATAATCCCAGTAAAATGTGACAGATTTATTAAAGCAGTTATTAGGCGAGTAAACTATTTCATAAAATAAACTAGTAATTGCGATAAAGTTGGCAACAGATAGAAAGTTAGACTTTCAAAAGACTCATAAGTTGATCATTTGAGTTTCTAAAGTAATGACAGTAACATATTTACAAAATAAAATTAAACCAGGCTGAAACTGAGTAATAAATACCACTATATTTTGACTAAAAATTGGTTAAAGACTAATGTACAACTTAATTGACACAAATACAAAAGCTGGAACTTGCATACAAAGTGTGTTGTTATTCTGATGAAAAATCTACAAAACATTTATGGAAAATAGATTTAAAATTATTAAAACTAACTAAGAGCAGGTATTGGTTTACAATCATTCTGATTTTGACCTACTCTACATTCATTAACATTGTTCCACATTGTTCCACTTAAGCTGATTAAGTGCCTTAATCAGCTTCCTGGATTAAGGCACTTAGCTGATTAAGATCAATTTTAATCTTAATCAGCAAATTCCTGTTTATTCATGTTAACACTTATCCTATTGAGGTATGTTGAGCACTGCCAATTATACATGCTTCTACTTGATAAAATTGTGTTCCATTATTGCCGTGATGTTACGCAGATGTATTAATCAGTTAAATGGTGATATATGTAAATATATTCAAAATATATTCAAAATATATTAATCCATAAAGCATCCACTCTCCAAACATCCACTCTCACCTGATACTAGAAAAGGATTTGCTGCAAATTCATATGGTTTGACTGCAATTGACCAAACTTCCAAAGATAGATAACCTTTTTACCACCCGGCATTACAAACACAAATAATTTACATTGTGGTATTATTATATAGGATCAAACTGGAATGTCTATAACTGAATTTAAATCTGTATCATTGGATCATATTAATTTTATTAAATCAAACAGTATATTTCTGAATATGACCTGACTCTCTTTTGTGAGGTCTCTTCTTGTCATGACATTTATTAATTAGTGCTAAATATGTGAGCTGAACTAAAATATTAAATGTTGCAAGTAAAGCCAAGTAACAACATACATTCAGTTAAACTGAACGTATATCCTTGTAGAATATAGGTCAAAAATCCTTTGACCTATATTCTACCAAAAGTGATTCAGTGAATCACGACGATCCCTCCTTTGTCTTAGATGTATGACTAATTGGATCACAAAAAAACTGTAACACAGTTTTCTTGTAAGATATGAATCATTTTGCTATTGGTATGAGAATAGAGACAAATGTTTAACATTCTAAACATAGACCACCTGCAGTAGTTGTGTCTTCCAGAGTGAAGATCTGAGGACAGATAACGATTCCTGGTGTGTGAGTACCAGAACTTGCATGTTTTTCCGCTGACTGATTTTGAAACAGTCCCTTTGTAGTATAACCCGATCCCTTCATAGCAGCTCTCATCTTTTGCTATAACTACAGACACAAGTGATTAAAATGTGAACTGGCATCACTGAAGTTTAGCATGAAAAATCAGCTTCTCACCTGTTTCACAATACCTCCCAGAAAAACCATCAGGGCACTTACAAAACAAGTGCTCACCAGTGACCAATGAAGGGACAGACTGCCCACCATTCAGACAGATCCCATCTACAAGATGAAATGACACATTTAATGCTCAGGAAGCAAAATCAAGAAATCTTAAAAAAGGATGTACTTACTCAAACTGTCGGAGGAAGGAAGGAAAGCAGCAGCATTTGTTCTTTTTTCATGCCTCGACTGGCCCTGAAAATATTTTTAATCAGTCAATACAGAAAAAATATGCAAAATTTGACTTCAGATAAGTTAAAAATATCCTTACCACTTCAGCTAAAAAAAGAGCTATCAGCAAGCTTAAGAAAACACCAGGACTCCTTGTGTTTATCATGGTTCTTGAGTGCAGTGGGTGAAATCCAGATAGGCTCTGCATGTGTGCTCTTGCTGAAGATTTTGTGTGGAGCTTCGATTTTCTCTGCTTTATGCCTGAAAGAGACTGAACTCTGATTGGTTGGCGGCTGTTAAACAGCTGGGTGGCCCACTAGATTTTCTGGTGCAGTTTACTAGGTTTTTGAATGAGTCACCAGAGTTCACCCACATACTATCTTCTCAAAATAAATATTAATAACTATAATATGACTGGAACATTCCAGCACCTGTTTAAATGACTAATGAACAAATTATGGGTTATGTGAAAATAGGTTGGTAATTATAAACCCCATAAGTAGGATTTTATTCATTTAGGTATCATTTGTCTAATGAACGTAGATTTCTAAGCAATGTATAAAAAAATATGTGGGGTAACTGTCACTACTCTGTACATGTCTAATGAGTACATTAGAAATAAATAATTTTGGTTTTTTGCATGGGGGTGCACTATCCATCCACCGACACAGATTACAATCAGAGAGGGATTGATGAAGATATCTTGCTAAACTAGTGCTGCTTCACTAAGCAGTGTTAGTGTAGTTGACGTGAAAGAAGTGCATGTGTGAGGCCATTAACCCTCTGATGTATGACATATTGACTATACAATTTTCAATGAGTGGGTCTTTTGGGACTCGTGTTTAAATCAATGTGTTTTTATTTATTTTATAGATATCATCTTCCATTTTTGCTCCATTTTTTATCCATAAATCCTTTTCATTTTGAGGACTTAATTGTTGCATTTCTTTTAAAGTTTCTTTTTATAAGTTTGATTTTTCATTCACATGTAATACATTTATCTCTCCCTCAGCTGCTTTTTTTGTTATTTTGTCAGCAAAAGCATTCCCTCGGGACAACTTATCTATTCCTGTAGTGTGCGCCGCACATTTACAGATTGCTAGTTGTTTTGGTAGGTGCACAGCTTGTAGTAGTTCTTTTAATAATTCCGCATGTGTTACTGGTTTTCCTGTTGATGTTATCATACCCCTGTTCTGTCAATACTGTGAACGGATGCAAACGCGTATTGACTATCGGTGTAAATCGTCACTTCTTTGTCTTTCATTAATTTACAAGCAGTGGTTCGTGCTATCAACTCTGCAGCCTGTGCTGAGTAATGTGAGGGGAGTCTTTCAGCTTTTAGCACTATTTTGTCGTTTACTACTGCGTACCCGGTTTGAGTTTTTCCATGTTAATTTTTTCTTGAGGAGCCATCTATAAAAAGTATTTCACCTTTATCTAATGGCAGATCTTTTAAATCATTCCTACACTTTGCTGTTTGTTCTGCTAATTTCTGACAACCATGCTTTGTACCATCGTCTGGGACAGGTAACAGTGTTGCAGGATTTAAGACCGTGCATCTTTCAATAGTCAGATGGCGTTGCGATAAAAGGGTGGACATACATGAAAGATGTCTAGCAGGTGATAAGAATGTCATATTTGTCTGCAATAACAGTGCTGATACCGCATGTGGTACTTTTAATGTTAATGGGTGAAACAGAACTATAGGAGCACTAACTTCTACTGCCATAGAAGCAGCAACTACAGCTCTCACACAGTGAGGTAACACGCACGCCACACTATCAAGTCACTATCACACTTCGACACATAAAGTGTATTGCTAAACCAAAGTGTATTATATTTATAGATCAAAAGTCAGAACTTGTAGGTTATAATGCCCACCTGTCAAGTTTATATGTAGCCTATAGTAGATTTCAGCAACATTGCAGTTCAAAGTGCTTTACGTCATGAAAACTTAAAAACGTCATAAATACATCATTGATATACAGGGGCTGGACATCAGTGTTTGTTTTTTTTCATTGCCGATCACCTTTACTAACTGTACTGCTTGATGACCTTATGGCGCCATCTGGCGGCCACTTCATAAATATTCACCTGCAGTTGAACTGACAAAGAGGGAGGGAAATCTCTCTGTATTGTTGATTCGTGCAAACAGTGATTATATAGATCATCATGACGTGAATCTTATCTGTAGCGAGTTTACCAGGAGAGTCACATGGTAACACGGGAAGATAAATATGTGCATGAAGTATCCCGGAAGTTTGCTCATTTGGATCCTGTTCGACATGTGCTGCTTTCAGGGACAATCAGAATTATCCCAACAAAATAATGAGTATGATTTAGGTTTGTCATTGAAACAACAGCGGTTTATAACCAATTCAGTGACTATATCTAGAAGAAATATCATTACTTTTGATATAAGTGTCACACATTTTTGCAATTTAGCTGAGGCATTTCCTATCCGTTTTACATTCGCTGTATGATTTATATTATTTATTATTCATTATTTTCATTTTTAATTATGTTTTTATTTCGACTACTATTTATAGTTAAAATATTTGCAGTTTAGATTTCTTTTGAGGACATGGCTGATCGATTTGTATGATAGTTTTTACTTCAATTAAAATCTTTAATTATGTATGTTTTTTATTTAATACAAAGAAGGATTCTCTCTGATTATGTCCCTTTACTGGCTAAAAATCTTTTTGTTTTTTGTCTTTTTGAAAATATTATTATGTTTTCATTGTTATTATTTATCATGTTATCAGTAAGATTAAAATTCAAAATTTTATCCTAAATATTTTTGTATTTGCAAAGTTATAATATTTAGCTTGACAAAGGTAAGTTAGCCTTTGTTCCAGTATAATTTCTCGTCTTCCTTTTTACAATTTTACACGGACTTATTATTATTACTAACAAAGTCTAAAAACTGGACACGTTTCTGGAGATGAAATTATCCGAGTTTTCATGAACGCACCAGCCGCGTTGCGCTCTGAATTCAGATGAGGAGAAATTATCAGCAGAATCCGCAGGTAGGAGGACGCGGCTGTTGGAAATTGGAAAAAAAAAAATGGGAAACGCTGACGCTAAGCTTCACTTTAGGAAAGCGGTGATCCAGCTTACGACCAAAACTCAGGTCTGTTTCTGTTTTCTTCGCACTCTTGAACGTGGAAGGATAACATGGAATTCCGAACCATATTTGTTTGCGATGATAAAAGTTGGTGTGCCAGATGGTAGCGTCAGGTGCAGCTCGGATGATCATAAACGGAGTGAAATAACCCCCTTAGAAACTGCACTTTGTATGTTTTAAACAAGGACAAGAAGTTGAGACGAGGTGCAATTATGATTTTATTATTTGCGCTGTTTTTCGGAAGAAAACCCATTATTCTGCCAGTTTTGCACCAATTGTTTGTTTAATGCTGTTTTGACATATGAAAATGTTTTTGCCTGGATACTGGACTAGCTAAGGTCTACAGAAATTGTACCTTGACCATTTCATATTTTATGGTAGAATGTCGACCTGAGAAAAATAAAAATCAACGTTTTGGTCATTACTGCATGGGGATATCATTTGAGATTATCCTAATTGCTATTATCTGTTAATTTTTACTTATCTGGTTTTTAGACATTTCCAAAGCATTTCACCTAGAAATTAACCCAGTCATACATATATATATATATATATATATATATATATATATATATATATATATATATATAAAGTATAGCTGTTTATTCTATTTGCAATTGGTGTGTTTCAACCTGATCCTCTTACTCTTCAATAACAAAAATATGGATCTCTCTTAAATTAAATAATTAAAGTACTAGTTAAAACATGCTTGGTCATGAATTCTAAGAATTTTTTTTTTTTATTGCTGCAATACAAGCAGGACTTTTTGAAGGTTTTGTCAGAAACAACTGTCATAGATGAGTGAAAATTACTTCAATCTAACTGGGTTTATAAGAGTGTTTTTATTTAGTGGTACCAGTTTTGTAAATAAGGTGTCTGCAGGATTGCTGCTGCGTAGCTGGTGAAAACTTGGCTACACAGAGAGAGATTTTACAATGTTTTCTCAATTCCAGCCCGTTGAAGCCACAGACAATGTGTTCTGGGATCAATTCTGGGCCGAGTGCTCCATTGCCGTCCAGGATGTTTTTGCTCTGGTGCCTGCAGCAGAAATCCGAGCTGTCAGAGAGGAGTCTCCATCCAACCTAGCAACCCTGTGCTACAAGGTAACCTGTCCTCAGAACGAGTGTCTTATTTAGATCATGTTTAGTAATGTTAGATTTGAGTGAATTTCTGTTTCTTGAACATTTAATGGAATTAGTTTCTTTCTTCAAAATGGGAAAGACAAGTGGTCCTTTCACTGTTAATCTTCAGAAGTCAAAAATTACTTCCTGAAAATACTTAATACCTAATTTAAAACAAACAAGGTTTAATGAGAACAAAAATTCATATTCTCAACATACAAAGTGAAAAACTTACAGGAGGTAGAAAAATCTCTACTTGCTGCTGGAGCACTGCTGCAAAAACTGACAACCTTGTGGTTATCACATCTTGATGATAATTCATTTTAAGGCTTTCTTAACATTTAAATCAGGGGACGCCAGTAACTATGGAAGATGAGAAATTCATTCTATCGGACAAGCACTCGAATTTAGGAGTCTGCCCCGCTAAAATGGAAATACTGTATTTCTAATTACAAAGCATGTTGTGCCTTATGCTATTTAACAGAGCAACAGTATCAAAAGGATTAAAACCAATAGCTTAGTTGGTTCGTTGTGAATATGATGCCCCTTTTGCATGATCACATCTGCAGACACTTCAGCCAACTCTCCCTTGTTAATCATCCAACCTCTAATCAGATCTTCCCACTGAAATATTTGACCCCTGGCTGAGGCTGAAGGAAGAAGTCTACATCTACACACTGTTTACTCCATATAAATCTGCAATAAAATGAAAATCTTCTCTGCCTTCTCAGAGACTCGGACTGAAAATAACGCATTGAGTTTTGTAATAAATTAAATTAGTCACTAAAACACAGACAGTTGTTTTTTATGTTAGTTCCTACAGCAAGGACTCCCGTGTTTTACTTGACCGCTTGTTTTGTTCATCCTGGATACAGTCAGAAACAAAGGAATGCAGGTGTTTGTTATTCCCACACTTGGAGTACAAAAGGTCAGCCTAAAAGAGCAACAAAAAAAAGATGGCA